AAGTGCAACGCATGCAGGGAAGGCCATATATTTTTTTAATATATGCCACGTGTAAGTGGTTCATCCAACTCATGCCGTGTTAATTAACCTGAATGCCCGTTTAGATGCCCCCATTTGAGTAACCTTCAACAGGGTGAAATCAGTCCAGCAGGACCAAGGATTATGGTCCCCCTTTTATATGATCGTTAGATTAATGTAGAAATGAGTTGAAATCTCGCTATATATAATTCAATGGAGGAGACTAGGCTTAATTACCACACTGGGACCACGTAACGTACGTTTCTGTTTCGGACCACAATTTACTTTCAAATTCCTTTACGTGAGGCTCTATACAAGCTCTAGTAGAGCAAGAGCAGACAGTATTTCGTATTAGAAGTTGTGTTATTACGAGGTTATGGAACATGACCTCACCACCACCATGTGCAAGATAATCATCACTCAGGTTTCCAGGCTATCTACTGTAACCAGGTTCTAATTCACCCTTACCCTGATGTTTATTTCCATCATATTAATCTTGCATCAATGCCTTTGTGTCCTTCACATTTTCTTTCTCTCTTGACAGAGGGTCTGGGTCGGGATATTGATGGATGGGGTATTACAATTCAAAGCTTGGATGCAAAATTATATAGATCACGGGGCACAACATCTTCGCATACTCGGTCTTTACTTATAATGGGGGCGCAATGCCTAGTCCCTCTCCCCCTTACTTTGTAGATAAGGGGGTGAAGCAAGCCTAGTCATACATCAATCCCCTGTGTATCCTTCCTCTATTACTGGGCAAGGAATAGTTAATAAGGAGAGGACAATGGCTTGATGCAAGACTACTCAGACGTGAAGAATGCACAAGGGGCAATATCGTAAACTTAACGCATTGAACCATGTTAACCTGTTTAAAACCATATATAGAGGTTCATGTTGAAACCCAGTTCTATAAGTACAACAGCGTTCCACTGATTAATATATTGCGTAAAGAGATAGCTCTTGTGAACAAAGTAACCTTGCGTTGTCATACTATAAATCATATCTTTGAATGACTGATGGATAGATTCATACCCTCATACTATTTGAAAGAGTCCCACTTCTACTCCACTCTTTAAGCAGCGCAAGAAATCATTCTTTGTCCATCTCTACATCCAATCAAAATATAATTTTAGAAATTCTCCACATATTACTAAATGTGTTACATTAATTCTTAATCCAAACTCCAATAAAACGCCACGAAGACTTCATTTGAGTACGTTGAGATCGACTCAAAACTAAGAATCATTTGTTAGCGAGAGGTTAGCGAATATAGCCGATCATGGTTCAGAGTATCCTCTTAAGAAGCTAGATTATGACATGAAGTCTGTATGGCATCTGGCCAGGTGAGATGAACATTCGGTAACTAGATAAACAGGTAAAAGATCAGAAGAAGGGAAAACACATTTTCTTCATGCCAAGTATGAAAACATTAAACAACATTAGGTCATCTCAACATGCAAAACTCATTATTTCACCGTCTCTGTGTAGACAGATTGTACAATCTATACATCCAAGCTCTTGGATATCGTACGTTTTGGTGGTAATCAACCATGGTACCAATCCGGCTACCAAGAAGTTAGACGCAACTACGAGATGAAGCTCTCTTTTGAAGAAACGAACAGCAGTCGACTATTGAAAAGGGTAGCGTTATTCCAGAGTTTATCTTATCTCACGGTAATTTGACGAGATCTGCTTTCGTTGAGAGAGGCGCATGTGTAGCTTTACATAATGGCTGATTTCATATTTCCTCTAGATCTCTTGAATACACACCTTAATGCACGCCGTACACAGGTATGCCCAGGTGTATTCGCGAACATAGCGTTAATGAGCTCTGATACAAAACATACTACATCTTTATACATGTTTTAGTATTTATCTTGACATTTCCCGAATATTGACTGCTCATCGGTATGTACATACACTGGTTTGAAGTTATTCTGATCTGACCTATCTCAGCCAAGATATCACAACAACCTTGCAGACCTTCAACGTCTATGTGTCTGAATGAAGTTGAATATATACGAACAAACGTTACTCCTGTTTGTTGTTGCAAACGTGACCCAGAACTTTTAGTTTTCTTACTACTCATCTAAAAAAGTTACGAAGTTTTTGCTGCATCGAAAGTTATGAATTATCACAATAGTAACTGCTTTGACGTTGCTGCCAATGTTTTTACTAGTCCGAAGACTTAAAAATAATGACATGCTACGACCTAGCTGCCCATGTTGCATTTTCCAGAATAATGACATGCTAAGACGTTGCTGCACGTATATTGATTAATAATAACACAACCTTTTTCTAAACCAATGACATTCTAAAAATGAGATTCATATAGTTTTCCTTATCTTCTGGTTAACGGGGTAAGCTGTCCATGTTAAAGTACTATTTCCAAACACCACATCAAAAAATGATCACATGCTGCCCACCCAGAATAAAGGTATTCGAAGAAATAACTCAAGACATATGATATGATTGACATACATGTACTTTACTCAAAAAAAGATCCATGTTTACACACCAGACGGCGATTGATGCCGATACTGTGTATCTGAGATGTCTCAATCCATGTGGACTCCCTCAGATCCACCGATTGTTTAGACTGCAACAAGTAATATCAATTACGTTTTATCTGTCAACTCATGGGTATAAGAGCAACTTACTGATGCAACATTGTTCAGATCGAGACTGACTAATCTTGATTGGACTCCAAACCCCCTGCCTCTGGAGGTGATGTATAAAGGGGGAGCTGCAGTCACTGCATTTTGTGCCCTCATAAATAATTAGCTAGCATTCATGTCATATGCGCAAATTGAACTCCTATGTAAGGTCTTGAAGGTTGTACTGTAGTGTAATACCATTTTGAGGTCCTAAGAGGCTAGTGTGGTACTAGCCTCTGGTTTCAGGGTATCATTTGGCAAGGGATCTATTAGAGAATGAAATAACCTTAGGCAATTAAGTCATAAATCTCAGTATCCTTTGTTGTGAACACATCTATTACTCGATATGAGAACTCACACGTTAGATATAGGTTCGTTTTTGTTTTCTGATGTCGCTTCATATGACTTCAGCTGGTGGACTTCCCCATGTGGAAGATTAATTGTATGTGGTTTGATTGTGGAAACAAGGGGTTATCACCATGGTAATGAAGTGTCAAAGGCAAATAAAAACAAAACACGTTGATTTATAAAACATCAAACAGACAAGTCATAGTGGTTTGTAATTACATTGTGGTTCTCTGTCCGTTTTCACGAGGTGGGAATTTGGCAGGAAATAAAACGGCCACAACAATTTATCAAACTTACGGTAAATTATCTACTTTATAGAGCTTATACTTATAAACTAAGAGAAAATTGCTCTTTCATTTTTTCGGATAATTGATTTTCCGTATTGATGGCAATTTTGGTTGAACATGAAATCCCCCCAGGAAGTCAGCAGTATCTCATTGAATAAAACATTTTGCATGATGTTAACGCTCGAAGACATGCACTACGTGAAATCATTTTATTGACGGTTTCTATTCACATCTTTTGATTAATGTCAGTAGTCGAGAATCTTACTCAACAGACTCATAAGGAATGATATGATTTATGTTGAAATAACAGCGAGGTATCGACCTTTTACTAAATATGCCCATTTTACAATTATGTGTTTTTTGGTGGTTGATACCAAATTTGGAAAAACGTCAGGGCCGTAGCCATGGGATGGGGTTTGGGAAAATTTGGGAACATTTCTTTCAAAACCATGCTGTTTTTCACTATTTTGAACACTTTTCGCGAATTTAAGGCCAGAGTTCGGATTTTTAAAGAAAAACTTGGCAAAAGCTGGCTACGTGAGAGCCTTACATAGAATGTTAACTGTAAAAGGGAATTAAACTCTGTTCAAGATCATGTTTTCTGGTTGTTCATTTTTCACATTCGTGCTCTTATGGAATGATATGTTTAATACCATTCTGAGCATTCTACGAGCTTTATATCTAGGAACCCAACACAATTCACCTCGATTTCTGGTGTGTTACGACCCTCTTCGAAAACTATTGCAAACTCTTACAAAACATCAAAACGTCAAACGTACCTTATGTCATAATATACCTTTTTATATTAAAACGTGCCACATAGTATGCGGTATGGCATAGACTACATTGCATAAACTTTCATGGGGCCAGTACACATTATATATCTGTTTAGCGGTTGCTGATCCCAAAACCCCCTGTCAAAACATTCTTTTTGCCCTGTTAGGATTTTAGTATTTCATTTCACTTTGGTATGTATATTTGCAATTTCGGGGTAAAAGACTCGTCCGGTAGCTCTCTTCTTAAATGATACCTCTAAACAAACAAAGGCCTGGTTCTATTACATGTTGTTCTATCTAAAACAGGTTTAGTCGTGGCCTAATGAATACCATTTCAGACTTTTCAGACATTAATACTACTTTTATTGGAAAAACATATGTTTTACTAGAGTTCTCACTACAGAATAAAGTTAACAAGTCAATTAATGCGATCAAATAGCATTGCATTTAGTTTACACAGGCTCAATTATAGAAACATATGTCAGGATATTTTCGATTTTAATTTTAACCAAAGTGACATCTTTAAATCGGTCCAGAAAATTATAAATGGAATGATTGTTACCATGATCCAATCAAATCATTTTAGAGACTGGACCCACAATGCATTCAAGTAGATCTTATCCATTCCACCAATTACCACATCTTATTCTTACAAATATATGTGGTCAGGAAGAAGATGCGATAAGGTAACAAAGTGTCGTGCAGTCGTGCACATGATAAATTTTAGTCGTTTTGATTACACAACTAAGCAACCAGACTCAGTACCCACCTCAAAACTCCAATGCAAAAGACCGTCCATCTTCTAGAATCTGGATTGGAACTCCAATTCTCTTGGACAAGTTTTAACTGGAATGTTGCTCCATTGAATGTTTCACTCCATTGAGCTAACCATATTTTCTCGATTGTTTCAGTTGATCGCCAACGCTGTGTTGTTCGGTGCTGCAAACATCGCGGGGCTGTTCATCCATTGTATGACGGAGAGGGCGCAGAGGAAAGCCTTTGTGGAGACGCGTACCTTTATCTCAGCAAGGCTGGAGGTGGAAGATTACGAGGACAGAATAGTAAGAAATGTTTTATTTAAGTACAGTATCTACAGTCTTATGTGTAAGGCCATAAGAATCCGATTTGTGCTAATTACTCTGAATCAAACTGTGTAGTTAACACTTCTCCCCTCTTTGAGATATATCTGTCCATGCACTAATGATAGATTATGATATGAATAATAAGAAATGTTATATTTAAGTACAGTATCTACAGTCTTATGTGTAAAGCCATAAGAAGTTAAATGTGGATCAACATGAAATCAGTTACATTCTACGTTTTATATGTTCACGAAGGTAACATTGTGTCACCTTATTTGATTTCCCATGTGGTGGGCTAGTTATACCGTTGGTACAGATGAGGTTTACTTAGTTACAAACATGTACATTATTTTTACGATGAACGAGCAAAAACTATGTCAAATCGTAAGGACCGGATACAATAGCGCCAGATAAAACAATTTGACAACATTATGTTCCCTTGAGCTTAATTAAACCGAGATCACTGTGTAGATGGATTTCACGATTGTATTTTCCAAAACAGAAATATATTTTACGAGATGTCTTAGAGAATAAATTGTTGCAATCTCGATATCTGGAAATGAGATTTGTAGGAAACGATATGCCGTGTATTGTAATTCAATATTGTCGATTGATGTCAGATGCCAGTTGAATGTAATTTCCGAAATGAAGTAAATACTTAATTAATTTGATCAGTTGGACTTCAGTTTCCTTTTCTAGTGATTAAAGAACATTGGAACCGTTCATTCACCGCGGAAATGAGTAACCAATGAATCTTTTCAATTAGAGCAATGTGATTGGCCATGATTTCAAAATCAATTTCAGTTTGTGTAATTTAGAACAATATAGAACAAACTATGTGCATACGATTTGTGCTAATTTCTCGGAATCAAACTGTGTATTTAACACTTCTCCCCTCTTTGAGATATATCTGTCCATGCACTAATGATAGATTATGAAGATGGTCATCACATGTGAAAGATTGATACTTATAAATGTTGTACTGGTAAACGGTAGAATTTTATCTTTTCTTTATCATTGATAAGCTTTCAATTTAGGGAGAGACTGAAGCCATGACCCAATATCACCAGGAAATATCGCCGTACTGAATGGAACAAATGCTTTACCATCTAATCAGATAACCATAACTTTAGGTTTTTACTGCACCATGTAAACTTCATTAAGTGTACATTTCGTATTATAATAACATGCCCAATAGAATATCACAATTCCATTCAACTCAAATCTGTACATTACGACATCATTTAGAAATTAATGAATAAAACGAAGTCGTTTTATTTTCAGGACGGTTTATTACAATCTCTACTGCCGCAACAACTTGCAGCAGATGTGAAAGAAGACATGCTGTCATCTGACAATGCTGTATTCCCAGAGCCTTATCTCCAGAAACATAACTCTGTTAGGTAGGACTTAAAAATTTACCTTAATAAAGACCCTCTGAAGAATAAAATAGTTCAATGTAATGCAACACCACCCCTCCCTTTATCCCAAAATTATGGTTGATGTTCGATTGACCAAACAGTGGAAAAGTAATTCCAAAATTAGAGATTGAATTAGGATTTCCTAATCATTTCCAGGCTGTATTGTTTATCATGATTTTCTTCTTTTTAAAGTGTTCTGTTTGCTGATATCGCTGGCTTCTCCACTCTTGCCTCTCAGTGCACAGCACAGGAGCTTGTCCGTATTGTCAACGAGTTGTTTGGAAAGTTCGACCAACTTGCAGTTGTAAGTATGACGAGAGAACGATGAAATGGCGATTACAATTATATTACATTACAAATGACAATTCAATGAATAATATTTTCATGGCCATATCCTAAGCTTGTTTGATATTATAAAGATAAACTTTCTAGAGTCCATTTCACTGCTTCATTGCGTCAGTAGAACGGTAAAAATAAGAAATTGGGAGACCATTATGCAATAATATATGGAAAAGTATATTCATAATGTACATGAATGACATTTGTATATTTCAGATTTTTTAGTTTTTTGTGCAATAAGCCTGTGCCGTCTTGTAATTTGAAGAATTTCAGCCATGTTAATCTTATTGAAAATAACATGGCAGAGGAGCATCCAAATATAAGAGGCCACACACTTTATAAGCCAAACTAGAAGCAATCCAAGATATACAAATGTCATTCATGTACAATAGGAATATATTTTCCAGTGAAATGGACTCTACAATTATGAGTCATTTAGAAATGTTATGATTGTCATACAATAGGACCAAGTTCATTCCTTTTCCAGGAGAATCATTGTTTACGAGTGAAGCTTCTCGGTGATGGTTATTTCTGCGTCAGTGGCCTCCCAGACCCCAGACCAGACCACGCTAAATGTTGCGTAGACCTCGGACTGGACCTCATTGAAGCTATCAGGTGAGACTGGCTTGTAATGTGTTTCTAATGTTTGCCGTCTGCGCTTGCTCATTGTGATGAAGAAAACGGATCAAGAACATAATGAATGTGTGTAGCTACAACTAAATTTGAAAAATACACTATAGTTATGACAAAGCAGATAACTTGTGACGCTGATGATGAAAGTAACATTCACACTGTGATTCAAATACAGATTAGAGTAAAAAATTATTTCATTATTAATTCTGAATATCTGTCTCTTTTTCTTTTAGTGCAATCAAGGGAACCACAGAAGTGCCAATCAATTTAAGAGTCGGGGTTCATACAGGGTCAGTAGTTAGTGGTATTATGGGACAGAAACGGTGGCATTATGACGTATGGGGAAACGATGTTCTCCTAGCCAATCAGATACAAGCATCTGGGACGCATGGGTAAGGAATCATGGGCGTAACCTGAGGCAGACGAGGCAACCGCCTCAACAAATGTTTACCGAAATATATTTTTGAGACATTTCCAATTAAAACTGTGGAAAGGAAGTGCAAATGTAGTCAAATGCCTCCTTAGCCTCAATTGGCCTCGCCTGTATTTTTTGCCTCACCTAATTTTATACCCTGCTGGTTATGCCCCTGGTAATACCTCTGGAGTTAACCATCTAGTAATGATTGTAAGACTTTCTACACTTTTTGAATATGTATAAGGATATATATGAAATGTAATATGCAAGGCTAACGAAATCATGTTACATCCATATTCAGATAAAGCTGTCACAGATATGGATGAAAACTGTGTTACTTTTTACGTAGTGGTTAATTCAAACTATCCCTTTTTGATAAGATTCCATTTGGGGAGTCGAACACATATCATAACTTATCGTATACATGTTCCTGATCCTCCTAATCCTAGAAGCCCTAATAAGATAAGCTGCTAGTCTCAGTTTCTTATTTTGCAATTTCTATATTTTGAAATTATAGTAACGTAAACGTCAAAATAAAAATGTCTGCACAAGGTCAGGCCTCGAACAAGCTGACAGACGCACACGGTTTCCGTATTTCTTATGCAATGGCTATTTGCATTACCAGCTTGGGGGATCGTATAGTATTTCCTTTTTTCTCCAGGAGGGTACATATTAGCAAGGTCACGCTGGACCACCTGGACGGAGAGTTCGAGGTAGATACTACAAGTAATTGGGAGAGAAATCAGATATTAAAGGAATCGAATCTGCAAACATTCCTTGTCAAAATGGACCCGCAACGAAGGGTAAATATCTAATAATAGTTGCAATTTTCGTTAGATTTGTCGTTTGGTGTTTCCAGACTATTTAAGTTCATTTGCATTCTCAAAATCAGCTTGTAATGAGAGTGATTATAGAAATGAATATTCACTACACATTCACTGGCCTAAGTACGTATTTATAAAAAGTGAAAACATTTGACGATTATTAATATACGTAGTATTGTGTACATATACCACTTCATTCTCGAACAAGAGAAGTGAATACCCAGAATTCATACATGAACCTATCTCTATGCCCGGAGGTTTATCTTCATTTGAATTCTGGGTTATCCCCCTCTTTTCCAGAACCGAAGCTTGCTGCATAGACATTTCCGCCAGCATGAACCTACAGCGAAGGCCAACGCCGTACCGTCATTCAATAGTGTATCATCATCCCTTATTCAACTGATGCACTCTATGAGATTCAATGCTGATGTGCCATTTGCTTCTATAATGGCCACACAGAATGAAGATAAATACTCCCAGTTATTTTCAGTAAGTTATTAGGTCATTATCTATTGTTTTATCTTCAGTAGATAATTTCAAATACATGGTGAGCCAGAAATGCAACTTTAGAATTTTGGAATAACTTTTGGAATTTTCTTTATATCTTTTCTCAAATATTTCATATTTGTGTGATGTACCTCCAAAAGTTCACAAATAGAAGATGTTCAATTGTAATATCTCATTTTGATCCATTTACACATCCTACATAGGATACTAATGTAACAACATATCTTTCTAACTAAGCAGAACCAACACAATACCCTGGGAATGACTTGCCCTGTTTAACCCCTAGAGACTATAAACTATATCACAATAATTTTATTTCCAGACGAAATCCACAGATTCATACAGAAAACAAAACAAGAAAAGGTATGCCAGAAATGTATATGATAAAGCTAGACACACCCTAAGTTCGTGTTCCTCATTCCTTACCTTGTAGCAGTCAAATCAATGTCGAATCAGAGCCTTAGAATCTCCAAAATATACTTACCTTCAAATTATTTTGACAATATCAAAATTAAACATCAGATTTGTTTTCAAAATATCATGTGGAGTATCGTGATGCAGTGTATGGTTTCAGTCTTCATATCAACGTCGATAGTTCGTGCTTATATAATTCTAAGTTACTATGTTCTTAATATGCATAATGAATTTACACTTCCCATCAAAGATTTAGCAACTCCCACTCCCCTATTGGTCAATGTAAAAGTCATTTATGTTTGGCAATTTAAAATTCATACTTTATTCCAATTAAATTAGGAAAATAATAAAATTGCAAATATAAATGCTATTCAATGGAACGTCGGGGTATGCCATACTTTTGAAAGGGAGTATGTATCTCTGCTGAATCCCTCAACAGCACTGATAATAACCAAGGGCTTAAAGACTCCTCTAATATGCTATTTCTAAACCAAAGCGTAACATACCAACGCTGGTGAAAGCGAGGAGCCACAATATCTTGGGTTTACCCCCGAACACAAAAATATCTCTGTGTATAGAAAACAGAAAGGCTGGCCTTGCAAAAATATCAATAATCACAAAACAGACTAGCATGAACAACTGTATAATACAAACATGTATGAATTTGCAGGCAAACCACAGACCAGTCTACAAACAGAGTTAACAAGTATCTAGCACAAGCCATTTCTATCGGGAGTATCGGGACTGCCATGTCACATCACGCAAATGTGGTCACCCTCAGGTTTAAAAGTGAAGTCAGGGAAAAAAGGGTACGTTCAAAATGTTAAACAAATTCTTATTCTGATCCCAGTTGGGCCAAACAAGTGTGTTGGCGCTGAATGTCACTGGTAGAAGACTGGAAGTATAAAGAAATGTTTGCAATCAGTTCATCTAGCCTAAAGGAAAAATGCTACATGCGGAAGTTAAATGTTCAAAGTTCGGGGCTTCCGGTTCCATTCTTGATCCATACACTCAAAATTATGGCAAATAGAAATATGTGACAAAAAGACCCTGATAACAATCCCAATTCCCCACAAAGTGATTATCTAAAACTCTCTCTTCATTTCAGTATTCCACAACGAAGGATAACACGTTTCCATGCAGTATGGTATGCACTCTGCTACTGCTGATCTGTTTGGCCGTTATGCAGGCCGTCATCCTACCAAGGACCGTGCTTCTTCTGCTGCTATTCCTAGCAGCTTTCTGTTGGATATCATTAATGCTTATTCTAGTCATGGGCGCCAAAATAAAGGTAAGAGCAGTCTCTTCATTACGATAACATTGTTAGTATTAAGTTTGTTTTGGCGCAAAACAATATAGCTTATTTGGGGACATTGCTCTTTTGATGTGCTCCCCATTCTACAATATGTAATTGACAAAATGATAACCAAGTTTTTACGTAGCTACTAAGCATGAGAGATCAGAATGTTTTTTTCTTCCAATAAAATTACAATTGCAACCTTGCAAAACAATACATGAGATTGGAATGCTCATTTTTGTTTCAGTGTATAAGTTGTGATCTGAGAAAGTCACCAGTGATCAGGCTGGTTGTAGTAACAACTACTTTAATCTTGGTGTATGCAGTTGGTCTAGTCAATGTGGTAAGTTGTTCATGACATGGCGTTCTATATGAGTACTCGTTCTATCTCATGGTATTTAGGTAGTTTAATACAGTAGGACGGCACAACATAAATAAACGTACGCCTTAAATGTACCCTTATTCAAGAACTAAATATGAAACATTAGACAATTAGACACCGCTTACTGCTTTTCCGGACTTACTCTTTACATTAAAGAGCAAGAAAAATCTAAAACCAAAACTGTATCATTATGAGTTGTAAACAATACATCTACCCTATCTAATCTCCATAAGTTTTACAACTGGAAGTTCTATTGGGTAGCGTGAAAACCCCTGTTTGAGATTTCCAGTTGCCAAACTTTTGGAGGGGAGTGTACAGTATGATAATTCCTTTCCCTCAAATCTATTCCAGCTTTGCTGTAAGGAAGGTTTCCTTTACAGTTTGCTTGCCATATCACAGGAGGAGATCAACTACCATCTATCCTGTGAGATGCCTCAATACATTTACATTAGTGGGATCCTTGGCTGTATTACTGTCGCAGTGTTCGTGAAGTTACCCTCCCTTGTGAAGGTAGTCCTCATGATAGTCATGGTCATTGTGTATAGCATCGTGGTCGAGGTGATCCACCCGCAACTATTCGTCTCGCATGACACTCTTACAAAGTAAGTTCAGCATGGATTTTAAACAGGCAGCATTTTGAAAAACAAACGCAACAAATGATCTACGAAGCAATACATGTTTCACAAATCCATTTACGGGCTCATATCTTTGAATTTTCTATCTGTGTATTTTCCAACTGAGCTTGGATTGCAATGTTTCAAAATCGTGCTGGGCTCTTTCAGGGCTGATGTACCGACACATCTATCTGGTGTTTTAGCTCTGTTCTTGGTTCTGCTTGCACTCTTCCTACATGGGAGACAGATTGAATGGATATACAGACTGGAATTTATGTGGAAGGCACAGGTAATTATTTATTTAAAAGTATATATTTGTATATAGCTGTTCACTTCGCTTGACAAAAATTGTTAAATCTAGTTGCTTGGATGATATAGTACTAATAAATTATAAGTTTTGTTGTTGTTTTTTGTTATTCTTGCAGTTTTTCAAGAATAACTTCTCTTTATTACTTTTTTTTAAATTAATAACAAAGATTTGAAATCAGTTACACATTTAAATATAATGTACAATATTGCTTATATCAACATTTCCCGTTCTCATTCAAGACATTAAGTATTGATTAAAAAACTTAATATAGTTCTAACAATATTTTAATGTCTGCGTTTTCAACGTTTGTGTCCAAATAAACTGCAAATAAAACCAATGCATAAGATAATATCAGTGCACGTTTAAATAACAATGTAAAAATCACCAATCACACTACTCTTTAGGCTACAGATGAAAGAACAGAACTTGATGACCTTAAGAATTACAACAGACAGATCCTATGCAATATGGTCCCTACTCACGTAGCAATACAATATATTGACAACCGACTTCAGACTGTAAGTCATGTTCTTCATATATAATTGTTTACTGTTACTATTTCGAGGTATGTTGACTCTGAATTTCCCACAACAAACAATAGTATTTTGATTTACTTTTTTCAATATTACTAACTGTTGAACTAAACATTGTCATTCAGATCACCTCAAGAATGCTGTTAAGAAATAGCAAAATCATGTAAATATATCTCATTATAGTAATTTATATACAGGCTATACATACTGTATTTACTGTAGTCTAATTCCTCAAAACCAGAATAAAAATCCACATTCATATTTATCTGTAAAATGCAAGATATATGAATTCCAGTGTTGCAAAATCTATTTTGTTATTTTTGCAGGATTTGCACAGTCATTTCTACTCTACGGTTGCAGTAATGTTCGCCTCTGTATCCAACTTTAGTGGCTATTACCAGGAACTTAGCAACCATGGCCAAGCAGTGGAATGTGGCAAGAGACTTAATGATATCATAATTGAATTTGATGAGGTAAGGTGGCCAAGCTAAGAATTGTATGGACGATTTCTTTTATAATGGATGACATTGAATAGCATGATCTTCATTATGTGTTATGTGTTGCTTTCATCTTATGTTTAGAGAAATGGGGAAAAGCATAATCACTTTACACTATCCATATGTTCTTTATGGTAAAATGGTAAAATGCAGATACATAATCAGTAGTCATGTATTGCTTTTATCGTTTCTTTAACGAAATCTAAATACATTATCAAAAGTCATGTGTTTTTCTTTTATCTCCTCTTTAATGGAATCTAAATACATCATCAAAAGTCACGTGTTGCTTTCATCTTCTCTTGATTGGAATCTAAATACATTATCAAAAGTCATGTGTCGCTTTTAACTCCTCTTAAATGGAATTTAAATACATTATCAAAAGTCATGTGTTATTTATTAGACCTTGATCACAACCATTTTTAATTGTAGCTCCTCCTTGATGATAGATTCCGTGCAATCAACAAAATGAAGAGTCATGGAACCAGTTATATGACTGCACTAGGACTTAGACCCGAACTACAAATTCAGGTAAATAACAGTTCCAGGTTAAAGCTGTTGTTTTTAATTCAATTCTGCAAGCGATTTTATGGTTTCTAGATTGTAATTATGATTCTTGGAATGTTTCTCTTGGATAATTTGTTTTGTTGTACTGGTACCAGCCAGCTTTTAAACATAGATCTTTCATATTGATTTGATTTGATTACGTTTGATTGTGTATATCTTAGGAATTATATTTTGTGATGTTATTCTCTATCATGACTTTCAATTGTACAAATAGCTGGAATCTTTGCTGATATGCAAGTAGAGGGAAAATACAAAGGGAAGCTATAAAACATTTGAAAAATTCCAAAAAGCACTGTTACTAATACTTTTTCAAAATTATTTGCAGGATACAGACGAGTCTATCATACACCATCTGAATATTTTGGTGTATTTTGTGTTTGCTATGAAGGAGAAAATAGCGAGGATCAACGAAGAGGCATTAGCCAACTTTACACTTAGAGTGGGTAAGAAACCAATAGTGATTGTTACTAGAAAAATGATCAAATGTTTTTATCACATTGAATCAAATTCACAGGAAAGAACTGGATTATGATTGAGTATGATTCGTGTATAGTGAAAATGTATGGTAGAATTTCGGGGTATAGTTTATATGTTCCAAATTGTTATACTAATACAATGAGTATATAATTTATGTATGTGTAACTATTATGAGTAACATATTATGTGTAACTATGTATATATCTTATATGTTTCAGGTATAAGTTTCGGTCCAGTTACAGCAGGTGTAGCTGGATCAAAGAAGCCACAATATGATATCTATGGCAACACTGTAAACATTGCAAGCAAACTGGAGACAACTGGGAGATCAGATTGCATACAGGTAAATCATATTTTGTGTAGACAATTCAAACTAGGGGCTGTGCCGTCTGACTGATATAAAGATTATGTATTGAAACCTAAACACCGCATAAAGCTACATTTGAACTACAACTAAAAACGGTCTCCATCCATCATCATTGCTATCACTTGAAGTCTAGCGTCTCCATCTCTTTCGCTAGAGCACACAGTTCTTCTTTTCTATGAGTCTCCCTCTCCTCAGCATCATGAACGCAATCCGCAGGAACATTAGCTTAAAAAGGGGATGCAGTCACAGTTGCGCCCTACGCAACCGTCTGCTAACGCCCATAAGCATAAGCAGGGTTATAGAATATTGCTACTGTACTGATATCTATCTGTTAAACGATTTCCCAAATATCTCACTTAGTATATTTTGATTTCAGGTTACAGAAGATGTGTACAGAGCACTAAAATCCAGATACCAGTTCCAATGTCGAGGGAAGATAAATCTAAGAGGGAAAGGAGACATCATAACCTATTTTCTTATCGGACCAAAATCTCCGACGAAAGCTTCATCTCCTGGTCTGGAATATAATGGTTGGAACAGACGACCTTCGAACGATTCCAGGGATGCATTCCCTTTGCCAAGTCCAACGTCTACCAATGGGAAACAAGGATCAAGAGAGAATATTCACATAATGACTGGAGCGTCTAATAAATATCGCAAGACGAGTGTTGATTCGCTGAAGGGCTTTACAGGGACACCACCAAGCAGTGGAAAGATGTCACGGCGAAGGCAAAATAGCGGAGATCAGGGACCAAGAGACAATGCAAAGAGACTTAGCAGCTCCTCAATATCAAATCTGTTTCTCAGACCTCCAGATGTTCCTTATCAAAGGGTAGCATCCCCTGATCTACCTGCTGTACATTACATGAACACAAACATAAATCAAAACAATGATAGTTTACCTAGAAAGGAGTATGAACTCACACTAACTCAGTCAACATTTTTTAAAACTGATAAACCGCAATCACCCGAGACTGAGCAACTCCTTGGTAGGACGAATGATACTGGTATGAACGCAAATATGGATAGACGAGAACATATTGACAATGCCACCAAATATAGTCTTAATAACCTTGGAAGTATTACAAACACACCTAGTCACGTAAATATGATGCAGAATATAACAGTTGAACCCCAAAGGTCACTTACCAGGAGAAACCAGGGAGCAAGCACAAATAGCTCATCAGTAAGGTCTCCCCATGAGCCTCATATTGTATATGTTGGGGCTGAACCCATAGACTTGAACCAAGAACCAACCAGTCATCAACAGGAAGATATTGACCCAGATATGAATCATGAGATTAATGCCATGGAAGATATGCTGCATGAATTTGAAAGGAATAACAAGGTTCTTAAAGGTGATAAACGAAGTGCCAAAGCTGAACATGTACAGAAACTGACCCATAGTGGGAGTGGAAATGGTACTCCACTTGGAGTAACGATTGATGGAAAGACCATGTCTTTCCCTGGTCCTAATGATTCTGTATCGCAACAAAACAATGATATGATACATAATAACACTAGTATCACTACAAAAATCGTACCAGGATTAAAACAATTTGATAATAAATTTAACCAAAAGGTACCAGTTGATATAAAGCCTAAAGCTGCACAAGTGAATCACAGGGGAGCAACCACAGACAATAAATGGACTGCACAAAAGAGCGGAGACAGCAACTCAACATCAGATCATGTCATGTCTGACTATGACCATTGTATGTCAGAGTGTTGGTCAGAGACTGATGGAGGAACCTCCACTTCTGGTTTAGATGAGAAATCAAAAGCCAAGTTTGAGCATCAACTGCACAATCATCATCATAAACATGCTGACCGTGGCAACAATGTAAATCATACAAACCTAAATAACACAAACAATGCTGCTAAACCAAAAGATCTGCAATTGAAATACATAAAGGAAGAGAAACCTCGACCCGTGCTTTCAATACCCAAACCACCAACCCCAGTAGGGCATAACTACGAACGCATTGCCCAGTATGTTAAGGACCACCAGAAGCAACAAGAATCTCCTATAGTTGAACCCGTGAAACTTAACCTTTATCCAAGCCCTTCACCCATTTCTGTCACTCCGGAAAACACTCTCAATCTCATAGCTGATGATGGTGTTGATAAAGGAGAACAAGAAACCAAAAAGCCACCCCTTCCACGTCAGATGTCCTGTCCCGATACGAAAGTTTCAGCCCAGATAGTAAATCCACTTGAGTATAACACTTTACCAAGTCATCTGAAAAATATTGCTGAAAGTCCTGGGCTATCTTCTAACAGTCCCGTTTCTATTAGTAGCAGCAGTCCGAATTCATTGACGACCACCACGAATTGTCCAATGGTAGCATCTAGCCCCGACCAGAATCCAATTGGTCAAAAGAGCAGATCCACACTTTCCGATATCGTGCAGCAAGTCTCCCCACCCCCTCTCCCACCTCCTCCAGAAAATGGCTCCTCCTCCCCACCCACTAGTACTTTTACAAGTTCCCCATCAAGCTCCAAGCAATCATCTCCAAAAGAAGCATTGACACCTTTGTTACCAGATTCCCCACAGGCGATGATGGATAAGGGAACATCACCAGCCAGTATGTTCAACAGTTCCCCAAATCCAGATGCAAACTTGAATAGATCAAGGGTGCAGGCCCTGCCATTAAAGGACAATGTTGAAAGTAGTACTGATTTTGATGATGATGACGATGATGACACCCCGTTACAATCTAAGGATTTTAATAAGGTTGGTGAAGAGCGTCCCACACCTAATATTATGCCGCCATCTGCCGTGGATGCAGATGCCCAAATCGATGCTGCGATTCAACAAATCCAGAGTGTCAGTGCATTAATGACTTCTTCCAAAAATGAAATTAAGCCTTATATAAGCCATGATGCGCCATGGCAGAACAGTTCAATATATCAAAATGGCTTCCCGAATAGTGGACATTCACATCAAAGGCGAAGCAGTGGCCATAGTAGTCAACTAAAGCATAGCAAGAGCTTGGAGTACCTTCCAAGTGACGGGGACACCTGTGACGAGGCATATGCTGATGTCTCCTCACAGTCATCGATGGACGGAGGTAGTCCAAAGATACCTTCCAGCCCAAGTCCAACAACGCATAGAAAGAGCGGTGCGTTCTACCCAATACCACCGCACATACGGAAATACCTTGTGGCGGACAATATAAGCCTATCGTCGATTGGAAGCAGCGACATGTCTAAAAGTGACCCTGCTATAAACTATGACTCCGGCTCGAATGCTTATGAATCTGAGTACGATAACTACAGGCCAGGGATGGCATCTGATGAAGACTATTTTGTGCCTGAGCCCATAAGTGACATCGAAATTGACGCTTTTGATGATAAATCAGTAAATGTTGACAATGTTACTGTCAGCGACACATTTAGTCTTGATATGCCTTTGCCAAAGATCATGCACAAACGGGTTACGGATGTGTGATCATAATATGTATATGAGTCAGCATGCAACGAATAAAAAGTTGGCTAGCCCCTGGTCTCAATTCTTTAATTTTCATATTACCATATATGATCAGGTGAAATCGATGATATTTCGTACTAACGTTCAGGTTAAAAAGGAAACACAGTGGACAATTACCATTTCAAATAACCAAATAACCAAACAATTGGTTTTACTCTACTCAATTAATCAGACTCAATTAATCGAGACTCAATTAATCTAGACTGCATTGAATGATTAATCCCAGTTTGGCATCAAATTAAACCTTTCTCAATCTTAAGTTAAAACTATTTAACCAATAACGAAATATAATATGCATGTCGGATTCGGTCCAAACGTTTCCTACATAACCCCTCGGCAGCACATTCGACGTTAAGATATAAAAACTATCATATAATGTATTATATTCTTATCGAGATTCAAATTTTCTTTAAACACATCAAATTATTATAGGAATACCACATTTAGATGCATAATTGTCTTTTCCTACTGTAGGGGATGATTTTACGCTGAACTTGGATAAATTATCAATTCTAAACCAAATTCCTATACTGCAGTTACTCATGATAACAACATTTAAGGTTACACAAAAATGTAATTGATTAATTTTGGAATACTCTTTTCAATCCTAGACTTATATTCAATGCACTTTTGAACGATTTGATGTCAGAGGATTTTCAGACGAAAAACATGATTTCTGCAAACCCCTGCGTATCTCTGTTCTCTCCAATAACGTTCTAACGACTTAGGAAACTGCAAGACGAGCTGAAAGAGTTATCCAAAATCAATGACTTACATTTTCGCGTCAACCTAAGACAAACCCATCATGCATGTCAATATAACAAAAATGTAATACTCATCTCTCTATTTTTTTCTTTTAGCTGTATAAAAAATTTAAACACAATCATATGGAATGTTAACTATGTACTATATTTATTAAAAACATATGAAATATAAAATGTTATACAACTATATAAAAAGAATGGTCTTAGTTACTAGCTACATATTCGATTCATAACAATGGAGCATCTTACCAGATCAATGTAAACATATCAAGAATATTTTTGGGAAGGTTATGGGCCCTTTAGGTTCACTAATCGACGTCGACGTTTATACATCCCCGGGGATTTCCATTAGATTTTTCGTTCATTAATCATCGAATGTGAAGTACGTACAAAGTACAAAATTTGGAATTCCACTTTGTCCCATATAGATTTTACAGTTGATGGCAATATGCTGTGTAACTAATGTATGCACAAACAGTCAAATATGTCCAATATAGTATGACCGAGAAGACAAACATACCAACATTCCTCCAACATGTCTCAAACATATCGAGGCGCAAGAGGGGTTACAAATTAACCAGTTAACTTTCCGTAAAGGAACATTTAGGTACTCCTTTATGTTGAGGTTCATAGTCGCAATTTTTACATTACAATATTTTTCATCAAAAATCGAATTTCTTTTATCTCGATCTTCTGGGAACATGGGCTTTTTATTTAATGATCCGTCCAATCATGAACAGTAGTATTCTAATTAATCGCATTCTAACTTATACTAATTTAGCGATATCATGAAATTAGGTTAAAACCCTGGGCTACTAAATCCATTAAAGGGATAAAAAAAAAGTTTTCTAAAGCTACTATTATTCGTTTTTGATAGAGGGAATTGTTCAAATAGTTTGTTTGTTTCATTTGTTAGCAAAGTCAATAGAAACTAAAGAAATTCCACATTGTTAAAGTGAGTAGTTTTTTAAGAACTATTTGAACCAGATTTAAACAGTTAAAGCCCATACTTAAACTCCACTACCTGACCTTTCTATATTAATACTCCTCTAAAATCTAAACTTAAAAACTGAATAAAAACTAAAACTGATGTCATCAGTTTGTTCTAATTTTGAGACATCGTAATTTTTTGAGATAATGTCAGCTTTCAGAAAAGTAAATCAACAATTTGTTAGCTTACTATAGTACTTATATTTAATTCACATAATAGCCTTTAAAAATCTATTCAATTAGCTCCTAGTAGCGAAAAAACAAAACACATTGTAGTTAAGGACCACCAACGTTAAGGAGCTGGCTCTAGAGAGAGAGACTTCCATATTTTGTGGAATTACAGCAGAATAAAACTATCTAAACCACTGTTTAGTTTGGTGATAAGTAAAATGGAAGAACAAAAACCAAACCAACCAGGGCAGGTAGATGACAACCAAGGCAATCAGGGACAGGGCAACGCAAATGGCCAACAAGGCAATCAGGGACAGGGCAACGCATACGGAAACCAAGGCAATCAGGGAGAGGGCAACGCATATGGCAACCAAGGCAATCAGGGACAGGGCAACGCATATGGAAACCAAGGCAACCAAGGACAGGGCAACGCATATGGCCAACAAGACCAGCAGTATCAACAGCAACAACCTCCACCGTATCAGCAGCAGCAGCAACCTCCACCTCAACAGCAATCTAACAATGTAGTCGTGGTACAACAACAACCAGTCCAACCTCAACCGCAGACAACTGTCGTGATTCAACAACAACCAGCACAACAGCAACAAGAACCTATACGAGAACAACCAGCTCACGCAGTGGTCCATAAGAACCAGTATGGACTAATTGATTTCCAGCAGGGTCTATTTGGCTGTTTTAATAACTGCAGCCTCTGTGTTCTAACGCTGTTCTGCCCATGCTATGTGTCCGGCAAGGTTGCGGAGTCTGTCGGGGAACATTGCCTGATCTACGGCATTGCCTCCGTCGTACCTCTCTTCTCGTGGTACTTCATGGCCGACGCCAGGGGAAAGGTCAGAAACCTTAAAGGAATCAAGGTAAGAAATGAAGACCATTTTTATAACGAATTGTAATTGGCAGATATGAGGTCTATTTGAAGACTTTTTCATCTATATTTCATATAATTTGATAACTGGGATTTTACTTTTGGAGGTATTGAGACGGTCAAAATATATATGAATAACGTACTGGTTTGATATCACATCACTAAAATATTTCTCTGTGAATTGCAGCATCGTTACACTGCATATATTTTTATATTTATAACTTTTTATATTTTCAGGGTTCATTTACACAGGATTACATCTACGTCATCTTCTGTCCATGTTGTTCTCTCGTTCAGAGTTCTAGGGTAAGTAATATTGTAGCATCTACACCAACCTATGTAAGTTTGGAAACGCTGACTTCCCAATAATGCTAATTGTCTGTCTAACGCCGTCCAAAAGTGAATTGTTATAGTCTCCAACTTTTTGTGTACGTTTTTCGGGGTTTTGTGTCTTCTTTCATGATCGGAAAACTGGAATTGAGAGGGGACCAGTATCACAAGTATTTATAGCAGGTCGTGTAGACCATTGTTGCTTAATTTATAGCAGAACATTGACCTTTGCACGTTGGTGGCGTTGCGCCTTTTTTAATATATCTTAACTTATACGTAGTCTTGCTTCAATACCCTGAACCATCTACTTTGAAATATATTCATATTCTAATTTTATTATACTTTTTCAGGAAATGCGGGGAGATGAAGTCTGCCAAGCCCAATCAATGGCGAGGGAGTGAATCTAACCATTACGAAGCTATGTGCCATAATGTATTATAGATCTAATGAACTGTGCGACCATTGAACTTTGTCAATGTATTTGATATAATATAGTTTCGTCAACTTTTGGAGTCTTCGCATTTTGAAACAACTGCGAAGCTGTTCGTTGTCCTGGGAGCTTACGGCATCGTCGGTTCATCACGCTCAATCACTACGTTCTACGAGGATAGGTCCGAAGCTTGATGAAGCAAGATGGGCTTATACGGGCCCACTTTCAGATGATCTAACTACACATATATGAATACCATTATCTTTTTGGTGGACTGCGAATTCATAACGGATTCTAAACAATTTGATTTAAAATTCAAAGGAGTAGTGTAACATGTCTCATTGTAATCTTCAAAATGATCAGTGTTGTTTCAAGGAGGGTTACCGTGCCGTTGGGATGCAAACATCATGCACACCCTGTACCAGTGTATATCAAATTAATTAAAGTAGATCTTCCATTCAATATATTTATTATAACATGTAAATATTATATCTTACGTGTATCAAGTAAAAATACAACTACGACATAAAGAAATTCTAAAATTACACTCCGGTCAAAAAATGTAGAAACTCCGACTCCCCGTTGGAAAAAAAATCAACATTTAAAAACAACAGCTTTAAAACGCTTTCCACTTGGGATTACTTGCAGACTAGGGTTTTTACTTGATTTATATAAGCTGTTTGAAAAATAATATTAGCCAATTGTACTTCTATTTAGTAGATTACTAATATTAATGTATAAAATGTAAATAGATCACTCTCATGGATCACAATATAGATATTCAACTTTGGAAAATAAAGTTCGAGATAGTTTATTTGTAATTCTCGTTGTCTCTGTTCTGCTAGTAACCGTAGTAATTTGTAGGGTTCCAACTTGTTTTATATATGGTATCTAAAAATAGAAATATTTTTTTCGTTCATAATATATACATGTGTATATTATGAGTATCTTTTTCAAATGCACGAGGGGTCTGAGGTGATAATATACGTAGTCATACCGTCGTCTGTATTGACATAAAATGCATTTAATGTGATTTTATTTTGAGACTATGTTACTATCCCATGCCCGAGGACGTCAAAATAATGTGATTTTCATCGACATTTTCGGAGAACGAAAACTTGATCTCAATTTAGTGTACAGTGGCCTTTTGTCCTCATCAATAAATGAAATGGAATAAACACAATTAGGGTGAATTAAACAAAATATAGAATGGATCATACAAATATAATATGGCCTCTTCAAAACAATGCCTAGAAATTACAAGTTATTTGGCGTGCAAATAACGGAAAAACTCTCAATATACAAAGGCCGACTTGCAACTGCACTTTTACATCAGAAAAAGACCTACATCCGAATCCCCCTCCCACCCCCACAAAAAAAGAAAACGGCAATTTTGTAAAATTTGTGATAATAGCATTAACAAATTATAGCTTGAAATGCTTAGAATGCACCATAAACACTGTAATTTTATTTAAATTCCCGGTGGTGAGCCCCCACCCCCCCCCCCCTTTGAGGCTCTCTTCGCTCGCAGTGATCCAAACCTTGACTGCCCCTGACCTACTAAACTTACTCAGATCATCACTGTGTCTTCGTCTATGTTTAGTGCGTTTACTGCTTTCTTCGAATGCCTCGATTTGTTGTTTGAGATCATCAGTTTGTCCTTCGCTGCAGCGGATTTGTCGTGTCTACGTGGTTCGAATTCTCGCTCATGATATACAGGATTTCTTAAATAAGTTGCATTGGTAAACCCATTTTCACATTTCGACCTGCAAGAAAATAGATCAGTCCAATATCCGTTATGACATGATCACCAGAAGTGGTGATATATTGTCATAGTCGCCAACTTTTTGTTGACGGTGTTCGGCGATCGGCGTTCGGCGTCTGTAACAAAGGACAGGTTAACGCCTTGTTATCCATGGTTTACAGGTAAGCCATAAATATTCAAAAGGTAATTAAAATAGGTCCAGCTTATTGATAAGTTCTCTCGCTGTAAATATTTGTTGATCGAAAAACGCATAAATATTTATGCTTAATATTTGTTGATCAAAAACGCATATACTTTAGTAAGTCTGAAAGTCGGACAGGTGGCGGTAAACCCCTCTTTTAGCCCCCCTACAAAACAAGTATATATTGACATGGAATTGAAGAGGAAGTATGACTTATTACTTAAAATGTGATTTCTTAGAATTTTGACATTTGACCTTGACATTAGGGTGGTTTAAAGGTCAACTTTGAGAGATGCTATTTTTGTCAAAATTTTGCCATTTTGTAATACAAGAAATGAAAGCAATTGGCTTAATTTTGATTGTGACTGATAATAAGACATGTGAATGGAAATAAAAATATTCTTAATAAATTCTCACGGGCAATTACAAGAAAATCTTGAGAAAAATCCCCATATGGGCATTTTTAGGGGGACTAAATTTTCCTGTTTCAAAAGTGAATGTTCTTGTTGCCTTTTGAGACTCCAACAGTACCTTAAGCATATTTTAAGAGTTGGGATGTGATTATTGTTTTAATGCCCATGGGCAATTAGGATAAAATGACTGCAATTAAATGCACACAAGGGCACTATTCTAAATAGTTATAGGGTCACTTTTAATAAATGTCCATTGGCATTTGCTTTGGAATTTGAAATTAAATGTCTGTATGGACACTTAATTTATAGTTATTTGCCAGTTTGCAGTTCCCATATTTGAAATACAAATAATTCAGAAAAATCCTCTTTCAATATATATCATAAAATATAAGGCAGCATCATGTATAAATGGCATGACACTCAAAGGATTGCTTAAAATTCTCTACTTATACACTATTTAGAAAAACACTTAGGCCATTCAAAGATGTTTTTATAATTAATGTCACTAAATTCTATGTTTTCAGAAAAAAACAAAATGTTCCCATGTACGCTGTACTTGTAATGCATATAAATGATAAATGACAAAGGGAATTGTGATCTTGGATTATATTGTAGTGAAATGAGTTCCAAGATTGAATAAAAACTATGTGTATATAGGCTTCAGTATTGTCTTCATTAACAAGGTCATCTGAATCAAGAGGTGTGTTACTTGCCTTCCCACAGTGTGTTATTGTATTTTCACTATTAAATAATATATAAAACCCTTTAAATAAATAAAGGTTTTGTAGTTTTTAATATAAGGCCCTTCATCAGAATGCCAACATATAATTAATTTTGAATGGCCTAATCTGTACATGCAGTTATGTAGTGTACATTTATGCCCAGGTTAGCAGCCATATTGAAAACATAAACCAGTCAGCCTTATTTTCGTCACAAAATTTAAGTTTTAGTGGTGAGCCCACACTCCCACAACAATGATATTTGCAGGGAAGCTACCTCACAGCCTCTGCAATATACAGTTTCAATATCTTTTTTGTGGGAGTTTGGGCTGATGGTTAAATTTTCAATGAAAGGGAATGAGCACTATGCTAAAACTTGATAACAAAGTGAACAAAAATGACAATGTTTTCCAGATTTGCATTAGTAAACTTCATATATAGCTGGATTTTGTTAATGTTCTACTCCAAATGCTTGTATGCTATATGTTCCATATAATAAATTCTATATAATGATAAGTTTTGATATTATTTTGAGGGTAAACATAGTGTGTACCCATATTCAGACAGTCTTGTGATAGGGGTTCTTACTGCCAATTTTTCAAAGAATCTGAAAACTAATGCCACTTTTTGAAATTGCACATTTCAAGAAAAAAGGTTTATCTACAATTTGCAATCGGTTTTAAAAGTAAATGGAAGAATGAGTGTTTTGGAAAAAGTCTAAGTGGACCAATAGTCTGTTAAATGGACCTGTTCTTTCTAAAATACAAGAAAATCATAAAACAGGGAAGGTAAAAGAATCAATCGAAGAATTTTACGCCTCGTGCGCATATTTTGCAATAAATGTCATTGGACATTCAACATTTATTATGAGCTAAAATGCGTGACATAAGAACATATTCAAATAAAGGAACTTGATATATACCAGGCATTTTGTCGGATTCTTGTGCTTTTCTTCATTTGTCTGGACCAGTGTAGAAGAATAACGATGCACACCAACACTACAACGCTTATAGTTACTGTTGCTATGCCAATTCCCCATAGCAACCGCTGGTCTAGGGAATAAAACAAAAAATAATTACAAAATGAAATCTCCATTTGTACGTTTTAAACTTGTACGACTATACCACGCATGCATACATCCACTTCAAAGCATACAAATTTCAATGCAATGTTTTATGAACTAAAACAAGATACATGTAGTATCGGGAAACTTACCTCCTTGAAAGCAACTTTCAAAGGAGAGTAAATGTATACTGATACTGAACAAAACACAGTTTACTACACTATCAATGATACATCGACATTAATGACCATAGAAACAAACCAAGAATCCCCTTTACTAATTGTCTTGACCACATATAACTTATCGATGCTTATCACATTACACGAAATGGCAAAAGTTGATATCAATATGACATATTAGAACAAGGCATTAACATGCAAAATGTCACCACCTGGCATTTGTTGCAGACGCCGACCGCCAAACACCAACCGCCGAGCACCATCCACGACTATGACAATATGTCACACCTTGTGGTGGTGACATAAAAATAATTTTGACCTGAATATCAAATCTGATTTACTCACCTATTTCGCATGTATATCCCGTAAATCCAGGCCTACAATGGCAGACGTTATCTTGGGTTAGCCGAGGATTATTTCCAGTTGGGCAGTGCCCACCGTTGAGACAAAGTCCTGGTTGACCGTCACAAACTGCGTGTATGAGTACAATGTCATATTAAAAAGGTCCTAATCCCCAATATGACATTAACACATTTCAATCGGATATGTGATATTATGATCTGAAATGCTTGACTGTTTTAAATCGTTTGTAATTGAAAATAAAGCTATCTGGTCGAGACAGGGCAATTGTGTGACTCTTATGATCCTATTACATGTCATGCCTGTTAATAAGACATTTAGTCAATGGAAAATATTTAATTAGAAAATATTGTTTCTCGAATCTCGATACGATTAATATCACAAGTAATGTCTGTGTAGTTTTTTGTTAGAATTCTTAAAATGCTACTTTTGTATGACTCTCTTAATTCAATAATATGAATCGTAATTTAGACTTTCTTACAATGTCAGACAAATATAAAAACAAATCTTTGATTTTCTCAAAAAAAGAAACAGCTTTAAATGGTCAATACCTATTCAACTAAACTTTTCAAGTGCAATAAAGGTCGTGTCATACTCACGAGAAATTGACATTTTTGTACGAGTCCGTTTATATTATTGAAAAAGTATCCTCAGTAGCCAATCATAGCATCATAAAGCCAAATAATACACACACAATCGTATTTGTACTTTTTAAAACAACAATACAATATGTATTGTGCCGTTCTTCAATTTGACCAAGATACGCCTGTTGAGATAACAACAGTCATTAGTCATTAGATACCTGAAAACCAGTCTTCTAGTTGCTGCCGGTTGACGTTTGTGCTCCTTACCACGCGGTCCTAACTTCGACCGTTAATTTGAATTTTTGGCCTACCAGATGCTCGAAAATCAAGGATTGCGAGTGTCATACTGCATCGTTTTTCTTCAAACTTATACCATTAAAAGCAAAACAAAATTACCTTTCTGTCGGTGCATTACTTTATTGTAAAGAGTCCCTCGTTCTAGCAGCGTTTTGGTCCCCAGCTGTTAGAAGGCCTTCTTACAGCTGGGGACCAAAATGCCGCTGGAAGTAGGGACTCTGTTTAAGAGAATAATGTACCAACAGAAAGTGATTTTTGTTATGCTTTGAATGGAATAAGTTTGAAGACAAACGGTGCACTACAAGACTCGTAATCCTTGATTTTCAAACATCCGGTAGGTCAAAAATTCAAATTAACGGTCGAAGTTAGTACCGCGTGCTTACGTTGAATGACTATTTCGCACTTTATAAGCGATAAAAGAGCCAAAGAACGAATACAGTTTGAGACAGCTTCGGACAGTTCGACTTTAGGATTATCTTTTTAAAAATTATTTTGAAAATCGTATTTGATATCCGCATTACTGAACTGTCTTCTAGAATATTAATATCTGACTTCATTTATGATAACGCCATTGTTTAAGGGTTATTTGTCATTGATTCTGAAAAAGTATATGCTCAATTCTTATGACTTTGGAGATTTCTGCGACAATAGTTCGGAAATTCATGACTTGATGATTTATTCAAATCTGCAAACATAAAAAGGCTTAGATAAATGATCCAAATGGGGACTTTCTGTTGCCAAACATTTGGAGGGGAGTATATCCCTATTTATTAAAGTGACTGTTATTTACAATTAGAGACCCATTATAGTCTTGCTCCAAGTTCAAACGCTTACACAACTTCACCTTTACAAAAAGGTGAGAAAGTAAATCGGGGGTTCAGATACTTAATTCTCACTTCAAAGGAAGAAAAAACAACCCTATCGACCATAGTCAAAAGCTTAATAGTCCATCATGACAAAATGTCAAAATAAAGTTCTTGAGCTCGAGAACTTTTAAACAAGTAATGGGGGTCAAGTGTAACAGTTGCAGGCTGTGCCTCTGGGGTTATCATGTCGTTTGTGGCAGATGTCGCCAACATCTCCCAGTTCATAACTGCAGTTTGTATTTTACACCAAACCACTTGAATTGGATTGTCGGTTGCTACTGTTAGTCATTTGCTTCAAAAGATTTTATGAGTAGTTTGAATAAGATATCCTTTCGTTTATTTATCACTTTTGAAGGTACACGATAAAATACAGTGCTCACCATAAATAAATGGCATCTTGATTTTCTATGGGGGGGGGGTGTATAGAGGGTCTTGAAAATGCATATACAATATTTTTCAGCTCTCTTATACCATATACAATATTTTTCACCCCTTTTATACCATATACAATATTTTTCACAGCTCTTAGACCATATACGATATTTTAGGTGAAATACAATATACGATAATTTTGAAACTGCTTTTGATTAAAGTTTGGATATTTATAAGGAAATAATATTATATTAGGAGAGAATCCATGTGCTAAAGTAAATGTATTATTATAAGACAACTAGACTCCACATACATACCACAATGATTTCATTTATTACATTATGAATAAGACACCATACGGGTACATCCGCATGTTCATAAAAGCTGTGACCACATTTTATTTTCAGGTAATGACTTCGCTTTAGTGATTTCACAACCTGCTTTGACCAAAAAACTAACTTTGACATTTCTGCAATTTGCTAAAGCCATTATCCCATTACCTGTAAAAGTACCATAAAGATATTCAAAATTAGCAAAACCTGCATCATTGGAATGGATGGAACTCAGTGCTCCTCTTTCTCATGACCTACTTTCCCATGACTTATTTTAATGTCGATGGAATCCTTCATAGTGAGCCAGGGAAAAAAATTCTTGAAACATAATTGATGCAAAATTGAGAATGTGGAATAAAAGATTCATCATGTGTTCTATGAAAATAAAGTTTGCTGCGGAAAATATGTTCACTAACACTATCAGGTAGATAGTGAAGATTCACAAGACACTTCGGGTTTTCAGATAAGGCAGCCTCAAAAACAGTATAACATGTATAAGTTAAACAAAGGTGTGTCAAAATTAAGCAAATTTCCATGAAGGTCAAACCACATGTTTCACGAATGATTTCAAGGCAAAGATGTATTGATGAGAATGAAAACTACTCTATGTAACTAGAAATAACTTTCTTTTAAAGGACCACGGAGGTATCGCAACAGATTTCAGTCATATATTGGATTTTGGCTATTTTCTGAGGATTTGAACAGGGGCATATGTTAGGCCAATGAATTAACTCCAGGACAAGCAGTCATAGAGATTATAAAATAATTTTGACTTTAAGACAGGGAAGGTGCAAACACCCCATCAACATGTTTTTTCTGTAATGTTGTCCTGATTTCCAGCCCTTTCCACACCTGTTTTTCAATGTTTGTTGCATCGATCACTCTGTTGCGTTTTGAGTCACGGTTAACATCTTTAAATGAAAATATGATTCATGCAGGGATTTTAAAGATATCAATTTTGGATGACCAAAATTAAGCTGAAAACAATGGATCACATGAGTTTTCCCTATGGGAAAATAACATGGGAAATACATGTACTGTTTTCCACTTTATCCCAAATAAATCATATTTTAGAGGTTAACTGTGTCTCAAAGTGCAACATATTGGTGCATCAAACATTGAAAAAACATATGTAGAAAGGGCTGAAAATAAGGACAACATTTCAGAAAAACCTTCCCTGTCTCAAAGTCCAAATTATTTTATAACCTCTATGAGTGCTTGATCTGGAGTTAATGCATTGGCCTAACATATGCACCTGTTCAAATCCCCAATAAATAGCCGAAATCCAACATATGACAGTTTGAAGACCAAATAAACACCTTTTGCTATATTATGCTATATTAGCATTGTGATGCTTATATTAAAACATGCGCTGTATGAACACTTTCTACTCAAATATTTTAATGATTTATCCCACATACCCCGAAACACGAGTAGCCATAGTGACCATATTTTTCATTAAAGTTAAGATGAGTCAATGACATTTGGCAGTCTCACGCCCGGTGATCTGATGAAATGAATGGTGGGGGGAGTAGCTGATTTTCGGTAAATTCAACAAATGTTGAAGATTTATTTTTTCAAGAAAAAGTTTACAATAGACTAGATGCAATAGAAATAATCTTGATTTACGCCATTAAATATTCAAAATTCAGTCAAAGCGATGTTATATTTGAAATCTACATGTAAAAGTACATCTAGAAATATGGTTTCGAAAATTGTTTATCAAATTTGAAAATTTAATTATTTTTGAAAGTGTGACTTCTAGTTCAGGTTGATTCTCCATAGAGCCCATGTTACAAAATCACCAAAAGTGAAATATCTTTTCTTGTATTGGTCAGATAACATTTTCATTTACTGGACATATTTTGATTTGCATAACTATTAGATACATAAGGGTTGTATGAAAATTGAACCACTAAAACAGATGTAATTTAAGTTAAAGGGAACTTTATACTATACCCGCCATGCTATCTGACCCGAATGAGCCACCTGGTGGTGAAACTGGTAACTACCTACTCGCATCTGCGTTATTGAATGGCTTAATGAATAGGTGCAGTGCACAGTGAAATATGTTAGGTCTTCTTGGATTTTTTTGAACTGATATCTAGTTCTAAGATAAAAAATCTATTAAAAAAGGCGCAGAGTGGCCAACATGCAAATGCCAATGTTTTTGCTATAAATCAAGCAACAATGGTCTGCACGACATGTAATAAATATATAAGCGACATTTTTATCACAAAATTCATTGCTGGTTTTTAAAATAATTTTCCAAATGATAGATAAAAAATAATCTAAAATAATTAAAATTGAACGGAGGGGGGGAGTGAACTGCGTCTATTCATTTAGTCATTCAATTGTAAACTTTCTCTTGAAAAAATAAATCTTCAAGATTTGTTGAATTTCATACCGAAAATCAGCTAGATCTACTCCCCCCTCCGTTCATTTCTTCTGATCGTCGGGCGTTATTCTTATTTGAGACTATATTTAACACCTCCTGTGAAAATTTGAATGAAAATGGTACAAAACTCTTAGTTTGAGAGGGATTTTCTCTAAACGTACAGTATTAATTGACCTGGAATGTGGAACCAATTATAGAGACTACTTTTCCATGTCTTTCCAACACGGTTACAGTAAGAGAGTTCGCACAATTGGGGAACTTTAGGGTACAATTTCTTCATAGTTCTCCCTTTCGCGGTTCGCTCTTTGAATCAGAACGTTCGCAAATATGTACTGAAAAAGCACTCAAAAAGGACAACATTTGATTGGTCAATATTTTCCCACTATGCATTTCGCGTAGCTATTTGCGTGACCCGAAAGTTCTAAATCAAACTAATTACGCAATTTTGTTTTGACACCCGCACGCTAAATAAAACAATGACACCATCGGAAGTATTATTCTTTGTCATTGCTTTAATAGTCAGTATATCGAGTTTAATCAATAAAATATTGTACAATGACCAACAAAATTCGGAAACGAGTATTATAGATAGACGCGTCTTCTTTCAAGGTCTACTGCTCAGTTGTTTGTGGGTTTTCAACGTAACTCTATAATGTAATTTGAAGATGAATACTTTTATTCAGTTGTTGCATCGATGTTGCAGTTTGTAGTGCGGTAAGATTGGCAGGAAAGTATTGAAAGTCGAATGGAATTGTTTTTTCCAAAATGGCGACTAGTCAACTGATCACGAGACCTTCTCTTCCGGAATATTTTCTCACTTTTCAATCATCGTTTTCACCACGCTATGAATCAATACAATGAAAAAATAGATGTTATATTAAGACTAACTAGACATGTAAATTGAACAAGTTCAATTTAAGACTCCAGATTTCAGACTTTTTTTAAGCTGAGTCATTCAGAATAAGCTGTGTGAGCTAGAATATAGACATTTAGACAACTCTTAAGAATGTCATCTTCGACTCCATTGGCTTAACATGGGGATATCATCATATCGACTTTTCGAGACTTCAAACCGCTATAACCATCTAATCAGAAGTTGGATCGAAATTTGGTTTAAAGATTCTGATTCCTGAGAAAATTCTACCCTTAATTCATAACTCATACGTTAAATTTGGAGAATTTTTTATTTTGACCTACTTTTCAGACACCATATCTCAAAAGTGGGTCAAAATATTTTCTGACGGCAGAAGGCTAACACTATAAGCACACTCTTGGCTACCTGTATACAAAATTTCGAAGCAAATCATTGAAGTGTAATGTCAGAATCGCAAAAATAAGGAAAAACTATGAATTTGACCTAGATTTTGACCTAGGCATTTTGGTGTCCAAATTTTAAAGCTAGATAGCCTTTGAGGTCCCCTTCTTTTATAGGCTTTCAGAATGTTAAGCTGTACTCAGTTTATATCTGGTATTTTACACTTCAAAAAAATCTTTTTTCTCATTGACATAACATGGGGCACCAAATTTAGCGATTTTTGAGCTTAACTTCCGAACCGAAAGTCGGATTGTAATTTGATTTGCAGATTCGGATTCCTGGGAAAATTCTGCCCTTAATTCATAGCTCATATGTTAAATTTGGAGAACTTTTTATTTTGACCTACTTTTCGGACACCATATCTCAAAAGTGGGTCAAAATACTTTCTGACGGCAAAAAGCTAAGACTATTAGCACACTCTTTGCTACCTGTATACAAAATTTTGAAGTAAATTATTAAAGTGTAGTGTCAGAATCGTAAAAATAAGGAAAACTATGAATTTGACCTAGATTTTGACCTAGGCATTTTGGTGTCCAAATTTTGAAGCTATGTAGCTTTTGAGGTCCCCTTCTTTTATAAGCATTCATTATGTTAAGCTGCACTCAGTCTATATCTTGTATTTTACACTTCGAAAAAGTCTTTTTCCCCATTGACTTAACATAGGCACCAAATTTAGCGATTTTTGAGCTTTTAAAACGCCATAACTTGCGAACCGGAAGTCCGATCCAAATTTGATTTGCAGATTCGGATTCCTGAGATCATTCTTCACTTATTTCATAACTCACATATTGAATTTGGAGAACTTTTTGTTCTGACCTACTTTCCGGACGCCATATCTCAAAATCGGTAAAAGTAATCAAAAATCTAATGTCATATCTTTGCTTCGGCTATTTCTTAACTACATAATGAAAACAAGATGAAGGAGTTCCGATAATTATAGAAGAAGATAATTGAAAGAATGTTGAAAATGTAAGATTTGACCTAGTTCTTGACCTTTGACCTAGATAAAAATTTGACCTAATTTCCCAGAAAGCCAGAAACATTCCTTAGTTAACCATGTAAGTTGGTTTAAGTAAGATGTTATAGTTGGTGAGAAAATCTGTATGGAGGAAGATGGAAAGAATAAAAAAAATAAAAAAAATAATAATAAGAAAACAGGCAAAAGCAATAGACTCCAGATCTCAATCTGGAGTCTAATAAGAGACCAATCGTTTCTAATAATTTTTTCTGTACTCTCGTACGGAAATATAAACGAATATATCGTTTGAAAAATAGGTGTGAAAATCCCCATGTTAAACCTATGAGGGAAAACGAGGAAGTATAAATTTGTTCCTCCGCGAACTGCATCATGGGAAATATTTTGACCTTATAAGGAAAGATTTTCGCGTCTCCTCTTTTGAAGAGGGAACAACGATTTCGAGAATTAGCCTTCTTTAATTCTAGATACCATATATTTTCTATTATACCATATACCATATTTTTTACACCTCTTATACCATATACGATAAATTTTGCCCCCTCTTATACAATATACAAAAAAAATTCAGCCTCTCATACGATATACAATATCTCTATACACCCCCCCCCCCTTCTATCACCATTCCCAGACCATGGTGATTTGAGACTTCATACTTCCCAAAATGTCTAGATACACACCTCTTTAGTTCTGTATATTTTACATTTTGTATACTCTGAACTACTAATGTATGGTCCCTTGAATTTTCTCTCGTTTTTAACATGGGTAATCCGCACTTCAGCAAATCCAGGTGTCATTTATTTATGGTGAGCACTGTATATATTATTAGCGATCGTGGCATTTTCTAGATTTGACATTCCAAAAGATTCAGTTCTGTCAATCAAGTATCCCCCAAAATAAACAGCCATAATAATCCAGATGCGAGTAGGTAGTTCCCAATTTTACCACCAGGTGGTTAATTCGGGTCAGATAACATTGCAGATATGCAGAATCCGTGACCAGCTATTCTTGAGATAAAACCAATCGATCAATGTGTTCATTTTCATCTCAAATGCATTTTGGAGCGAAGAAGAAGTCTCCGAAGTAATCATGGGCGTAGTGTAGAGGAGGGGGTGCGAACGCCATAATAGCTTTTAAATGCTTTTTATTTGAAGCTTCTAGCTCAACTTTAAAGGAAGTTACATCATATTTTGTAAAATTCAAAACAAATCTTAAAAATTATTTTTTTTGGGCTGGCGTATGCCACGATCACCCCCCCCCCCATGACTAAAAGCTGGCTAGGTAATTAATGTTCAGACACTGTGTTCGTTTGTTCCTATGTCTATATAATTGTATGACTTAAACATTCCTTTTGAGATATTATGAACTTACCTTATCCATTGATATGTCTGGTATTTTTAAACTTAATTCAATCGTTTGTTTCATTTTAGTGATATGCACGTATAATTAAGTATTGCATGTATTCTATCAGGTATGCGGTTCATGCATCCTACGACAGAAGTGAATTTGACAATCAAACCATTTTTTGGTGCATAGTTTAAAGCTATTTGATTGACATCGTGCTGCTAAGTATTAATAATTGAAACAATGGTGTTTTGTTCATCTTTTCATTGTTGTACAATTTCAATGCCTGGGATATGCAAGGTGTGCAGTCAGACAATGAAATGTAACGTTTCAATGATAAGCATTAATTTCAATTGTTCTTTTCGTCTATTGTGTGTTGAAATTACACTAAACTATTGAATATCAGACGGTAAAACATTATATCTACGTTTTAGTGGAATTTTATGTGCGTTCGTTATTTGGACGATGGTATTTCCCATGATGCCTGTCTGTCTATCCCTGTACAGTTATTCAATTAGCAATTGGTCAGTTATACCCAGGTTTATGGGTTTTATTAATGTTATACTTCATCATTCTGTATATAAAGGGAGGAATGCGTTCATTTTTTTTATCTTCCAAGATGCGCATCTTCATAGGTAAGTCAAAGTTATATTATAAATCTATAGGTAAAAAGGATGATTATATTTTAACTTTATAGATGGGGATCATTTTTCTTAATTTTTATAATTATTGATTACAAACGTAAAGTGATGCTGGCTATGGAATGTTCGTCTCATCTAATTTTTTAAAATTAATTAATTAATTAATTTTTTCTTGGGGGGAGGGGTATAAGATCGTTTATGTAAAGATAAAGAATACCGGTTGAAAATAGAACCTTGACAAATGCGACATTATCATTTTCATATCAGGATGCTCTTGGTGAAAAGAAGTTTTTCTTCTGATACTCGAGTTATTTGGCATGAATCCAAAGATTCCTATCAGTCGCTTGCATCTCAACTTGCTGTCTGTATGTTACTTATATGCACATATACCATCAAAGACGAAAACAACAGTCACAGTAGAAGGGTTGACTGTCGCTTTTACACTTCTTGATGGTGACATAGCAACAAACATGGCAGATGACTCTCATTTTGCCGTCTAGAAGCCGAAGAATCAAAACGTACTAGTGTGACACTTGAAAGGAAAGAAATCCATAGATATACACGGGCACTATCCAGATCCCGTGAAATCGTGAGCAAGTTCCTGCTGACATCGCGAGCAATGAAAAGAAAATAGGGTTATCTTTTGTTTACTTAAATTATATGCTGTACAAAGCTTTTCCTTTTAATTTTCTTCAATGGTAACATGTTACTAAGACTAGAAAAGCAAATACTGGAGAAAAGTATGACAAAATGTCCTTCTGGTCTCGATATTTGAGAGGTATGGTATCATCTTGAATCTGTATCTATTTATTTCTATATGTTACGGTTGAAGAACGTCGTTGCCCTGCGAAATAAGCATTGTATATGTATATGAAATAAAGTTGTACTGAGTTTCACTTCCTAAATTTTCATATAACATTTTATATTTCGATTTAACATATCTCTCAAGACCCCGCTTCTAACATGAGCTCATTGCTCGCGATGTTAGCGGGAAATTGCTTGCGATTATACGGGCCCTGGATAGTCCCCACAGGGTTCTCACCAGGACATTTTAGACCCCGGATCTTTAGCGGTATCGCGACGACTCATCCCCCATGTAAGATCAGAGATATACTATTAGTATACTTTTCAAAATACTACTCACGATTATTTTCCTATTTTAATCACAATATACATTTCTAAAAGGCTTCTGACTTGCTATTTCTTGTTTGTACAGTTTTGTATTTTCTCAAGAGTTTTACATCAAATATTGTGACAAAAATGTAAAATTAGAATCCGGAAGAACACTTTAGACTCTGGAAAAGCTATTAGACTCTGGAGAAAGAGGGTCTAAATACATTAGACACCGGAGAATCTCCGAAGTCTAAAAGCCTAGTGAGAACCCTGCCCCATGTATACACGGCAATTGAATATTTCATTTTATCAGTTTCAGCGTTGCTTCTCCTGTTTGTACTCGGTGTTGTGTCAGAAAAGTACACCGTTCTAGTGAAGCGTGTCAATGGTACCGATAGTAACCAAACTATAACGGTGAACACGAAGAAAGGAACAATTGAGATCGATGATCCGACACAAGACATGTATGTCTTCAAAGATTTCAAAATGGTAAGTACTCTCGAAGCTAACATAGGCTTTAATTCTATCCAGCTTTTATCCATCGGCCACAACCAAAATATCATTTAAGAATTGGAGGCCGCCAAAATTGATATACTCTGAAATACCAAGGAAGAAACACACTTTATGATCAATTTGATTTGTCCGCAAATGAATTTCTCCATTTAATCATCGATATTTAATTCAGTTTTTTCGTCAAATGGCCGAATTCCTTGGTTATGGTGTCTTGTATTTGGTTGAACTTGTATATATACTACATTACCTGTGTAAGGTTTGAACGTCGATCGAACACCTTGTATGTTAATGATTATAGGGCTTTTCGGTGGTCCGAACACACATCGGTGAAAAATACGGGTGCTTTCTGAACCCTATGAGAGGCAATGAGATGACCCCTCAAGCCCTGGAAAGTTACCTGGAGTCTCAACCAGTAAGTAAAAGTGTTATTCACAGGAAGGGATAATAGCGTCATATATGGTTTATCATAAATCATTGTACTAAAGTGTTTCCTCATAACGTAAGAAACTGCCCGAAAAGGACCTGAAGCACTCAGCACAAAACAACTGCCACACGCCTTACCATCGACAACGTACAGTGACAAAATAAACTGTCGTACACTTTAGATGCACGGTGTCACTATTAACTGATTCGAACCCAAAATTATGATGAAGGTTTGATGTAGGTTTTAAAAATTAATCTGAAGAATACACAAAGGATTTCATGTATAATTTCATTTGTATTCGCTTGGGAAGACTTTTTAGCTTTTTGATTATGTTAAAAGATGTTCAAGGAGTACTCGATTTTTTCGTAGTAAATCTACCCACAAAAATTGATCGGTTGGAAAATGTTATTTTTTTCACATTTTCTTTGATTATGTTTTCCCCTGTCGCCTTAGAGTGTCGATTAATTTTATGAGAATATGTTTCTCTAAACTACACCATTTAGGATGAGTGAAGATTTAATAAATATTATGTATTTGGTATAATTTAAAAAATCAGAAATGTACGTTGTCAACTCCACTAGCACTGTACGTTGTCAGTGTAATTGAAAATCACGAGATGTAATATTAAACAATGAAATAACTCTATTTCAAAATCCATAAAGTGTAATTGAAAATCACGAGATGTAATATTAAACAATGCAATAACTCTATTTCAAAATCCATTCAGGTTTTTTATGAGTAACGAGTTATGTTCAACGATCTTGTCCAAGTATCCCTAATACAGATGTTGCTAAAGATAAGGTAGATGTGATTTTTAAATCTTGTTGAATAGTATTTTATTTTATGAAAGTGTTGGTGTGGTGATTAATATGTGACCACGGGGTGTTAGCTTCCAACCTCTTGATTATTTATTAACTTCTTGATTATTCTGTACGTTACCGTTATCATTATTATGGTAATAAGATACACTTTTATGAATTTTGATAATCTGGAGAAGTTCATAGAGATCTATTTTAGTTAGTCGAAGACTTTTTAAAATCCCGTTTATGCTTTAAAAAAGTGGAAAATGTAGAGGTTCAAAAGTTTAATCAAGTTGAGGCAATACTGTAATTGTTCAGTTTCAGTTTTAAATGTATCTTACCCCTGCCCGAAGGCGTTTTGTTGTCTACATAAGGGTTAACTGTGAATTGAGACATGTAAGTTCAATGGGACAACGTATATCAAGTTGACAACGTACACTTATGATTTTTTTAAATTGTAGTCAAAACGTTGAATCTTCAACCGATCTTAATTGTGTAACTTAAAGAAACATATTCTCATACAAGAACACAAATGTGTACAAAATGTCCCCACCTATGGGTGATCCTGTCAAATGATTATCCTAAAAATGAGTAGACAAGACTTACCGACACAATTTGAGGACGGAAAATCCAAAATGGCCACCTTAAAATTAACCCAGAATGCCAAATAATTAGTCAGTTCTAGATTTTCATACTAAGAACCACCCCTGAAAATTTAAAATTGATCCGTCTCACAGTTAACCAGAAAACATGTAAACAAGACTTTACAGACAAGATTTTAGGACTGAAAATCCAAAATGGCTGCCTTGACATTTATCCAGAATGCCAAAAACTAATCAGATCTAGATTTTGATACTAAGAATCATCCCAGAAAATTTGAAATTGACCTACCAAACGGTTCAGCTGGAAATGCGTAGACAAGACTTTACAGACAAGATTTTAGGACAGAAAATCCAAAATGGCTGCCTTGGCATTTACCCAGAGTGCCAAAAAACTAATCAGATCTAGATTTTTATTATAAGAATCATGCCTGAAAAAATGTGAAACATTCAAAATGGCTGACATGACTGAGCTAACAGGTCCAAAGCCAATACACACGTAATTAAACATGAAATCCTTTATGTATTCCTCAGATTAGTTTTTTAAAACCTACATCAAACCTACATCATAGTTTTCGCTTCAAATCAGTTAATAGTAACACCGTACATCTAAAGCGTACGATGGTATATTTGTCACTGTACGTTGTCGATGGTTAGGCGTGTGCCACTACGAGTTAAAAGTATGGAAGCGAATATAACCTCTTGCTAGAGATACCATATGATGTTCTTCTCCATGGCAATACCTGGTTTGTCAATTAGAGGCAGAATCAGATCGAGCGACCAACCTTCTTAAAAGCTATTGCATTTCAGTTACATTTTCTATTTTTTTTATTTGATTCATTATATTATTTAATTTATTATTATTCGAATTTTAATTGATTTCATTCCATGATAATTTTTCCACTGAATGTGGATAGAATATCTACATCTTTGTATGTATTGTTGTATGCATATACACCCATTAAATAAATTGAAAATAGAAATTGTAATATTTGGGCTCCTGCTTTTCAAGCATCTTGCTTCATCAAGCTTCGGACCTATCCTCGATAGAACGTAGTGATTGAGCGTGAGAACCGACGATGCTATTCGAAAAGATTGACTATTTTATCTACTAAAGAGCTCTCTTAAAGCAGGGCTCCACAAGAATATTTTCAATTATATGTTTGAGGACTTTAAAAAGGGAAATACAGCCACTTGGTCTTATTTTTCTAGCATTAAAGATATTTTGACCAACCATGGTTTAGACGATGTAATATACAGAGAGGACACAGATTGGTACTCGTCATATTTGAAAATATCTAATGATTTGTTACGCAATACATTTTTTGACTCGATAAACCAGAAAAAGTCACTTACAGTATATAGTAATATTAAAAGAAACACACTTATGGAAAAAAACCTTAAAACTGATTTTGACTTCTATGCTCAAAAACTTAAATTCAAGGCCAGATCAGGATGCTTTGGTCTCGCCATTGATCTTGAGAGATGGGGTATAAGTGATGGAATGTGTTCTTTTTGTAATATGAGCTGTAAAGAAACTCCTGAACATCGATTTTTTACCTGCCCAAAGTTTAAAGAGGAAAGGTTTATATTTTATAATAGCATTGAGAATAGACTTCCACACATTTATAATTATTTTAAGACATGTATTCCCAATAATGGTTTAGAATGGGTGCTTGGGGATGCGGCCTATGCTATCTTGGGTCAAGAACAAGGTTATATTTTTGATGCATGCTCAAAGTATTTTATCAAAAACATATATGTAGCATCAACAAGTTAATGTATTGCAAATGTTTTAGTTTTGTTTTTATGTCTTATTGCGCAAATGTTTTTAGCTCTGCTTTAGAATTGTGCTTGTACACATGTAGTGTATGTTTTAACTGCTGCACTAGTTTAACTATGTGCCACTGATCTAAAAGTGATTGCAATAAATTAATAAAAAATAAAAATATTCAAGAAGATAGTTTAAACGCATACATTTTCGTTCAGTACATTCGCTTATCCCGGGTGCGAAAGACACCGTTGTTTTCAAAGTAATGTCCGTACAATAACCTCTGGTGTACGACTTGGCTTGTAGGATGGTGAGTTATCTGTAGAGCCACCTGATGATGACGCAGACGACCCTAAGATGATGCCAGCTGAAAGATCTGTCAAGAACAAACGCCTCTTGCCCAAATCTGCGCGCAAGGCGTGTGATAAATTACCCATTTATTGGATGGTTCCAGTTTCTGATGATGAATTACTGAATGAGGATGAGGCAGATGACAGTAGGTTTAAATTATTTTGGCATGAGTAACGAAAAATGATATATCCAATCTAAAGGTTTAAAATGCGGTTCAGTCAGCGAGACAATAGGCCAAGTAAAATCTGCAACAGAACCACTAAAATCTGCGCTGTATATATGTAATTGCAAGAATTTGGATCACGTCCGTAGTCAGCTTTTGGTGTGGGTCAGGTCTGAGACTAACATAAACTTTATGATGGTCTCAGGTCAGGTTAAAAGAAATCGAGTAGGGGTTCCAATTTGACCATTGTAAACTAAAACCACTTAAAAAGTACCCGAACCCCTACGAAATCTCTACATTTAAACAATTACATTAATTTTCAACACATATCAAGTTGTACGAGGGTTGTCCCAGAAGTAATGCACTTTATGCTCTAACTTCCTTGAATATTCTTCATGATTCAGCTAAACATTGAATCAACTATGTCTGACTTAAATTATATGGATATAATTATGTAGTATTCATGGAGGAGCCAAAGAATTACATGATTAGAAGTATTTGTTTACGGTTTCAATTCCAGAGTACGGAAGAGGATGTAGATTCGGATGCTGGATCCGATGGACGGGCTGGGGAAGATACTGGTACTGTGGAATAACTTGTAGCTGGGGAAGAAAATAAACATCATGATCAGCTGTATAGTTAGATTGAGAAACCAGTTGATATTACAGCCTATTTTATAACAGAAAGTTCTCCAACCTCCTCACTTTCCAACGTCCAAAATATATTGTTAGGAACTAAAACCAACAAAGCCAATTTAAAAATCATGAATGAAAATTAAAAATGTTATTTGTATATGAAAATTAGATAGACAAAAATAGAGATACACATAAATCTGAAGAAATTAATCGTCATGTTTATATGTGTATTATTCATTAAACAATAACGAGTCATAGTTATAAGGTAAGAAAATGCACACGTTGCATGCCCGTAGCCATATTTTGCCAAGGGGGTCACTTTTAAAAAACTAATGGGGGTTCACTTTTGAAAATTTGGCCCAATAATGACTAAAATCACTTGAAAAAATGCTCAGAATGGTGAAAACCTGCATGATTTTGAAAGAACTTTTAGGAGGGGTGGGGGTGGTCGAACCTCCCGACCTCCCCCTCCGGCTATGGACCTCATTCCACTCAACTTTTTGGATAAAACGCAAGACGAAGCAGCAGACTGTTTAAGCTACCATTATACTGCAAAAGTGATAATAAGTAACACATATTAATAAAAATTGATTATCTACACACGGGAAAAATAGTTTCGCATTGAAATGTATTGTACACATGGGCATCTGACCATGCTTTGGACCCCTAATTGATTACGCCCTAATTTTGGAATGAATAACTTACTCAATTATGATGGCACTTCCTTCATTTTTCTCTTGTGAAAATGATTTTAAATAGATTATCATCACACCGGAATAGCCTGACAACGGTAAAGTCAGATACCGTTGTCACAAAGGGCGGACATAACCGTCGCTTCAACTGTATTTCGATGAGGTAGATTTTAAAGATTTGGATAATGAAGGTAGCAAAATTGAATTTCTTTTTAGGGAACATACCTGTAAAATTGTTAAATTTATTAAGATGGCTTTTGTGCGGAGAAGGCAATTCATTTACAACCTGTGATATTGATTTTCATGTATTAGTTTTGTATTTTCTATTGTTAACAGTGGTTAATAAGCCCAAGGTGGGCTGGGTAAAATTGTAATTAATTTTTTTATATTTTATAATTGAATTGTAAGACTATTATATAAATAAATAACTTACTAAACTATTTTTAGCTTTCAAAACATCATGATCAGCTGTAATCTACCATCTTTTGCATCTGTCAAAACCCCTCATTTCATATTAGTCTATGTGCTCTCTTAAACATACAGTTCGAGTCCAAAAATCTAATTGAAGCGACGGTTATGTCCGCCATTTTGTGACAACGGTATCTGACTTTACCGTTGTCGGGCTAATCCGGGGTGATCATGTTAATGTGGTCAAAAATATAGAAACACGACGTAGGACATCTTTGCCGAGTTTGTTATTGATGTTTTGTTGTTTTATCATTTAAACAATCACACATATCATCTTCAATCTCAAAAATGTTGGCATGATAGAAGACGTAATGGTTTTAAAACAATGAAAGGAGATAGGTATACGGTAGTTTAGAGGTAACGAGTTTGGTAATTTGGTCTTGGATTAGAATTGGCTTCCAACAAAATTCCTGCTGAATCCTTTCATCAACAGAGTGTAAATTGAGTAACTTAAATGTGTTTTTAACTTCTTTGAAAATGTTTGGGTAAATTCAAATTAAATCAGTTCAAATGTTTAGGTACTACTACAATGTAAATAGTTTGAAAAAGTCATTTGACAAATCAGGTTCGGAGCCAGCAAATGTCAAGGGGGTTGCGAATTTTTGGATTTGCATCATTGCGAGCGAAGCGAGTCCCATTTTTTAAAATTTACATTATATTTGGTGTGATCGTATCTCCCTCCCTCTGGCTACGCCCATGCATCCGAACTTTAATTCTCATTTCAAAATGGTGGTAATTACCTCCAGTAATATTACCACGGACCTCTGCCAGATTTCTCCCGTTGGTCTCCAGGCTCAATAAATCATTTATTTCTTGAGCCACCTTCCAATCAATAACCCATTCGTTGCATGGTTATCAAGGTGACAACTAACTCTTGGATTGAAATTGATGCTTTGACAACATGACCTTTGCAAAAAGTTTCACTGAAAATATGTTCTTTTAGTGATTTGTATCTTTTAATTGATAAGGTAGAAAATATTTGGCAATGTGCGAAAATTTAGGATTCATCATTGTATACACATGATCAACTTAGACCAGGAAGTAAAGGACAAATTGTAATTTGCGTTCATATTATGATATCCTACGCTTACCCCCCTATCACACCAAACTAGTTCTTACCCGTTCTTGCCAGTCCGAAAATGCCGTTAAACGGGCTCAATCTGACTGTGGTCGGGAAATATGTCTGAAATAATTAGCTTCTTCGTTCTTAAACAGTCTTCAATACGTCCATCTCGTTCGCAGTTCGTTCAGGTCGCACCACGTCGGAGTGCAACGTCGTAGAACGCGTCCCTTAGTCTAGAAGGTCAACATGACCTGACTACAGAACGGTATGGTCGTCATCGAATTTTGAATCGATTCAAAATTCTAAAATCACATTCCCGTCTGAGAACGTTCATAAAGTTCGTAAATAGACCTTAGAAAGTTGCAGCTACGTTCATTCCGTTCGCACACAGTTTAAAACCAGTTTTTGTTTGTTTGTTTGTTTGTTTGTTTGTATCTTTATTTCCTCCAATTCTGAAGAGTACAATTTCTTATAAAAGAAAATAAATTAGCAAAAAGTTATATACATTATATACACTCCCCTCCATAAGTTTGGCAACCTTTTTCCCCCATTGAACTACGTGTTAAAGCCTCTTTACGTTTGAATTTTTATTTACTTAACCGGCGACAAAATAACTTATAATATTAATAGAAACGTAACTTGACTTTATTTTCAATACCTCCAAATTTTCTCAATTTTTTTCCTCAATTACAATAGGTCGAAAATTTATGATAAATTTGATGAAATTTTGAAAATCGTCATTCCCATGTAATCCAATTGGAAATGGAGGGTTCGGGGCAAATCAGAAATCAGGATATCGTTTCAGTAAAAGATTCAGCAAAAAATATTTTTACGTAGAAAATTGAATTGTCTAACTTTTTTGAACACTGAGTGTTTAGTTTATTTGATGAATATTAAAGTTACAGCGCTTCAAAGTCATTTTTGAAAATAATTTTTCGCCTCCTGTGTTATTTCAATGGGAGAGGTTTTTTGAAAAACAATGTTGACTTTAAAGCCCTATAACTTTGTTGAGCCTGAAGAAACATATCGAATTTTGTTAAATAAAGTTAAAAAATTCAATTGCCTGCCTAACTCGTATTTTTTGCAAGGACTCGGATGGATGGATATTCTGTCATATGACTTGCGGCAAACCTACCATTTCCCATTGGTTAACATGGGAATGTCGATTTTCAAAAATTCATCAAATTTATCATCAATTTTCGACCTATTGTAATTGAGGAAAAAAATTGAGAAAATTTGGAGGTATTGGAATTAAAGTAAAATTACGTTTCCATCAATAGTATAAGTATTTTCATCGCAGGTTAAGTAAATAAAAATTCAAAGGTAAAGAGGCTTTAACACGTAGTTCAATGGGGGAAAAAAGGTTGCCAAACTTATGGATGGGAGTGTACATATAAGGAACATAATCAGTAATCACATCACATCCAGAGCACCCCCTATTAAACGGCCGGACGCCAGGCTACCGCGTTGACCCGTAACCGCAACAGGCCCAATGCTCTGGAGTTATTTTGACTATTTGAGATACGCAAATTACATTCTGCTTTCACATGTATACATTTTATGAACATTCTTCGCAATTAATATGTACTGATCAGGTGCCAATTGTTCATTTTCACCAAATATTAGTCTTAGAATTTGCTCATTACTTTGATTCAATATCAGCGAGTGATTTTTAACTATATCTAGAATGATTTTTCGTTCGGCTGAGAAATATTTACATTTTAACATGAAATGTTCCAAGGTCTCTTCCTCTTCACCACAAGCTTTACATAGTCGCCCGTTATGCCTGTCTTTCATGTCGCCCCATTTGCCTGTGATAGCACATAGATTACTCCCTCCAGTTAGTAGGATCATCATTGTCTTACATATGCGAATATATTGGCATTCGCGAAATGCAATTTTCCACCACACTATTGGTGTGCCAAAGCGTATTACATTCCTATATAGGGAAGCGTTGTGATTGAACATACACTGTATTTTCCACTGCCACATTGCATATTCTCTTGTATTATCTGACACCATCTTCTTCCATTCGCATTTACTTGGTACCATTCCTGTATCTATCATATCATATATTTTGTGCTGAATGCCTAGACGTTCAGCTACTCTCATGCAATCACCAATAGGGGACACTAAAGCTAGATCACGTGTTCTGTACGCTATGATTCTCATTATCGCGATCATCTTATATACATTGTTCATTGGTAGAGATAACAATTGCCACACTAACATGATTTTGTCTACTACGATCTTTGACGTTACGTCTCTCCAACCAAGTTGTTGTATGGTTGCCTGGTTGCTGGTCGTGATAGGAAGCCCTTGTATCTTCTTTGCTATTCCCTTGTGTGCTGTCTCTAGCCTGTCATAGTCAGTATCTTTAAGAGGCAAAAGACTCATTCCATACGTCATAGTGGGGAAGCATATTGACCAGTAAATCTTTGACGCTGTTAGAGGATTTGTTGGATTGTTATTGCTGGCTGTAGTTCCTAAATAGGCAATCATTGCTCGTCTTCCTTTCGAGATACGTGTGTCCATGTATTCTTTTACTGAATTGCTATTTGTAAGTGGCAGCCCAACATGATCTATTGAATTCTCGATGGGAATAATGTGATTCCCTAATTTCAGAATTGGTTTTGGGGGGTTTCTCTCTCTACTAAACACAACGGCCTTACATTTCTTTGGGTGAAACTGAAATCTCCATTTGCAGCTATAATCAAAAACTTTACGCAGTAGAACCTGCATTGTATTACCATGATATGCTAATAAGTTCATGTCATCAGCAAACGTGGGGCAGCTACATACAACATTACCTATAGAACATCCAGTCATACTATCACATATCTCATTTAAGAGTTCATTGGTGTACCTTGCGTATAATTCCATTGACCAAACACCACCTTGGTGCACACCCTGCTCCACAGGAAACAGATCTGAAATATTTGCATTTTCACTTAGAAACCGAGATATTGCTTGGGGAATATTTAAATCCTCTTTAACTGCTTTAAACATTGAGTCTATGTTCACATTCAATTTAATAGCACATTTATATCCATCATAACAATTTCTTAGCATTCTCCATAGTTTGCCGTTTATTCCCTGTTTATACATTTTATGATACAACCCAATATGCCAAACGCCATCAAATGCTTTTTTAATGTCTAATGACGTCACAATGACATTATTACCGTTTTCTAAACCTGTTGCTATTGCTTCTCTTGTAACAAGAGATGTGTGTAGACTAGAACATTTGGCCTTGTTAACACCTTGCATGTTTGAAACCTCTTCTGTTTGTGCACATAATTGGCTTCTTGACATCATAATTCTCTCGAACATTTTCATGTACGTGGTCATCAATGTAATGCCACGATGGTCATCTTTTGATAAGATGTCCTTGTTACCACCCTTGAAGAGAGGTATGAGCAGTCCTAGCTTAAAACTTTCTGGGACATATTCAGTGCGTACCATCTCATTGTACAGAAGTGTTAGAGCTTGGATTAATAAATCTCCCCCATTCTTAATGTGCTCCGGTGTAATTTGATCCCACCCGGGAGCTTTCCCATTTTTTAACTTGGATGTGATTAGATGTACTTCATTGCACGTTAGTGCCTCTGTGAAAGCTCCGTCGTCATTGTTAAAACTGTCTCGTTTCATTTCATCTACTTCATTATTAATCATCTTTTCAAATTCGCTGTCATATGGTGTATCTTTCTTAAGGGACACTAGCTTCTCAAAATAGGACTTCCATTCCATTAGTACTTCATCGGGCTCAGTGAGCACTAGTCCTTCATCATTTCGTATTGCGATGGATTTACACGAATTACCCTTGCGTTGTTTGATCAAGTACCAAAACTTGTTTAAGGATAAATCTGCAGCGTCATCAATTTCCTTTTGACACTTAATTTCAAAATCATATTGAGCCCTACGGATTGCCTTTCTAAACATTCTTTTTGCGTCCTTGTAAGCCTTCCAATATGCATTTTCTGGCTCTCTAGATTTTCCATAGAACTTCCATCTATTCCACGTCATTTTCTTTTGTTTCAAGCATTCTTTTACACGAGGGGAAAGAGTACCCGTGTATATACAACCTACCGCCGAGCAAAGACCCGAAGATGTCTGAAAATGTAGGGGGTTAGTTATAAACTTTTGTTTATATCTTGAATTTCTCAATATGAGAAACAGATAAAACACAGAATTGTGTGTAACTGATAAAGTTATTGTTCTAGGCACTCATGTTTGCAAAATAATGAGTACTTAGCGCAATGTTTACTATCCAATCGCTAAATTCAACTTTTAAATATTTAAATGATGATTTACATCTTGAATAAGTAACAACCATGGCTGTCTTTACTTCATTCGATTCAAAGATACAATAGGTGTAAATGTATCATATTTATTTCACTGCCATACGTTGCATATCATTGAAATCACCGGTGAAAGTTGAAAATGAAAGACCCGATTATGTCACGAGTACGATTATATAGGACCCGAAGCTACCACCGAGCTATTCCGACTATACCGTGAGTAGAACCCGATGAAGTAGTGAGTAAGCTTTCGAATGAGCATATAATATCATGACGATATCACAAATATTCCTTTTTATTTATCATATACTCCTGGCACCGGGATATAATATAATATGATATAATTCCCGCAGCACTATACGTCAACGTCTGTTTCCGGCAAAGTTCTTTGAAACATTGAATTCATGCTTACACTTGAATCACCATAATTTCCTATGTGTCTATGGTAAGAGTGCAACCCAAAAACATTTAATTCTGCATTGCAAGCGCCATTCTACTCAAAGAACACAACTTGAAGAATCCCAAGCTTCACAAGCTTCATATCCTCGAAACGAAAATTACCGTGATCTTTCTTTGATAATACAATACCATAGTCAAAAACATTGTAAATCCATTTTTTGCCATTTAACTCAGGCACATTAACTTTAATACTCAGTAATGGATGGTGCTGACTGAAGTGGACCACAAAGTCATCCATCTCGTGTGATTTATAACTATAGTGGAAGCGCTTGTACCGAGGACCTGAAATACAATGTTTCGATGTGCAGTGGTAACTGGTGATAGCTATATTTTTTTCAGTTTCATTTATTGTTCACAACAAAATGATTCACATGAATGATGCAGATTGTATGTTTATTATTTTTTCATCAGCACGTCATAAACTCGACGATATAATCGGATCTCAACAGATTTTACTCAAGTAATGTTCGGATTCTGAGATCCTTTACTCAAGATATTTTCGGATCTTTATAATATTACTCGTCGATCACATCGGGTCCGATGTCCGATAACCTCGGATCTTTTAGGACAAAGTTTAAGTGAAGATTTTGCTGTTCAAAAGTGCTATTTTGACCTAATATTTTGACACTTAATATATTATGCATATGCACATCCATTTACCGACCCAAGTATTCTTATGTATGGCTCATTATCAATTAAAGCGAGTATAAATGAGAAAAACAAATCAGAAACCATTATACGTTTACCTTATCTCTTAATTTGGACATACAAATATATTTCAACTATAATTCTAGGCCAATTGCGCCTGCTAGAACATCTTAGTAACAACTCTAACCATCCAAAGGAATTGTTAGTGACATTATATTACCTTTATTGTCCATTTTCCTACGAGATGACATTATCAAACATTTGCTCGGCGGTATGTGCGTGTCTTGCTCGGCGGTAGGTTGTATATACACGGGTACTCTTTCCCCTCGTGTTTTACAGTCTCCGTCCAATATGGTTTTAAATGTTTGTTGAACCTTGATTTTGGTAAGGACTGGGAGGTTACATCATTAATTATATCGGACAATTCATTAAAAAATAGTTCAATGTCCATGTTTGACATACTGCCACTTTTATTCATATCTCGTATCAGGCTAGAAATTTTCACATTCATCAGTTGCTTATATTGTTTCAAGTGTTCATCTGTAGCTTTATTCCATGCGGGGCGTGACTTATAAGAACGAGACTCGTTTTTTCTCGCTGCTGGTTGAGTTTCAATATTTAGAGTTACTTTAATTGGCAAATGATCTGACATATTTGTTAAATCTTCATCAAACACTTTTACATTTAAGCATTTTGAAACAAGACCGCCGGTGACAAGAATATGGTCAATGTACGACTCACCAGTATAATCCCTAAAGAACGTATATGTTGGTCCCGTACAAATTGGGAACATATCTATAGGAGTCAAACCAGTTCGTTTACACATTTGATTCAGGAGTTTACCGTTATTTGAGATTGCACCTGTACCACGTGTACCTACACTATCGCCAAAGTGAGCGTTCATGTCTCCAATTATAACACAGTTACTGTTCTGAGATGATACCTCTTCAAGAACGTTCTCTAGATAATCTAATACCTCGAGAAAATTTTCCGTTTTACAGTTTGCATGGGGCAGATAACAACATATGACATAAACACATTTGTAGGGGGGCTGTAGAACTTTGATTACAATCACTCGATCGGTCTTGTATTTCACTACTGGAAAGATGCAGTGACTAAGTGACTTCCGCCATAGTATTGCAACCCCACCATTTCCAATAACATGGCCCTGATCTAAGGGATCCAAGGATTTACTACTAGCAGCTGTATAAGTGAATCTGTCATGAACATTTTGTAGTTCGTTAAGACTTCCTTCAAATAACCAATGTTCATTTACACATACAATATCCGAATTTTCGCAAAGCATATGTAGACTTACATTCGATGCATTCAACCCGTTAACGTTCCATGCGGATATAACCAATTGTTTCCCAGTTGAATCTGTTACATGCATTTGAGAGAAGAGTATAATTATAATTAAAAAGAGAAAAAACTATAAACACGGTATGCATCTCAAATATGAGGGCAGTGTTTCGATAGTAAAAAACAGTTATCTACCAGTCAGCGTAAGAACCTGTTGCTCCCAGGTTATTGCCGAATTTCTCCCGTACATACTCCCGTGTTGCGTCACACATGTTCCTGTGGTACATATTGTCGTCTTTAAAATAGTCATTATCAGTTTTCTCATCATCGCGTTCCCATGACGGTCGATCGATAAGGTTATTATCATGTTGATATCGTCTGGACCTATATGTAATCCGGGAGGGAATGTTGTCACCATAATTTGCGTTCTGCCTGAAGCGCTGCCATTGGCGACATTTTATCGGGGCAGGCCATGAATCATCTTCAACAGCCTTATCTGCTGATGAGACGGGAACAGTCATTCTGACGCCAACACGATACATCGAGAATCGGTTATGGATAACGTATGCTTGCATTAACTTGATCCCCTTTCTTTTTGCATGTTCTTTAACAAGTGCAATAATATCATCATCGGTATCATTATCGTCCATTTGAATATTTTCGAGGTATAGCGATTGCGATCTTTCAAAAGACGCACCCTTGAGACCTTTCATTGGCTTGTTAACAGGCGTCTCTTTAACGTCATGTGGTTTATTGGGCTTCGGGGTCTTCCCTAAAGTCTGCATTTTCGCTGGTCTCTCTTCACCAAAGCGGTTTTCGGTGGCGCGAGGTGACTTTCTACGACGTTCAACCAACGTGAACCCATCGGTTTCTTCTTTAGATTCATCACCTATGGCTACTGTCGTTGAGGGTTTAATTCCAGTTTTTGGCGTTTTCATGTTTTCACGTGTGTTTTTGTCGATCACAGTTGTGTCCCTAATAACGGTGCTTGGCTGTATAAAGCTGAATGTAGTATTCGAACTAGGGGGCATTGCCCCTGAGGTCGGCGTTGAGTCGGCACACTGAGTATTACAGGTAGAGTTGCAATGACCTTGAGTTTCGGGTTTGTTGTTAGTATCACCTATTTGTTGTTGTTTTGAGCGAACAGCTGTTTGGGAATTGGCTACTGTTCAGTCTATTAACATCACTTTCATAGTCTTTCTTTACTTGTGCCAACTCCTTACTTATCTCTTTCACTTGTTGTGTTAAATCCATCAATTTCAGTGTTAAATCCATTTGGGGTGCGGTAGGGGGCTGTGTGCCCCGCTTCTTCAGTACCGGAATGTGACTTGTAGGCGAAGACACACACCTTGGAAAAACGTCGATTAGATCCGTTTGGTATGTGTAAAGTTCATAAATATCATTAGCGATGCTCATGCTTTTCTTGTCGCCAGTCCGTTTCTTGGGTTTAACATCCTCTAGCTGTTCATATCCACGGGCGGAAATCGGCCCAAATTCCTTCATGCACTGATTTGAGAATTTGTTCTTCGCCATTTCAAACAATATACTAGTACTTCTAGACTCAATCAACAGACTATCATCTACGTCCATCACCAATTGCTCAGTGATTTCATGTCTAGGTTTTCACTCCACGTTTGTTAGCAAGCGATATACACATATGTCCAGGTCGTTCATATCGACAAGGCAGGTCTTACTTCCATCAAAAGTCGCCATCTTTGACAAATCCAGGAAAATTTCTTGAATGTTTTTATTTCGTCCAAAATTCGCGATAAATCAAGGTATATCGCTACAATTGTATCGGTAAGGTTAATCCATACACATTTATGCTCAGAATTATACAGTTAGAATGTACTTATGGCTCAGAATGTAGTAGTAAACCGACATAATCGTCGGAGCTTATCCCGTTCCAGGACTATAGTCCTGTACGGAGCCAATACATTTGCCTGTACGATTACAACTTGGGAGAATTATCTACGCCCCTTCCACTTAAGAAACCTACCTCAATGCATTCTAGAACTCAAAATGTAACTTCTAATATATTGGAACCGCCGATTGTCTGGGTTAGTTGGCAGAACGAGGTCTTTTTGTTTCTTATGGCTCTTTTGGTCGAAGTTCGATTAAGATGGCGGTTATAACGGAATTTCCCGAACTCTTCCGTAATAGCACGAACTTGGTTTTTCGTTACGTCACTTCCGTGTAAAATGGATTTGTTTCGGGTAAGAGGGAATTTCGAAAATTTCGGACAATATTTTCAATATTTACTGCCATGTCGACATCCTATGCTCTTAACTGTATACCGAATGGTTAAAAATGTTTCTTACCGGAAACAAATCCATTTTACATGGAAGTGAAGTAACGAAAAACCAAGTTCGTGCTATTACGGAAGAGTTCGGGAAATTCCGTTATAACCGCCATCTTAATCGAACTTCGACCAAAAGAGCCATAAGAAACAAAAAGACCTCGTTCTGCCAACTAACCCAGACAATCGGCGGTTCCAATATATTAGAAGTTACATTTTGAGTTCTAGAATGCATTGAGGTAGGTTTCTTAAGTGGAAGGGGCGTAGATAATTCTCCCAAGTTCACGGGGGATAAGCAAAACGAGGGCGAAGCCACGGACTGCGACTCGCGTAATTCAAAACGAGATTACAACGCATTATAGCTGAACAATGGCGGTAAGTCCAAACTTAATTTGGAAGGCATGTTAGGATTTGGGGTAGATTATTGGTTTGGATATTCTACAGAATAGCTAGTATGTTCCAGTCGGTGATCAACATATTCATACTCCACCTGCAATGGCATTCTTGGTGCTCGGCTGTCCAATAGTTTAGCATGATCACAAATGAATTCGAAATCTGCCACAAAAAATGTAATTTTGTCAATATTTGTCCCTAATATACCGATTTAAACAAAGGAATCAGAAATGACATCGAATTAATATAATTATTCATGTTCTGTTGTTACAATTACATCTTCGTGTGATATTTGGTAAGCGGAAAACGTACAATTACATAGACAATTGGAATTTTTGATAGTCGCAGTCCACCCATCTGTCCAACGCAGTCCACGACTCAGTGTTGCTTTATATCTGAAGCTGAACGCAATCACAGCCAAAGGTAGATAGCACAATGTGTGTACAGGTGTGGCCGAAATAGAGCAACTTTGGACAAAATTGAATATAAAGGGCTATTTTAATAGACTTACATCGTGTCTCAATCCATTCTGCAAATATATACAAGCTGTCAAATACAGCTGAAATCATGAATTTGTGGTAGCTAGCAATATTGATGGACTGTTGGAAAGATCATCCAAAATTACATTAACTCACCAACTCTCCAATTATTTGATATTTTCCTGATATCTTAAATACTAGATATAGTTAATGTACCCTTCCCCAACAGCTTTTATTGCATCATCAAAAAGTTAATTGTTTCGCATTTCTACTTCTTATAAAAAGTCTCACCACTATCCAATTATCTATATATTTAATCCTATCCACAAATTGGTTTGTAATAAACATATTACGTTGTCATCTTGCGCTCGACTGTTCTGCCAAATATGCTATTGAATTGCCATATTTCTAGGTCTTAAACGATACAATATAGCAATTTGGGACATTGATTCAGGTAATAGATATATATGTTAATCAACGTAACTTTGAATGATAATCTGGATGCTGACTTTCTTTTCCTGAAACAATAATAGCGTAGGAATATAGTTTACACTTTCTTATTTATTTCGTGTTCGCGGCTGGACTGCGTTGCTTAGAATATCAATGGAGGCTGTGTTGCGTTGTTGAAATAGCTTTGTTTACTGGACTGCGTCCACTATGAATGCGCAGTTTGAATCTAATTTTCTCCTCATGAACACATTCTATTATCAAATCATTTTCACGAATTATACTCGGAGCCTCAACTAACCTTTAGATATCAGAAACGTGTTAAAACTCCTTTCAAGTGTATAGTAAATTAAATAATATGCACATATTTTACAGGTAAAATCAGAACTTTGCTACTGTTTTAGCTTGATCTGGACAACTGCTTATTTTCTTATCTACAGACCAACAGTAGATACAGAGTAATATTTTGGTCACCGATTAGACAATACGATAGCATTTAAAATTCCTGGATTTCTCTATTTTGTCGGAAGAAGCAGTAGGCACTGCCGGATGTCCCTCCATTTTGGCGCTGGGCTGCGGTGTAAAGTTACGCGAGTCGCAGTCCGTGGATTCGCCCTCGTTTTGCTTATCCCCCGTGAAGTTGTAATCGTACAGGCAAATGTATTGGCTCCGTACAGGACTATAGTCCGGGAACAGGATAAGTCGGAGCCTTTGTTTACTTTTGTTAGCGTTTTAACTGCCATCTATGCCATCAAATAGAAGAACGCAGTGGCAACTTGTTTGGTGTGATAGCTATATTTTTGCTAACTCGTTCATAAGCAGTGTTAAATACGTTCTTAATCAGTTTGCAATTAGTTCTACCTCGTTCTCATACGTCCGCAGACAGTTCAACTCGTTGTTAAAACGTCCATAGTAGGATTGAAGTACGATGATTTCGTTCGTAGTACGTCCAGCTCGTCGTTAGGACGTTGTCACTCGTTCTAATTGTAGAACGTGACGACCACGAGAACATTTTGAGCATTGTCTAAGTTCTAGAGGACCTCCCCGTTCGAGTACGTTCGATGAAGTTTGTAAATAGATCCCAAACGGTTCTTAGTAGGTCCAGTCCGTTCGTATACAGTTGAAGCCCGTTTTCGAGAACGCAGTGAGAACTAGTTTGGTGTGATAGTAGGGTTAGGATTACTCGAGTCTCTAGCTTACAGCTAGACGAAACTTCATTGATTTCGTATGTACTGTGCTACACGCACCTACACGCACCTAGAACTCATTTTTAATAAATTTTATAAATATTTTTAAGAATATTAATCATATTTAGGATGAAGCGTTGCTTGTCTGGATTTAGATATGTCAAAATTTCATTTCGGAGTTTGACACATGGTGAAATTTTCTCGCTGTAGCTAAAAATGGCTTCCGGTTCTGGACGTGAATAACATTTGAAATTATTCTCACTGAAAGAAATCAAATATAACAATAGATTCAGACGGGGATGTGAGCTGATGTTCTTCAAATCTATACACAAAGGTATATTTCATATTATTATGCCATATTTACTGTGCGTGTGACACAATGATTTACAATATTTATAATACTAAGGCAGCTCAATCTTCCTCCTCAAAGCCGGAATATAGAGAAGGCTTTGGACCGAAGTAAGGTTAGGATACAATACTAAATATGTATCATTAAGAGATGAATTTGATCATCTATTTGTAAAATGAATAACCAAGGATATCGCCAGGCTACGCGGAGGATATTGCGACGATTTACCAAGAACATCCTATGATTTTTTCAGAATATTGTTTCTCTTGAAAGCCCATGCTTTAATCTACCCGGTTATATTGGGGTTATAATATTGATAATTTAGTATAGATGTCTCATATGTCATGCTGTTCGTCTAAGCCATGGGCTTTCAAGATCATGGAAAGCCCATGTCTAAAGTCAGTGCTAACTTAATCCCTAGCAAAATCCCGGGGATTTGGTCTTCATCGCTCAGTAGACTGGATCTAGCAACTACAATGTAATTGGAGTTTGATGTGTTTCTATGTTAATTAGACGGGACTTACTATGTTTTCCGAAGTAGAGGTACGCAAAGTATTCAGATTTCAGATTAATTTGAACATCTTTGAAATCCGTCTAATTCCCGGGAGTTTGCACTGAACGACAAAATAGTAATCATCCGGCACGGCCGAATACAAGCACTGTTTTCCAAAATATCGACAAACTAATCAAACTTACACATGTTTGTGAGGTGAGTGCATATTGTAATATATTCATTTACTGGACTATGATGTTGTCCACATTTGAAGATGATACACGTGGCAGATCATTGAACTTCTTGTCAGTTATACTATTTTTGAGACCATAGGCCAAGGGAAAAGTTTACTCTACCGAGCTGATAGTCCAACAACATTAGACCTAGCCTGGGCCTCGTTTCTTATCTGACATGTCTTATGGCCCCGGCTAGGTCTAACTTCCATGATGATTTTGCCCTTGTTGCGATCATTTAATCGTTCAGCAGGTTTCGACATGCGGAACTAATTAAACTCCGAAAACATGGTAATATTACATAAAGAATGTGATTCAAGCATGCATACATACCTTATAAATACATACACACCATCCCGTACCCCCCTTAGACCATATTGATGCATAATTACGAAAATATTGGAGACAGGTTTGGAATTTTACGAAAATATCGGTCAGCTCCGGTAACATCGAAATTGCAAATCATATCAGGAATTAACCGTCATTGCGACACTGCATCAACGAACAGTAGGTTTGCAATTAATAACGATTTTGTGTGTATACAAGCGCTATATAAATCAATCAAAGATACCTGCTATCCTCAAAAATGGCTATTTTATCCCGAGTAATCGCGTGATAATTATCAATCTATTTGACAACAATTTCGTTTCAATAGTTTAAATTTTAACCCGGGACGAACAGACACAATGAAGGACATGCGGAAATGTCATTTTAGAGATTGGTAAGTTTAACCTCATTTTACTTGTATAAATGACCATTTAATACAATAATATTGTGTTGAATCGCTTGATGTTATGTGTTTTTATATTGTTGTCAAGTATCAGTTGCATGTTATCGCGGAAAAATGGTTTCGGTGGATCCAAAACTTGCATCAATGGAAAGAATAGTAAAGAGGTTAAACTCAATAATGGCCCCAAGAAAATTCTTAATAATAAATAACGCCGTTATTGAGTTTAACGACGTTGAACTACCGAGCTGACAGAAGTCAGCTCTGGGAAGTTGGATGTATGTGAACTTGAAAAGAATAAATCGAGCCCATTTTGACTAAACGCTGTACTGAGTAGCGTTTATAATACGCTATATATTTGAATCAATACATAATTTATTTGTTGTTACCTTATTTTGTTCCTTCAACAGTCTGTTGTTGTAGTAAATCAATGTTCTTGTAGACAACAAAACTTTTGAATTTAGATTCCAGCCATTTTAGGTCACGCGAGATCTCGTGACTTTCGAAAGTAAAAATTTGCTACAAAATAACTCGCGCTAGCTAAATATGATATAGTCACGTGATCTCTCAGCGGTAATACCCATGCGCATAAAAGTACAATGCGCATGTGCACGCATGCGTAAAAAGTTAAAAAATGGTGTGCGCCAGATTTGGAATTTCTCCATTTTAACTGCAATTACACAAGAAGTAGGACTTATTGTCACTACGCGTGATGAAAAGGGCAAGTTACATTCAATTATCTTCTTAAATACCGTTTCTTATTCCAGCGCGCCTGCTGGAAGTTGGAGAAAACCGCTTCACAGGACGGTATATTCTAACGGTGCTTCAGCTGGCTTTTGAGCCAGCTGTGTTCAGTAAGGAAAAGTAATAGTAAAATAAAAGCTGTATATACGGCTTACTATTACCTTACCCTTGGCCTATGTTCGAGACCCTGTTGCAAGACTTACGCCTGCCACAACCGTCACCATGTTATTTAAATTAAGCTTAGTGTTTTTAAGTATCACAAGGATCCTGCCATGACCGTGGTTTTCTGGTTGGTTGGTTTATTGGTAGATTAGTTCGTTGCTTTGTATTTCGTTGTTTGCTTGATTGGTTGGATGGATTGTCTGTTTTTACTTTAACTGAAAAAGTAGCCTAGTCGAAGGATTTGAATGGGATTTGCTACGCTTTGGCATTGTTGTTATCTAGTTATATGTCCAATAAGTAGACCTACTGCTAGTTAGCAGAAGATAAGATGATTGAATGTGGTTTAATTTTTATTTGCAGGTTTATGCCTATTAAACAATGGTTACTATAACAACAATTGTTAACTTTATGACCATAGCAACAGCAAGTATGATGGGTTTCTTCTGCCTCCGGGCTTCTGACATCTAAAAACTTTTCTGCAATGAAAATAATATGAAAGAACAAGCCTAGAATGAAAGATTCCTTTAAGAACTATTTTACAATGGAACAATGAGGTATACAGTGACACGTTACTGATCGAAACATAGTGATCAACTAAAGTGTAGTGACAAGTTCCTAGGTAAAACAGGACCTACAATAATATGCTGTAGGTTACTAAAAACACTTATTAGGCAACATCCATGTATATGCCATTGCCAATAAGATGTGACATAGGAACAGTGATGTAACTGGCTGTGATATCAGATTTACGTAACACCCATATTGGATAACAATGGATTAAAATAGGCACAAACTTGAGAAAGGCGCAGAGTGAATATGCAGAAAATTCTAAGACTTAATAATATTTAATGGAGATATGATCTGAATCTTATGACAATAGTGTATTATTTTTACCCAGTTCAATGATATACACAATACTTTACATAACTATAATTCCTGGTGAATAAACCCCAGAGTTGATTATGACTATTATTGATATTATATATGATATTGACAGAATGCCAGCTTTATGTATAGTTACTTAGTTATGTGTACTGTAGTCACATTCTGGCAATGTATTTATTAATCTCATTCATATCTTCCCATTTTTTTGAAAAAAATATAGACAGCATACTAATAGAGAGCCATAGAGAGTGAAGATAACATTAATTAATCAAAATGCATATCACATTGCATCACAATACATTCTCTCAACAGTATTGATATATTTGGCCAAGTTTATTTATTAAAGTGCCATTAGACTGAATCTCATATAAAATCATCGACACTTTTGTGTCACGTTTCATGGGCAATTTTAGGCTGTAACACTACTGAGGCAGTAAATTTTACATTTATTTATTCTATGCTTGTTTGTATATATAGCAAACAAAAAAAACAGGACAAGAACTGAAAAGGAACAGAAAAATAGAAGATGTTTTAAGATCTGATCAACAAAAGCAGGATCACTTTGATAAGTTGACAGAAATTTCAAATAAATACAAAAGTTAATACATTCGACTTGAACATTTCCAATCACACAAGTGAAAAATATATTAAGCTGTATACAGTCAGTGACTTTAGATAACACGTCAGTAAATAGTGAGATATTATAAATTCTAAAATGGGGGCTAACAAGGAAAGAAATGGGAATAATGCGGAAGAGCTGGAAAAACTACAAGGTGGGACATCTGCAGCAAGCAGCGGGGTAAGTCAGCAATTTATATATATTTGTTTCCAGCGTGAATCATTTGAGTGGTGGGACTTTTTCAGGGTAACTAAAAGTTATTGACATTGTCAGAGAGTTTCAGTTTGATGTGTTGATGTTAGGTAGGTTTTTATAATTAGGGTGAATGGTATAGAGGCTTTTGGGATGATTAATAATTGATAAAGTACAGTTTCCCCTGGTGAATGGTAGTGAAGTGTTCAGGATGACTGTTTGGCAGGTTTTCACTTGAGTGTAAAGGGTATAGACATTTCAAGGTGAATTGGAGGGGACTGTGAAGGTGAATGGTAGTTTTTAGGGTGCAGGGAAGCAGTTAGCCTTGCCCAAGTCGGTCTCTTTTACTAGCTTGATTTCTATTATGACCAATCAACGATGGCCCTGCAGCGTTAGCTCATTATTATGCACGGTCAAAAACAAGTACACTTTTCGCGGGGACTTTTCACGAACAAATCTTGCATGAATTCATCATGAAAATACAAATATTTTATCAGATAAATGTCAATCAGAGTTTAGTGGATGCCGGAGCATCGATCGGTAACCGGAGGTGAGAAGATTTCAAGAATAAACGTTGATACGATCGCTGAATTCAAATGAACATGTAGGCTGAGATTCAATCACTCACTGATCGACGACTACATGACCCGCTACATTGGACTTGCATTTACATCGCGAAAGCAGTTTTAAATCTATTGCATGATTTAATTTATATTAATGACTCTTACATTCCCTATGTACATTTAATTACATAATATATTGTAACTCTAAAGAAACGATCAATCAGATCATTGAATTTCAAGTCGTAGACGGGAAGATTGCTTTGCTTATATGCATCTGTCAATCAATAAGGTTTCGCGATACCCCTGATAGCGTAGGTATTATGGAAATCTCGAAACCGTTGAATATGTCAGCATAATATCAGCGGAGATGTATTGGATTGTACAAGGCGGTAATAATTAAAGATCAGATAAGTAAAAAAATACCGACTTGGGCAAGGCTAGGAAGCAGTCTACTTTCAATGATTCAGGGAGTGGGCCAATACCACACTTGTTTGTGAGTTTACATGTATACTGTATCAGAAAATTCTCTTAAGTACAGTAGTTGCAATGGAAAATCACACAAAATCAGTGATAGTACTATTTATTTAAAGTTGACAATCAAAGTAGTTGATGCTGATTTAAATTCAAGGTTGCTTTGGTTAAAGCATAGGTTTTGGGCTGATATAAAGATGGCAGCAGCGGTAGAATCCTATTAACATTTGCCCATGTTTGAGAATAAATTTGAATAAAGTAGAGAAGTATATAAATACTGCTTCAAGGACTTTACCATGGCCATTTACGCAAAGCGCAACCTTGCTTTGCCTGGGTATCTCTGTTGCTTAATGCATATTGTCTTTTATATATCAGTGGTTTTACAAAAAAGATCAACTCTAAAGGGCAAAAATGGATTTTAGAAATGCCATTTTGGCACCCAGTAGGACCTAAAAGAGAAGTAATAGACAATTTGATTGGTCTGTCATTTTTATTTACTATTTATTCAGCTTATGGTTAAAAGTATGTGTTGATTACCCTTTGCATTCATTTGACTTCGCTTCTGAAAAGAGACTCTCAGAGAGCTTTGTCTTAGTAGTTAACTAGACTCTGCACACAGGGTATGTGTTGGTTGTTTTAGGACATGAGGGAATGACTGTTGACTTAAGCTTTATGAATAAATTCACCTAGATTTTTTCAGTAGAATGAAGCCTTCTTTGTACTTTAAGTTATTTTATAATCTACAGTAAAACCTGTTATTCGAGACAACTTTCTCATCAAATATCTCTCTATATGAACACTTTTTGTCAGTCCCATTGTCATGTTACCATCAGAAGTGGTTATAGTCTCCAACTTTTTTGTGGACGATGTACTATGAGTGGTGTTTGGCAGTCGGCATTCAGCATCTGTAACAAATGGTAGGTAGTGATATGCTGCATGTTAATGCCTTTTATGTCACTACCACAATTTGTGAGATACATGTATTCTTATAGTCTCTAACTTTTTTGTGACGGTGTGCAGCATCCAATGGTCAGTGTTTGGATTTAGATGTTCGACATCTTACGAATGGCAGATAGTGACATTTTGCATGTAATGGTTAATGGTTAATTTTGCCATATTTTTATATTTAATTTGCCCTAATAGACTTATATGTTGAAAACCTTGAAATGTGAACACCTGCCAATCCAAACACTTTGACCAGTCCCAATAGTGTTCTGTATAAATAGGTTTTACTGTACAAACTGTACTGGCACTTTAAAATTATAAAATAAATCTTTAACTGATGAACACTGATTTGATGAATGGACCACCCCTAATTAAACTTTAGCCCCAAAACAAAGCAGATATTTGCATAGGAATCCTGTTTGGTAATTCAATAGTTCAGAAAAGTCTGAGCATTTAGCAAACATTGTCGACCAATAAGATCAGACTTCTCATGACTTATATTAGATAAGGATGGCATAATGTCAGGCTTTCAACATCAAATAGAAATGATATCAAGGGATTTAGAAATTCTTCTATAGAGTGTTTTTTTCATAGTTCCCATTTGTAGTAAGGTAATAAAGTACAGGATATATTACTGAAGGCTCTGCCTCATCAGTTTTGGATTAACACTTTGCGTTACCATGGAGAAGTCGCAGCAACGAGGAGTAAGTTATTCTAGAGAATTCTAAGATAAACTATTGTAATGAAAAATTTGTTTCAAAGATATTTTTAACTGCTTTATTCAGGTCCTTAGCCAGGATTTGCCTCCGGGGTTCACTTTTTGGAAAATTCCCGGGGGGGGTTCACTTTTGACAATGTTGGTTCAAAAATGGCCAAAATCACTTAAAATGTTTTAAATATTTTTATTTATTATAAATCTATGAAACAAATGTTCTGGTCAAAAAACGTAACATAAATATGTAGTGAGCTGAGCTTGAACTTCACCTATCTAATATGTTTTAATTGTTTCCATGGAGGTGCATGTTCTGTGTAGAAAGTCTAATTTGGTTCCACTAGATCACAATATCACAATAATCACAATATTCAAAATAATCACTAGAAACATGTTCATGAACACTTGTTCACTTGAGGGGATTGTTCACATAAGCCAGGTTTTCACCGCAGGTTTATAGTAACTAGAATGATGTGACTTCACGAGAACTAGATTTATTAGATTGTTGTGTTTACTAGAGAGGTGTTCACTTATAGGTGTTTATGGGCACTTCTTCACGAAAGCAATGTGTTCGCTGTAGGTATGTGGTCACTAAAATAATGTGAGTTCATAAGAACTAGATTTATTAGAAGATTGTTTTTACTAGAGAGGTTCACTAATAAGTGTTCAGTTATAGGTCTTCTAGAGCTAAATCTGTACAAGAGTTATTTGTTGACTCAATGGCCTTTTTACCAAAGCAAAATATTCACTAGATTTTCCCTAATGCAAGGTGATCATTAGACCAACTACATGTAGTTATAAAACTTAGAATGCAGAAAGATTGCAAAACTTGGTAAGCAGAAAGATTGCAAAATTTAGAATGCAGTAAGATTGCAAAACTTGATATGCAGAAAGATTGCAAAACTTAGAATGCAGTAAGATTGCAAAACTTGAAATGCAGAAAGATTGCAACACTTGATATGCAGAAAGATTGCAAAACCTTGTGTGCAGTAAGATTGAGGATGACAGGTCGACTGCTGGTACAGAATTTGTGATGAAAAGAACATTCATTTAAAAAAAAAAATTAGAGGCAAAAATTTCGACTGAGGCACTTTGCTAAACATACATGTAGGTACAGGCCTGCTGTGCTAGGTATACCATTTATTATGTCACCACCAAAAGTGGTGACATATTGTTATGGTCTCCCTTTTTTTGCGACGGCGGTTGGTGGTTGGCGTCCGGCGGTTGGTGGTTGGCATCCGGCATCCGGCGGTTGGCGTCCGGCGTCTGTAACAATTTCTTACAACTTCCTATAACTTAACAAATACTGTTTAGACTGACTTCAATTTTTTTCTAAATCATCTACATGTTCTCAGAAGTTCAAATCTGACTTTAGATTTGACATTTGACCTTCAATGACCTTCTCAAGGTCAAAAAGGTCTTTTTTCAACTTGCTTCACATTGACTAAATTTTTTTTCCAAATCATCTACATGTTCTCAGAAATTCAAATCTGACTTTAGATTTGACATTTGACCTTCAAATCTGACTTTAGATTTGACATTTGACCTTCAATGACCTTCTCAAGGTCAAAAAAGGTCAAAAAGGTCTGTTTTCAACTTGCTTCAAATTGACTAAATTTTTTTTTCAAAATCATCTACGTGTTCTCAGAAATTCAAATCTGACTTAAGATTTGACATTTGACCTTCAATGACCTTCTCAAGGTCAAAAAAGGTCAAAAAGGTATTTTTTCATCTTGCTTCAAATTGACTAAATTTTTTTTCAAAATCATCTACATGTTCTCAGAAATTCAAATATGACTTTAGATTTGACTCTAGATTTGACATTTGACCTTCAATGACCTTCTCAAGGTCAAAAAAGGTCAAAAATGTCTTTTTTCAACTTGCTTCAAATTGACTAATTTTTTTTTTCAAAATCATCTACATATCTCAGAAATTCAAATCTGACTTTAGATTTGACATTTGACCTTTAATGACCTTCTCAAGGTCAAAAAAGGTCAAAAAGGTCTGTTTTCAACTTGCTTCAAATTGACCAAATTTTTTTTTCAAAATCATCTACATCTTTTCAGAAGTTCAAATTTGACTTTACAAGTTCTCAGAAATTCAAATCTGACTTTAGTTTGAACTCATAATATTGTGAGCAACTAGGTGGTGACATTTTGCCATGTTAATGCCTTGTTGTCATTTGTTATACCAAATAATGTTGAACTTTAAGCTGAATTGAAGCTTTTACAAATTTACTTTTTGCTATCACATTCTCACTCCTGTCAAATTCATGAGTTTAAAATACACAAATGAGGATTAATTTTCACTTTTACATGTTTGAATATGTATACAAACATAGTTATGTATATAACTATGTTAAGTACCTTTGGGCTGCACCATTTCATAATTGGTTCTCCAATTGGTTCTATGATAGTCACCCCTAACCATCAACAACGTACATTGACAAAACACGCCGTCGTACACTTTAGATGTACGGTGTCACCATTAATCAATTTGAAGCAAAGACAATGGTGTAGGTTTGATGTAGGTCTTAAAAAAATTATCTGAGCAATTCATTAAGGATTTCAAGCCTGATTTTATGTGTATTTGTTTGGGAAGACATTTTAATTTCTTATAACGTCAAAATATTTTCAAACAGTGCTAGGTTTTTTTCGTGGTTAATCTACCCATATAATTGGTCGGTTGAAAAATGTTGTTTTTTACATATTTCCCTTGATCATTTCCTCGTCTTTAACGAACATGTTCAAGTATCCTTTGTACAGATGATTTTAAAGATAAGGTAAATGTGATTTTTTGCTTTTTCATTTTATGAAAGTATTGTTGTGGTGGTGGTTAATTTGTGCCCATTGGGTGTTAGCTTCCAGCCCAAACTCCCACTCAGTGTCTTGGGTAGATTATGTTGAAGACTAGCACTGCCATGGACTTTGCTTCCAGCCTCTGGTTATTTTGGTCTTCCCAAAAAAATACACACATAGTCATTGCGCCATAGACACATTGAGGGTCTCAATAAATAGCGTCGTCTCCATTGTCAATTATTGCGATTTGCAATATCAGTTTTAAGCTGCTGTCACGAACATAATTACAACTAATTAAGAAATTCTCAAAGGAAAGTATAAAATATTATGTAAATGTAATGCTGAAGAGGCAAAAACTGAAAATTGTTGGTGAATAAATCCAATTTTCTTCAAGATAAAAACATCAGAGTCTGACACATTTTTTTGTTGAGTCCTGACATAATTTTAATCGTGTCAACTCCAATTTTTTATGTGACTTATACTACTACTGTATAACGGACATGTTCAAGGCTTAATGAAGCAAGATGTCTACCCTGCGTGCAGAGTCTAGTTAAACTACATGTTAAGTCTGGTGCGCTGCTCGTGAATAAGGTGATTATCACACATTTAACCGTAGATTGACTACTACGAACTAAGAAGACGAAGCTCTCTTTTAAGAAGTGAAGTCAAACGAATGCAAAGGGTACAAGATGTCATAATTTATCAGCAAATGTGTTATTCATGAAACAAGATGTCATAATTTATCAGCGGGTGTGTTATTCATGAAACAAGATGTCATAATTTATCAGCGGGTGTGTTATAACTGAGTGGTCCTCACACATTTATGAGGAGTGAGCTGTGCATGCCTTGTAGATGCTTTCTTACTTTTTGTTTTGAAAATTATTTCACAACCAAAATATCTTGAACTGCAAGAAACAAGATTTTTGTAGATTAAATTCATAATTTTTCAATAATTTTTGATGAGTCACTTGGTAGAGTAAGTATAACCTAACCATATAGTATAGTAGGACAACAAATTAAGTCTGCGCATTACTTCTCATATCAGATGGAGCATTTTGACCTATGGTAATTAAACAGCTCAAGTGGTAAAATAAAAACAGATATAGGCTACCCAATACAAATAGTTTGTTAAGTCATGTTAGGGTACTAGTAGTCATTTTTATGACCAGGTGGCGTTATTGGTATTACATTGAAAGAATGATTGAATAAAAATGGATTCAGTGGACTAATTTTCACTTGAATTTTTGGAGTGTGATTTTTGATTATTTAGAATGTGTCCAGAAAATAGAATTAGTCTCTGTTTTATTAACACACTCTATGCAGATAAGAGACATTTCTAGAAATCACAATTCAAATTAATTAATTTTCAAAGACAATAAACAAATTTTAAAGTCACATCCCCTCCCCGACATATCAGAACAGTATCTCTTGATTACTGAAGCAATGACCATATTGCAGTGTTGAGCATGAGTACTGGAGATGATCTATGACATATAAACCCATATCAGCTTATTTCATGTATGTTTGCTCAAAATTGTGCCACTTGTACTACTTGTTAGAAATTATAAAATTGTCTATCTAATATTACACATTGGGTTTAAGATTACATATTTTATAATCACTGTCTACAGTTGTATTTGTACAATTGATAAGGCAGCTTGTATACTCTATAGAGTTTTGGTCTGACTTAATCTTTTTTAACCTATTTAAAAGAGGTTTTCATCTAGAATTTTACTGCTGGCCCCTATCACCATGATTGAGGGTTATTTTTCCATATATCATGTATCATGGAATATGTTAACACTGTTGTTTGCTCAGCTTCGGTAGTCTTCAACTTTTTTGTGGTGTTTGGTGGTCAGTATTCAGCATCTGTAGCAAATGGCAGGTAGTGACATTTTGCATGTTAACGTCTTGATGAAATTGGTGTCATGGGACCTGTCATTAGTAAAAAGTAAGTTGTAATATATATTTAACTTTTATTGATATCTTGTATTATTACATGATTACATTAGTCACAACTACTCACTAAAACTACTATCTAACTACAATATTTTAAAGTGCTTCCTATAATATCAACAGACTACTTATTAATTGTGATATTGTACATCTTTGACCTCAGTTTATTTATTTATCCATATGTAAAACATGTGTGGAACACCTTTGGTACCAGAGGGGTTCCACTTTTAGATGAGTTCCACTTTACAGGTTTTACTGTATTGTCATTCTTCTCAAGAGTGCGATATTGTTTACCCTGTGTTTTTGGAAGAAAATCTACAAATGTTTGAATAAAAGAAAATGCCTGGGTATGAAACCAATTTTTTGCTATTTCTGGAAGAAAGCAGCATTAGCATTGATCATTCTTTTAATCAGATTTGGACAAAAACCTACATTTATCAAACTATTTCAAATAATTGCCTTTGATATATTATGCCTGTATAATTTGTTCAGTAGGGGAGGTCCTTCAATCATTGATGACGCAAATCAGAATTACACCAAATCCCTTCCATAAAATAATCCAGTGATGAATTTATAGGTTAGATGGAATATTTGATACACATGCATAATTACACTATTTAATATTTAACGTAACAATCAGCATTACATTACATATTTCCCAACATTAACGTTCTTAATTCATTGCCCTGTTCAATGTTGTTATTTTAAGCACTACAATTTTGTTTTTGCACAGCAGATGGCAGACTTTGTTTTAGGTTCTAGCATCTATTAATCAATTCATGTAATAGCAGATATTATACACCATTAGACATTAGTTTTATTGCAGTTATTTGGTTCAGTTATTAGGGAATAGACTGCAATTAATGGAATGAGCTTCAGATGTTCAGATAGTTATTGCAATGTTAGGAAAGTTATTGCAATGTTAGGAAAGTAATTACAATGTTAGGAAAGCTATTGCTATTTTAGGAAAGTTATTGCAATGTTAGGAAAGTAATTAAAATGTTAGGACAGTTCTTGCTATTTTAGGAAAGTTATTGCAATGTTAGGAAAGATATTAGAAATGTTGTAGTGATGCTGGAAAAAGATATAACAGTGAAACCTGTAAAGTAGAACACCTCTAGTAGTGGAACACCTGTTAGTAGAACACTTCAGAGTTCCAAGACCAACTGACTTAATGTTAAATTAACCTCTGTAATATTTTAAAGGTACCCAAGTAAATGTGTTCCACTTAAACAAGTTTTACTGTACAATGTTAGTTAATTGTGGTATATAGGTTATAATGACAAGATCTTTTCAATTTCAATAATGTAGATGTTCATGTTAACAGGTTCTCGTGACTGTGACATCTTTTAACTGTTCTACAACATATGAAGACATGATATTTTCACTTTTGCATGGCTGTGGCATTTTGAATTATGATATATATGTTAAAAGATATTTTTTTCATTGAATTTACTATTGGTCATGATACGATGATAGGATCTTTTTTCAATGACTGGTGTTTTTAATCGTAATGTATACAGTGACCCTCATTTGTTCAATCAATAATGGCTCTAAACAAGCAATCATTGAATGAATTGTAAAAGTGTTTATATACATGATACCAAGGTTACAATACAATTTGCAATATTGTAGGATAACAGATATGCTACTCAATCAATACAATGTTAAAGATAAAATGACAATGTGAAGATATCACTCCACCCTCGCATTAATAACAGAATAAATGGGATATTGCACAGAACTGCTGTTTGGAAAATACAAACTCAATTGACACGTTATTTTGAACTAATTTTATCAAGGGAGAAAAAATAAGCTGACGGGTTTACTGATGCTCGAGTCAAAAAGATGGATATACAACTATACAGATTTCGGATTTAGATTTAAATAGCTTTATTGTGTGTTCTTTACATTTAATGAATATACAAGTAGAAAGCATTGTATGTTTATTGCATACTAGATGGTTGTTAATTAGATTTAAATTGATTGAGAAGTTTGAACATGGAAAAGCAAAGAAATACCACACCTCAGATCATGAGTAATTAGCATGACCCGAGCTTACAGTGTTATTTATATACAATAAACAAGTCTATAACAGATGGAGGAGAGATGATTTCATTTCATCTTTATTTAAGCATATAGCTGAACAATATGAAAAAGAAAATGGACTATGAGGAGATTGGGAAACAACCAGTAAATATATTCTCACAATCTCTTGACCCTTATATTTTTGTTTATCATATTTCTAAGGGCTCTTGTTCAGCATTATCAGTATCATATTATATACATGTACTGTACAGTACATATTTATTTATTTTGTATATAGCAAAGGAATGCATATTATAGTACAGGCCTCCTGTAGTAGAGACTGATTGTAATGCTAATTTAACCAGGTCATCTGAACTGTATAGGTGATGGTTTGAAGCACTTATTGTTTGTAGTCACTTTTGTGATTTTCACTAACCTCTGATGTTATTGTGTTTCAGGGTCTGACTGGCCTTTTAGTATTGAGTGTCTCTGCTGCTGTATTCGGATCATTCCAGTTTGGCTTCCAGACTAGCGTCATCAATGCTCCACAGGCGGTAAGTGTCTTCTCTACCATACCCATGTGCAATATACAAGCCCCAATCAATGGTGATCACACCGTCAGCTGCTTGAGCCTATGGTATAATATGGGTGCGGATATTAGATACCCCTGAAATGTGAACCTTTCCTTTTTAGAGATAAGACTCAAGTGTAAATAAATGGTCTCAATTAGAAAATTGTCTCCATTATGTGGATGAATTGTCTCATATATTTTTGCGAGCAATACTTTGACTACAACACTTTGACCAGGAGTGTCAAAAATATACTTATTTCCCACACTTTCCCACATGTAACGATTTAGACAGAGTAGGAAAATATAAAAAAATCCACTCAAAAATCTTCAGAACACCGCATGTCATCATCAATATTGAGAGCAGACTTTAACTTTGATTGCACTACTCTAAGAATTCAATTTCAATCACACCCTGAAGTTTGTTTTTAATTGCAGAAAAATATTCATTTTAATTGCAGGTTATTGAGAGTTTCTATAATGCTACTAATGTTGAGAGAACAGGTTCCCCTATGGCGAGGAATACACTCACGATTCTTTGGAGCGTCACCGTCTCCATCTTTGCCATTGGTGGCATGTTTGGGGGTGTCATGGGTGGGTGGTGGTCTGATTATTTTGGCCGCAAGAAGGGAATGCTGTTAACGAATATAGTCATCGTCATAGCGGCACTTCTGATGGGTTTCAGCAAACTTGCAAAGTCATACGAGATGCTTATCATTGGACGAGTTATCGTTGGTTTTGGATGTGGTAAGATTAAAAAATGTGTGATTGTCTTCAAAAAGAAAAATCTTAGAATATGCAGAAAAATAGGGACAAGAAAATAAATTAATAAATTAATACAAAATATTATCAAAATTAATATGATAATAAAATGACTTTTTTAACAACCAAATAAAAAAAAAAAATTATTATCTTTCACCATATACATTTTATTTCTGTATCTCGGGTTGTTCAAATATATTCTAGGTTATCCTACTATATTTCATGTTCTAATTTCAGGTTTATTTTTCGGTCAAATTAAAATCAAAATTATTGTCTATATACATAAATATCATTTTAACAATTTTTCTAAAGCTCAGGTTGTTTTAGTATATTTCAGGTTGTTCTACTATTTTCAGGTTTATTTTCTGGTCTAACTCCCACATATTTAGTTGAGGTTGCCCCTAACAACCTGAGGGGAGCTATAGGAACTGTGCACCAGTTGGGGGTTACTATAGGGATCTTGCTATCCCAGGTGTTTGGAATAGAGGAGATCCTTGGCACTGAGAATGGGTGGCAGTTCCTAGTAGGTATGTACTGTACTCAGGACTTTCATTGATGGTGTCCAACTTTTTATTACCTCCTTGCTTTATAGATATCAGCATTCTCCCTAGTGGTAGCAAAAGTTTCACAATTCAGACAAAAAATAGTGAAAATATGCCCATTTTTCACAATTTTTCTCATTTTCAAGTTTAAATCTCAGGTGGGTGCTGCACCCACTTGCCTTAATTCTGGGGAGATCGTTAGATATGAATTAACCTTCAAAATTTTGTTTCAACCAACATTTTTTATGAAACTAAATAGCATTCTACTTATTTTAATAACAGAGTGTTTATGATATTGTCAAACACATTAATTGGTGTAAAAGTAAAATAATACTGATGTTGTACCTACTGGTATCAAGGTAACTAGTATGATGCAGACATTGTTACTATGGTGAGAAAATAATGCATTTTTCGTCCCATGAGCATGATATATCATGGAGTTCATTTTGTAACTTTTATTGTGGTAAAGATTTGAAAGGGATGGGTCTCTCTAGTAGGGGAAACGTTAGCAATATTTTCTCAGTTCAGATTTATGCACAAGAGAATCTAAAGAAAGATATGCCAACACAGGTATTTTGTAAATGGATCATTAAGCATATCCTTATGGAAAGGAGGGACAATGTATATTTAGGTAACCATTATACCTCTACTTGGTATCAACATTTATGTACTGTATTCCAGCAATACCAATTGTCCCAGCCATACTTCAGTTGATCATGCTGCCATTCTGCCCAGAGAGCCCTAGGTATCTTTTGATCAGTAAAGATGACGAGACGGCAGCCACAGAGGCCCTTGTAAGGTTACGTAATACTCATGACGTCAAGTCAGACATTGAAGAGATGAAGAATGAACAGCTTGCTGAAGCCTCTGAAGCTAAGGTATGAACCTCTAACAATGAACACTGTTTTATTTACACTGTACAATGTACAACAAAACCTGTAAATTGAACACTTCCAAAGTTGAACACTTTTTTTAAGTTTTATATATATTATACACCCTTGGTATACGCAGCTAACGAAAATTGACCGGTACGGGTCAAAAGCTGGACCGGTACAGGTGAACGGTTTTATTTGAATTTAAAACAGCCATAACTTGCTCAATATTGACTTCCTCGTGTCTAATTTGAAATATATGATGCCTCTCGATGCTTTTAAGTACCCCAATTTTTTACAGATTTACGCTCTTTTCTCTCGAGAACGACTGTCTCATTTTCACGATAACTTTTATTTAGTACTTCTAACATATAAGATCTATTTTTCCCCATCAAGGTATGATGTAAATGACATGCTATTTACATCTTGTGAGTTTCAATGACGCGCGTTTGATTTTATAAAAAATGCCAAACTTTGTGACAAAGAATTTCATCCTGCTTGCAGCGAGAAGACGGACCGGTTCGGGGCAATCTGCTTGCAACGAGAAGACGGACCGGTTCGGGGCAATAGCTGATAGTTTGTCACAAAGTTTGGCATTTTTTATAAAATCAAACGCGCGTCATTGAAACTCACAAGATGTAAATAGCATGTCATTTACATCATACCTTGATGGAGAAAAATAGATCTTATATGTTAGAAGTACTAAATAAAAGTTATCGTGAAAATGAGACAGTCGTTCTCAAGAGAAAAGAGCATAAATGAGCATTTAGAGAGTTTTGGTACGTTTAAAAATCTGTAAAAAATTGGGGCACTTAAAAGCATCGGGAGGCATCATATATTTCAAATTAGACACGAGGAAGTCAATATTGAGCAAGTAATGGCTATTTTAAATTCAAATAAAACCGTTAACCCGTACCGGTCCAGCTTTTGACCCGTACCGGTCAATTTTCGTTAGCTGCGTATACCAAGGGTGTTATATAATATTTATATACATATTGAAGATGAACCTCTGTAGGTGGAGCACCTCCAAAGTGGAACACTATTTTGAGGTTCAAAAAGTGTTCCAAAAAACAGGTTTTACTCTACTATGAACACTAAAATAGACACATGTGCAAATACAACTCCTTGTAACTTACAAACGAGGATTGATCACAAAGTTCTCATAATATTCCTCGTATTGCTTTATACTTTGTTATACATGTACAATGAACTCTATATTCTTTGAAAACGCATAGAAATAGAAACTATGTGGTATTTAAGAACACTTATAAACCTTGAATCCTCGTTAATTATGAAGTTTTGAACACTCAAAGAATATGACCTGTCAATCGCCTAACACAGGCCCCAGGGATCAATCTTCTAAAAAGTAAAGAACATTGTGGATTATGTCAGGAGCCTTGCTTTCAGAGGATTATAAGCTATGGTCACTCATTAACTGCTATCATTCATGTTATCGATTCCCTTCAAAGTCATCCAATAAGATAACATTCCTCAAATAACATAGGCATTCTCTTATATAATTATTCCATACCTTTATTTTCAGATGGGTTTTGTAGCTTTCATCAAGAGCCCCACTTTGAGACTTCCCCTGATCATTTGTATTGTGATGCATCTCTCTCAGCAGTTGAGTGGAATAAACAATGTAAGTGGCAATTGCTTGTTAAAGACCCTGTGTAATACCGTTAAAGGCCTGTGTTATGATTCTTGACCCTGTGTTATGATTCTTGACCCTGTGTTATATTTAGTCAATTGTGGAAGACCATTTTCTCTGTTTGCCCTGTTAAATGCCTATTATACTGAACTGAAAGTCCTGTCTTAGTGAGTAGAGTTGCGTGTATACATATAATTAAATAGTGAACAAAACTGTAAATCCCTATATCATTGTCCAAGGGCATCTAATGATACTGTTAAAGGTCCTATCTTATCCAGTAAAGTTACATGTATACATTACAATATGATCAACATATTTGTGAAAGTGACCGATGCTGTACAAAAACTTCGCATATTAGTGTTGAACACTTTTAGGCCATCTTTTCCATGGTTGTGGTGTAGAGGCACCTCACAAGTGGAACACTTTTGAGGTACCAAAGGTGTTCCACTTAGACAGGTTTTACTGAAATTCTCATCCTGGATTTACTCTACTTATATATAGGTTTTCTACTACTCCACTGGACTGTTTGAAAGCATGGGCATAGCTCTGAGGACTGCCAAATATATCAGCCTGTGTGTTGGAGGGATTATGGTTACTATGACGATTGTTTCTATACCATTGATGGACAAGGCAGGACGTAGAACACTTCACCTTACTGGCTTGGCAGGAATGTTGACTTTCAGCATTTTATTTACAGTGTTTTTCTCTACGAAGGTAAAGATCAGATTTTCTTTGTCATACATGTACTGGGTGACACAAAAATCAACTCTTATTTTGGAGAAGCTTATTTACTCAAGGGGCGAGGAGGAAAATTCTCAATAAATGGTGTATAGTTGGTTTGGCAGCATTTTCAGTTAGGGGAGAGTCTTGGATGAAACTTCCACCTAGGTGATAGCTTCACAGAGTGGTAGGAAGTTCTTTTTTTTGATGAGTTAGCCCCCCACCCCTCAAAAACACCCCACCCTGGGGAAAAAAATTGTTCACACTAAATAACCTTAGATATTTTGATGTTTGTAAGTGACATACATAGATATTATATATATGAATCACTTGCAGTATAATTGATGCTGATAACTCCTAAAGAATTTGAAAATTAGTACAAAGTAGGTACCCCAGGGGGCAAATTTGTGACTCATTTTCTTACTATTTTGATTCTAACTTTTCAATTAGACACTGTAAGAGGTTGGAAAAATTCATGTGAAGTGCCCAATAGCAGGGTTAGTAACCCTGAAAGATGCAAAGCCATGGAAGAGGTAGGAGCTGAGAAAAAAATTGTTGATTTTTCGAAAAATTTGACATTTTTGACAGCTGGATTTTGTGTATGACTATAGCTGACCCTTATAATTTTTAGATCCATCCCTCTATGATGATATTTATGGTTTCATTGTGTGAAACTAAGATGTAAAACATAATTTAGATGGGTTTTAAGGAAGTTAAAGGTTTTAAACAAGTCCAATATTTGAAAAATTGTAAATATAAGGTTTCAAATTTACGAATTCCAGGTATAGCCATGGCTGACCCCTATAGTTTCTAGATCCATCCCTCTATGATGATATTTATGGTTTTATAGTGTGAAACTAAGATGTAAAACATAATTTAGATGGGTTTTAAGGAAGTTAAAGGTTTTAAACAAGTCCAAAATTTGAAAAATTGTAAATATAAGGTTTCAAATTTACGAATTCAAGGTATAGCCATGGCCGACCCCTATAGTTTCTAAATCCATCCCTCTTTGGTGATATTTATGGTTTTGTAGTATGGAACTAAAGATGTAGAACATAATTTAGATGGTTTTTAAGGAAGTTAAAGATTTTAAACAAGTCCAAAATTTGAAAAATTGTTAATATAAGGTTTCAAATTTACGAATGTTAGGTATAGCCATGGATGACCCTTATGGCTTTTTCATCCATACCTCTATGATGAAACATATATTTTTAGAGTGTGAAACTAAGAAGTAAAACATACCGAAGATGAATTTAAGGAAGTTTAAGAATTTTAACAAGTGCAATGTTTGAAAAATTGAGAAATATCAGGTCTCAAAGGAGCACGGAAAGTATCGCAACATATTTCAGACAGTCATATGTTAGATTGCGTCTGTTTCCTGAGGATTTAACCAGGTGCATATGATAGGCCATTGCATTACCTAAGGAAAAGAACTCTTAGAGATGATAAAACAGTTTGGACTTTGAGACATCGAAGGTGAAAACAATCCACCCACATGTTTTTTCGGAAATGTTGTCCTGATTTTCACGCCCTTTCACCCCTGCTTTTTCAATTTTTGTTGCATCAGTGTGTTGCGTTTTGAGACATAGTTAACCCCTAAAAAGGAATAATAAATTTCTTTTAGATAAAGCAGAAAACAATATTTTCCTGTTATTTTCCCATAGGGAAAACTCATGTGCTCCATTTCTTTCTGCTTAATTTTGGTCACCCATATTTGATATCTTTTAAACCCCTGATGGAATGCATTATTTCTTTAAAGGGGTTAACTGTGTGTCAAAACACAACATATTGATGCATGTGGGTGGGTTATGTTTGCACCCTGTCTCAAATAGAAATTATTTTATCATCTCTATGAGTGCTTTTCCTGGAGGAAATGCATTGGGCCTAACATATGCACCTCCTCAAATCCTCAGAAAATAGCAAAAATCCAACATGTGACTGTCCTAAATCTGTTGCGATACTTTCAGTCCTCCTTTACGATTTCAGGTATTGCCTTGGATGTCTCTTTTTTGGAATGTATGACTTTTTAGCTTAGAAATTAGATGTTGAAAATATTGTGGTCAGGTTTGATCCATGTTACTAGTATTGTTAAAAGAAAAATCATTAGAGTTGAGGACCTTACCCTAGAGTTCCTAAGGGGGTGAGAGGTTAATAAATCCCCCCCCCCTAAAGTGTAACTGCTCTTAGGGATATCGTATACAGTGTAGTAATTGATTGATTAAATGGATTATAACTAATTAATTATTATTTGATGATATTTATTATTATAGCATTTTTACTTTTTCACATCAACATGTTCGATGTAATGTTCTACATTGTCAAAATACATAAAGACATGGTTAATTAAAAGAAACATGATTTCTCTATATTTTGTTATGCATCTCCTAATACAAAATATTATTATAAATTATCAAATTATAATCACTTCACTCCCAATAAAACAACTTGTCATCAGGCAACAGTAATTATTTGGGAAAATTAGGATTATAAGGATCATACCCCGCTTGGCCTAGAAACATTAGTGCAATGAGATTAGGAACTCCAGGGTAAAAGGGTCTTGTCACACTAAAATCTTCATGTAGATCAAAAAAGTATATATGGTGATATATATGATCAATATGTTTCAAATAAACAGACATTGTAGAAAATGTTTACATACTGACTTTGCAGATGACATTTTCTAGTAGTTGAAGAATTTTTTACATTTATTGAAATGATAGTCATTAAATTAGAATATCAGTGTCATTTATGATGTCAGTATAAATACGAGGGGTGATCCAAAAGTCTGACGCATCGCTCGAACTTTGCTATTTTCTAATATAATTACATGAAACTTTCAGATAATAAAGATCAACATCTTACCAACTTTGTGTATAAGTTTCACCAGAAAATAATAAATTTTAGCTACTTTTCTAAATAATTTTTAAATACCGGGTCCCTGCCACCTGGAAAGGTATTTAAATATAGCAAAGCACGTCACACCTACGGTTAATATGGCAAATACTTTAGGTGCAGATGCACAGCCTAATACCGGTCATGATATGAGAGAATTTCAGATTTTCAATCTAATTGTCATCTGCCATCATCATCGTCACATATTAATACCTACTTTTCTAATGTTTTTAACGAATTTGAACACAAAGTTTTCGTACCTCTTTACCAATGAATGGAAGATATTTATGAAACTGCCATTGCTTATATGATACAAACGCTGCTGGAGTGCCACTCTAAACCTTATCAAATGAATAAAAACAGTTTCTTCCAACCCTCCTTTTCAACTTGGAGAAAAGGAAGAAAATCTCACGGAGCCATATCTAGACTACATCGTGCATATGGTTGCTACACAAGGTCAATAGTAGTGAGAATATCTTTGTAGTATTCTTTGTTCCACCTTGATTTCTTTCATGTTCTGCATTTCAGCAGCCATCTTGGAGCACAAATGATACCAGATTGAGGGTTGCTTGTCTGATGTCATTTTGTTTGAATTTGATTTATATGGCCAATGTCATATGTGACATTATAATTCAAACACAATTAATTGGTTGCCTAGTAACAAAGGAAGTGAACTAACATGGTTTATCATTCAAAATTCAAAATAAGATAGTGATCAAGACTTGCGAAACAAGTCAAATGGCGGCAACATTTAAGGCTGAAAGTTGCCATGTGTGAATACCGTTCCGGGTGGCAGGGTCCCTATATAAAAAACTGTTTAGAAAACTACATAAAATATATCATTTCTCCATGAAATTAATACACAAAGTAGTTCAGTTGTTGGTCTTTATTATTGGGAAGTTTAAAGTAATTTTATCAAAAACCAACAAAATTAGATCAGGCCGTCCAAGACTTTTGGATCACCCCTCATATTAATATTTTTCATTGAGAATGCATTCATATTTCTTCAAAATCCAGAACTTGTATTGTAGATGTAAAAACCTCAAAATTCAAACACTCCTAATTAGAATGCTTTTAGCTGGTCCAAATACCAGTAGCATTCAGATTAGAGAGATTTCACTGTAATTCACGACTTTTCACTCCATCTATATGCAGCAGACTAACTGCTGCAACAGGTATATATTCTACACCTGGTCTCTAAGCTATGATATCATAGTTGATACTATTATGCTCATAACCTTCAATTATCAGGGCAAATTCAAGGCTGTACCTGAATAACGTGAATTTGAGACCAATTTTGAGATCAATTTTTCAAATTTTGCACTTGTTTAAAACCTTGAACTTCCTTCAAACTCATCTTAGGTATCTTTTACATTTTAATTAAATACTCTTAAAACTAATTTCATCCCTGAGGTATAGATGTAAAAACCATAAGGGTCATCTTTGGCTATACTTGAAATTCATAAATTTGAAACCTAACATTTACAATTCTTCAAATTTTGGACTTGTTTAAAACCTTAAACTTCCTTAAAATTCATTTTGGATATGTTAAATCTTAGTCCCACACTCTAAAACTGTATTAATCATAGAGGTATGGATGTAAAAATCATAAGGGTCAGCCATGGCTATACCTGAAATTCGTAAATTTGAAACCTTATATTCACAATTTTTCAAATTTTGGACTTGTTTAAAACCTTAAACTTTCTTAAAACCCATCTAAATTGTGTTTTACATATTAGTTCCACATGGCAAAACCATAAATATCATCATAGAGGGATGGATTTAGAAACTATAGGGGTCAGCCATGGCTATACCTGGAATATGTAAATTTGAGACCTTATATTTACAATTTTTCAAATTTTGGACTTGTTTAAAACCTTTAGCTTCCTTAAACCCATCTAAATTATGTTTTACATCTTAGTTTCACACTATAAAACCATAAATATCACTATAGAGGGATGGATCTAGAAACTATAGGGGTCAGCTATAGTCATACACAAAATCCAACTGTCAAAAATGTCAAATTTTTCGAAAAATCAACAATTTTTTTCTCAGCTCCTACCTTTTCAATGGCTTTGCATCTTTCAGTTTTACTAACCCTGCTATTGGGCACTTCCCATGAATTTTTTCAAACTCTTACAGTGTCTAATTGAAAAGTTAGGATCAAAATAGTAAGAAAATGAGTCACGAATTTGCCCCCTGGGGTACACACTTTGTACTAATATTCAATTTCTTTAGGAGCAATCAGTATCAATTATACTGCAAGTGATTCATATATATAATATCTATGTATGTCACTTACAAACATCAAAATATCTAAGGTTATTTACTGTGAACAATTTTTTTCCCCGGGTGGGGTGTTTTTGGGGGGTGGGGGGCTAACTCCTCAAAAAAAAGAACTTCCTACCACTCTGTGAAGCTATCACCTAGGTGGAAGTTTCATCCAAGACTCTCCCCTAATTGAAAATGCTGCCAAACCAACTATACACCATTTATTGAGAATTTTCCTTCTCGCCCCTTGAGTAATTGTGGAATTTTCTTAACTACCTTGAGAGGCAGAGCCATGTACATTGTAGATGAAACTCTCTTTTAAAGAAGCAAAATCAAACTATTGTAAGAGTAGTTCTTGATTTTTCTTTTATGTGTACAGAGTGTGTTTAGGCGAATCTAAATTGAGACATTTTTTAAAAAAGTATGAAAATACTCACATGTTCCCAGACTTTATTTTGTGTGGTGTACAGTCGTGTACTTGGCATACAGTGGCATGCTTCTAAAATTAGAGGGCTGGGTATTTTGGGTTACCCAGTATGTTGAAGGAGATACCTTCACTGATGGTATCAATGATGGTTTCAGCTTCCCTTTAACGTAAAGAAACATCTAGATTCGCATTAGAAATTGGATGAAACATTATTTTAAATAATTTATTAAGTCTTGTGTTCTTTAAAACGAATTATTAAGAAATTTAAAGTTAAAAGAAAATGGAGATAAAATCCTGTGAACTATAAAGGCAAGTATTACTCATATTGAGAATTCTAATATGATAAATGACGTCACAATAGCTAGAACAATTGATTTACTGGTCTATATTCTGATATTGGAGTATGTATGACACTAAAATTCATAAATGCAAATATTTGTTTTTTCCTGTCTGTTTATCATATTAGAATTGTAACAAAGACCTTGATTTTATGATTATGTCAAATATAAGACCTCAAATTTTATTCTGGCTATTGCCAAAGACCTCAATCGCAACGTGATTTCGGTCTTTTAACAATGAACAGAATAAATTTTTCGGTCATATATCACGCCATAAATCATAAAATCTCGGTCTTTATTTCTTAAATAATGCCAAATGCGTGAAATATTACTTTTTTTACTTATTGTACTATACACTGTACTCCTTATTTTTTATGATATGTAAAATATCACCTTCAATTGTATTTACTGTACTTTCCTTTCAGCAATATGTCGATTGGTTCAAGTACATTTCCATTACATGTGCTCTAATCTTTGTGGTCTTCTTTGCTGTCGGGCCAGGTTTGTAGTTATAACCTCCTAGTATGTATTTTAAACAGGAGTATTGTATATACAGGGTGATCGATAAATAAGGTAAAAGTATCTGGCATTTTGTAAATATTGGTCCAAACATCCTGAAATTTGGTCAGAATATACCTTGCACATTTCTAAATTAAAACATAGAAATATATAACTTCTGCCATCTGATTGGTTAATATTATAGTTACTATGGCAACTGGAGTCGTGGTTACCCGGGGCAATTTCATTGCGTCCAATTTGGACAAAAAATGATGAAAAGCACATCTTTTTCAAACTGAAAAGAAATAAACGTGGGTGCCATCATTAATTGTTTTAATACTTAGTTTACATTGTTACATATTTTCTTGCAAATTTGATGTTTGATGTCACGGAAAAGATTAATATGTAATGAAAACTGATGTGATCATAGATAGTCTATGACACAGGTCAATGATGAAAGACAATACCCACAGAAGAGTTTGATGAGAGAAAAGAGGAAGAAGCTAAGACTAAGAGGCCTGCAAAACGTTACACATTGCACTGGGATATGCTATTCTCACAGTACAAACCATTGAAGCACTGGGTTTCCCACTGTTAGGTCATGTACTATACTCTCTTGACTTGTCCCCTTATGATTTTACCTTCATGGTGAGCTGAAGAGGGAGTTGAGGAAGTTTCTCATTGGAAGACTTGAAGTCAGCTATCTCGAAAATTTGCAGGCTATGGGAAAATGGGTTTAAAAAGGTTTTCAAAGACAAAGACTGGAGTAGAAGACAAGAACTATAGGCCTATGTTAAAAACAAAGGACATTAAGTAGTGGTTATGAAGTATAAAATAAGAATATGATATGCCATTTCAATTGTGATTTGAAATATATTACCAAAAGTGCTTCGACTGAAAATTTAGTCTTTTGAAAGTTGCCCCGGGTCTTCATGCTTTCTGTTACTATGGCAACTATAACTTCAACCAATCACATTACTTTGATCTGTAACTTAATATACCAATTCAATAATGTTTGAACATTATTCTGTGCAAATTTTATGAGGATTGGGTAAAAACTGAAGAAATGCCAGATACTTTTACCTTATTTATTGATCACCCTGTACATATATATTTATGTACATGTAATTACCTATGGTATACTTTCATCAGCCTCAAACCATATTTTAAGGGTGTTAAGTAATTATTCATAACTTTGAAATATTATGAGACTGTACAAAAAGAATATCAATGAACTAAGCATTTGAGAGGACTTTGGGGTCTGGCCTACACAGGCAAAAAAATTGGCATTTTATGATCCTAAATGTATGATATTGCTATAATGTTTTTGTATTGAAGGCTCTGTACCATGTTTCAATGTTCCATTGTAGGCTCTATACCATGGATGTTAGCACAGGAGTTGTTTTCCCAGGGTCCTCGGCCAGTTGCTGTATCAATTGGGGTTGTGATCAATTGGTTGGCAAACTTTGTAGTGGGACTCTCATTCCCTCCTCTACAAGTAAGATATATACAGTATTTAGATGATTGAGTTCAGTTTTATATATTATTTACTCAAGTAAAATTTTCCCATATTACAAGTTAATTTGCAATGTCATCCTTTCACCCTTGACATACATGTTCTTCCTATTATATACTTTGTTCAGAATTTTTAAAAAAGAAAATTGTATCCTTCATCCTTCATAAGTTTTGAGAAAGAATCAAAGTATTTTTATTAGCCTATATTGTATCTGTTGCACAGAAAATATCAATATTTATTTGATTTGCTAGATATATTACATCACGCCCGGTGATCGTGAATATGGGATGGAGGGGGGGAAGCAGGCAATTTCTGCTAGGAAATTCAACAAATCTGGAAGATTTATTTTTTCAAGAAAAAGTTTACTATTGAATTGCTTAATGGATAGGCGCATGGTATGGTAGAATATGTTAAGTTTTCTGGGATTTTTTCTGAAACGATACGCATCTAAGGTATGAGATCTATTAAAAAAGGCGCAAGGCCATCAACAGGCACAAATCAACGTTTTTGCTATAAATCAAGCAACAATGGTCTGGACGACCTGTAATAAATACTTGTAAGTGATGTTATCATAACTAAATTAATGTCATTGCTGAATTTATAAAATAAGTTTCCATATGTGAAATAAAAAATAATCGAAAATAATGAATTTGGGACGGAGGGGGGAGGGGACGGAGGGGGGGAGCAATATGTATATAAGACATGATTAGAGATGTTTCGCGACTTTAAGTCCTTTTACTCCAAATGTCCCCATTTTTCAGTCTCCAGGGGTATATCATCCAGTTTCTTACTAAGTTAATGAGTTCATTTTTCAAATACAAGAATTCGTGTGAAGTTGTTTCACTTTATAGAATTATTACTCCCCCCTCCGTCCCCTCCCCCCTCCGTCCCATTTTAATTATTTTCGATTATTTTTTATTTTACGTATGGAAACTTATTTTATAAATTCAGCAATGACATTAATTTAGTTATGATAACATCACTTACAAGTATTTATTACAGGTCGTGTAGTCCATTGTTGCTTGATTTATAGCAAAAACTTTGACTTTTGCACGTTGGTTGCGTTGCGCCTTTTTTAATAGATCTTATATCTTAAAAGAATATCGGTTGAAAAATAATCCTAGAATACCTAACATATTTTATCATACCGTGCGCTTATTCAATTTGCAATCCAATCGTAAACTCTGTCTTGAAAAAATAATTTTACCAGATTTGTTGAATTTTCTAGCGGAAATTGCCTGCTCCCCCCTCCGTCCCATTTTCACAATCACCGGGTGTGTACATGTTAATAATCACTTTACTCAATGATGTATTTTATTTTTCAGGCGGGACTGAAAACATTCAGCTTCGTACCATTTTCAGTGATTACTCTTCTGTGTTTCATCTTCCTGTTCATATATCTTCCTGAAACTAAAAATAAGACAATCGAGGAAATATCCGCTGGTTTCAAGAAACGCAAGGGGTATACCGATAGTATAGATAACATTATAACAGAAGGGAATGGGACTCACAGTAGTACTACTTTAGATACAAAACCAACTACCAGCAGAGATGTGAAAAAAGAAGATTATACCCAGCTTTAGCATCAAGAATTTAAGACTGTCAGTTTCCTGTACATTTTATGTTGTACCAAATTCCTTATTGAATTTGAAGATTCAAGTGATGTGTCTCCAAAATTGTTGAATTGAAGCGCTATTTTTGTATTTGTATTGTAATTTGTGTAGCTGTAAAATGCACAAAACCGAGATGCGATTGTTGCAGTCATTTGTTCCATGTAGACGGGTGTTATTAACACAGAGGGTTCATTAACATGTTAATCAATGGTTCATTAACATGTATGTCAATAGTTCATTAACATGTATGTCAGTGGTACATGTACGTGAAAACTGTTCAACATAGTTTAACAGATGCAAGAACTTGTAGAATGGAGAAAATGTTGAATGTCCACATTCAAGACTAGTCCTATCTTAGCTTTTATTCGCGAATGCAAATAGCGGCTACCAGCTAGCGGGTTGATTGCAATTTGATGTAAAACTCATTTAAATATGAATAGTACCTGCCATGTGTCCCGTTAGTTGCCAGCTCTCGCCCCGAAAGCAATAGCTGACCTAAATAACAATTTACACCGGCTATTAAAGCACCAACTGACACCGACTATTGAGGTGTTCGAAATTGTAAATAGCAGAAGTACACCTTGCGCATGTGCATAGATGCAAGACATGTTTTCAATGTATTCGATCAATGGCATAAAAAGTCACATGATCAGTGTTAGTTGACTAACAGGTTGTTTGTAAATTTCAACTTCAAACTAACGGGTTAATTTATGCAAATTGATAGGCTAATCCTGTAGCTGGTGGCCGTTTATCATCAATCATGTACTACATGTTTTTCCAATATTGAGCATATGAGAGATTTTTTATGGAGTTATGAATAAGTTTTAAATAGATGATAATGAAATTTTATATGAGTAGTGTACAAAACCAAAGATGAAAATCACCAAATCACCAATTTTAGATGATGTAGTTTATAATTTAATGTACAGTGTAGTGCATGGATAAATACAAAGTGTAGTGTATAGTGTAATGACAGGTAAATGCATAGTGTAATATATTTGGTAATCCATAGTAGAATACAAATGCATGTGGTAATACATAACACATGATATAATGCATGGGGTAATGCACAGAGTAATGTAATATATTTGGTAATGCATAGAATACAAATGCACAGAGTAATACATAGTGTAACACATAGTACAATACATGTGGTAATACATAGTGTAACACATGATATACTGCATGGGGTAATGCATAGTGTAATATATTTGGTAATCCATAGTATAATACAAATGCATGTGGTAATACATAGTGTAGCACATGGTACAATACATGTGGTAATACATAGTGTAACACATGATATAATATATGTGGTAATATATAGTGTAATATACTTGGTAATCCATACTAGTATAATACAAATGCATGTGGTAATACATAGTGTAACACATGATATAATACATGTGGTAATACATCGTGTAACACATGATATAATACATGTTCTTTTTAATTGATATACAATGTATACACAAGATTGCTGTAAGTGTATGAGGGTTTATATGTCACCACCAGAAGTGGTGACATATTGATATAGTCTCCAACTTTTTTTCTGGCCAGTGTTTGGCAGTTGGTGTTTGGTGGTTGGTTTTTGGCATTTCTTGTCTGTAATAGAGTTTGATGGTCAGTGTCTGTAACAAATGGCAGGTGGTTATATTTTTCATGTTAATGCCATATTTATATATAGTCTCCAACTTTGTTGTGGTCAGTGTTCAGCAGTTGGTGTTAGGCATTTGTGTCTGCTACAGTGTTCGGCAGTCATCATCATTAACAAATGGTAGGTGGTGACATTTTGCATGTTAATGCCTTGTTTATTTATTATATCAGGGTTGTTAATTCTGAACCAAAGGGTATTTTTGGGGATAAATGTAACAAATTTGGCATTGCAACTTGAAGTTATATGAGTAAAGTACTGTATAATTCTTGAATAATCAATGTATATTTATCATAATCTTTGTATGATTTATTACTGTATGTGGTTTGAAAAATAATCCTATGATGACTTTAATTATGGTGTGTATTAAAGCCAGTCTGAAGGTCAATGGTAGCCAATAGCTTTACTTTCGCTGATTACCAAAGTCAGTGTCTGAGTATCCATACTGTGGGCAGTAAAAAAACAAAACATTATGTAAAATAGTTCCTTGAATAATGTATATCAATTTTTGATTTTTGACCAGAGTTGTCAAAAATGAACCCCCTGGAATTTTTTGAAAAGTAAACCCCCAAAAAGCATGCTACGGGACTGTTTATTATACATATTACCAAGGACCTGACTTAAAGTCCGTGGTATTACATGTGATTCTGAATACAACTTGAACCAACTGAACATGAGGCCATCTATTGACAGACATGAACTCCATTGATGAAATTAATCATGATTCTCTTCATTATCAGCATTAATGTCCCAGGCAAATAATTGTTTATTTTTGTGTCATGTTTTTCATGAATATTTTTTTATTAATATATTATGATATACATGTATGTTGATTTGAAACACAATTAATATTACAGTGTTATGTATGTTATCTATCAATATGGCTTTATGTAAGTGAAATACATGAAAACATGTTTTGAATGAGCGTATTTATCATTGTTTTCGTGTTTTGTTATTGTTATGTTGTCCTTCAGAATTTGGTCCATTTTTATGTCCACACCAGAAGTTGTGACATATTGCTATAGTCTTTAACTTTGTTTTGGATAGTGTTCATTGGTTGGTGTTGGGCGGTCAGTGTCTGGCAGTCAATATGTGTAACAAATGGCAAATGATGACACTTTGCATGTTAATGCCTTGTTATATAGTTATAGTGATATGGTTGCCTATGATATTGGGGTTAGTTTATTTCCAGTAACGTTTATGTGATATCATCCCCTTTTGAAGCTCAAAAATTAAAAATGTATTTTTTATGTTACATAATTTTTGCAAGAAGTACTTTATTAGTATTTGTATACTCAAATTTGTATTCTCAATCATTTTTGATGTTAGTACTTCCAATGTAACATTATCATCCCATAATATCCTCATTTAAAATTAATCCTCCTTGAGGTCCTCTTTATGTATCATAATCCTCTCATGCATATGGTTGTGTAACATGATCCTCCTTTACAGTCATCTCAATGTAACATAATCCTCCTATGAATTCCTCTGAAGAATGAAGGTAGAATCACAGTATTTGAGTTGCTCACATTTATATATCATTGGAAAGCTAAAGATGTCTTAAAGAATTCTCCACATGTATATTGCATGTGATCCATTAGCTACACAGCATAAGAAGCTTTGATGAGGATGGGAGGGATCATCACATTGCGTGCCTATTCCTGCATAATGTTGGTGAGGGCTCACTATTGGGATCAAGAAAAATGGGATTTTAAGAAAGTTTGTTCAGAAGGCACTGATGGATCTGGGTGGGCCCAGAAAAAAATGGGCCCAAAAAGTGGGCCTTTTTGGTCATCACTGGGCCTTTTAGGCCTTATTTTTTAATTTCAGGTCAAATTTTGAAGAAGGTGCATTGTTCTTGGATAGTTTTTAAGAAGAGTGAATAATTCACATGTGTAGTAGATATGTTATAAATCCTATATTCCTATAAACACTGGCATGTAGCGGCCCTGATATCGATAAATTCTACACGCAATATAACCCGATTTTAGATGCTTGGTTAAAACTTTACACGAAAAAGCCTCGATATCCGGGCATTTACTCTTACACTGAACTGAAAATAGCATCGTCTAAACGTGTATGTCTTGGCTTCCGGGTAAGTTTATCAACATTTATACTCAATTGAAAGAGCAGTCGTGCTTATATCGTGTACCAGTTTGATTGTTTTATATGTGTGTGTATTTATAATATGATAGTCTAGTAATACCGTGTCGTTAGAACAAGTGCTAGATATCGAACTGATGACCTGAAATTAGATTATTGAACTGATCGCGCTTCTGATATTAGATGATTAATTTGCATTGAATCTGATATTAACTTGCAACCCAATACCACAGTAAATACCATGACTTTACATTAGAATGATAACACGGCCTCATATTCTAATTCATTATACGTCCATTGCAGGCCAAAAATGTTTCAATGGGGATATTGTAATGCACACGAGAATACATTCGATTCGTATATATTGACACCCCAGTTGTCCGAAACCCAGTTGTCCGAAACCCAATTCCCCGAAACCCAGTTGTCCGAAACCCATTACTCCGAAAAATAAAGTCATAATTTACCAGAGAAAGGGGGGGGCGTAGCTTACTTAAGCTTACGTCAGTTTCATGCCATGTATTTGGCCAAATTAATGGCATGGACGCATTCTGATATTCATAGATCTCTCTCTCACTTTGAATTGCATCCATTGCATGGCGTTACCAGAATGGAACGGGAGATTTATTTTACATTGTGATTCTAAAAAAGGTTATTAAACACAATATATATTACGGAACAGTTTATCTTATCTTCTTCAATCTCTTTTATATAGGCAAAATAAAATGAAACATTTTGAAACAGATAAAATAAGTTATCGCATAGAACTTTAAGAATAAAACAGTATACAAATTACGTTGTCAAAATATTTCGTCGCATTTAATTTCTTAGTCTCAGTCTCTTATCAAATCGTAAAAGAATAAAACATTCTAAACTTAATCACTTGGGATTTATGTTTCGGCATTCGTTTCAGCCCAATTGAAAAATAAAACTAATTACCAACTTATTACCAACTAATTTACAACTAATTATCAACAATTCTGCTGGCAATTGGAATTAAAGTTAAGCGTTAATTAAATCAATGATAATTATGGCCTAATTATCAGTAGCAAGTTCAACGTAAATTAACTTACAATAATGCTGATTTATGATTTTTAGTTGATAATTAAGATATGAAATGTTTGAGGGTGATAGTTAGTGGTAAATTAAAACGTTTTTGGTCTGAAGTAGATTATTGGTTGATAGTTAACATATAGGATGATTTTAATGATAATTAGTCGTAAATTAGGCCCATGATTTAGAAATACAAACCCCCTAAATTTAATTTCAAGATGGTGGAAAAAGAAAACATGTGAGAGATATTTCTCTCATAAAATTGAGAATTACAACGTGAATGGTGCGTATACTACCATGAAATTTGGTCAACATTATCATAAGGGTATGTAGAACATGAATACAATGTATGTTAAATCTTATTCACACTTCTGTCTAAATTGTTTATGAATTTAAAAATCTTTTTGAATCAGATCATATAATATTAATCCTAGAATGCAATTTAGGTACTAACATGGGTTATCTATATTTCACAAGTACGGTAATCCAAATGTGCTCTTCTAAATAATGATTGTTAGATCAAAGACATTTCAAAACATATTTTTGATTATATCTGTTACGTCCTTATTATGTAACATTATAGTCTAATGTTTGTGTTCTGATTTTAGTTGTTGATGGCAATAATGATGTCTTCACATGCTTTTCATGAATCTTAAAAATTTGCAAAATAGAATTAAAAAAGAGGGGGAGAAACCCCAGAGTTCAAAGATGACATACGCTTATAATGTAAATCTGTATTGAGATAACATCGTCGCCGATTGGTTTAGCGAGTCGATCGTTGATTGGTTTAAATCTAGGTCAATTTGAAAACTTTAAAAACCAAGATGGAGGGTACGTTTTCGACAAAAGAAGGTGTGCGAAGGAGGAAATCTTATGTCATCAATTGAATCATGGGGTTTTCCCTCCTCTTGCTGTGAAATTTCAATAGTTCAAGTTCAATGTTGTCTGTTCTGAAAGATCCTAATTAAGATGAATATTCCGTCACAAAATAGTTCAAGATGAAGCAAAAATCTCCGAGTGAAGGGAAGCAAAAAGGAAGCGATTCATTTTTGAGATGTCACAAATCTGACTTAAACCTAACTTTCAACTAATTATCAATAGTAAGTTAGGTGATAATTAGAGATTAACTTACATCAAACTTACAACTAACTTTCAACTAATTAACGTAAATAGCTCATTTGCATATTGATGGTAGTTAATCGTTAATTAAGTTGCAAATTAAGCGTTAATTAAGTTGATAATTAGCTCATTTGCATGTGAATTTTTACACCTAACTTTCAACTAATTATCAATAGTAAGTTAGGTGATAATTGGAGATGATTTTCCATAGGCTTTTTTCAATTGGGAGGCATTTGTTTTTTATGTTCTTCTCCTGAAATGTATTTGTTTGACAATAATCAGAGAAAGTGCGTATACGTATAAATATGCCACGCAAACAAACGGGTGTGACTTCAATTTCTTGTCTGTCTGAGGACGTATTGGGAACGAGGTAGAATTAGAGAATTCTTATGAACAAATGTATTGGATAAGTTAATTTCTGATGGATCTGGATAAAATATATTTCAAAACTTTGTCAACACTAGATAACTTCATTTAGGCAGATATAGTATCTTGATATATTTGGCTATCATGCGTTTAAAATACGTTCCTAAAACTATGAAGACGTTGGGTGAGAAATATTGCTATTGTACGTTCGAAAAGTATTTGGTTGTATTTTGTAGTTCTCAAGTTACCCATGAACTTTCGTGGGCTAATTAACGTCTTGACTTAGCATATTTAGCCTTATTTTTGCAATGATGTCAACGTGATTCAAATGTTATGCTGTCGTGATTCGCAGAGGTTGCGACAAGATTCGTTTTAAGAAATTGTATTTTTTGATAAGATCCCCTAATTTTCGGAGAACTTGGTTTCGGACAACTGGGTTTCGGAGAATTGAGTTTCGGACAACTGGATTGACCCCTATGAGGGTTGATCATACATCAATTGAACATGGAGATTTTCCTGTACACTTTTCCCAAACATGTGGAATAGACTAGATGCGAGTAGAAATTATCTTGATTTATCCTATGCCAAGTAGGGTTTTAGGGAGATAAGTTGGTAAGATATATCCCGTATCCTGATTTTGAGGTTTCCATATCAAGAACCTCCATATCTCCCGTCATATCTCCCGCTTCGGTGCATATCTTCCCGCTTCGGGGCGTATCTTCCCGCTTCCAAAAAGTGGAAATGCAATAAAATGACTTTGCATATGAATGATTTGTTTATTTTTTACACCTTGTACTACTGAAAATTCTACTTGGTATAGGATAAAGCAGTTATGTACGGTCGGTTTGGATATTGGGTTCATCCCTCGTGAGATATGCACATCTACTTTCTGTCCCTACGGTCCCTCAGGTAGATATGCATATCTCCCTCTGGAAAAACCCCATATCCAAAACCTCCCAGTACATAACCCTTATTTATCCCATGGTTAGTAGGATATTGATCGAATATCACGTGAAGATATAATTGATACGTGGATGAAGATATCATATTTTAGCAAACAATTCCCAAATCATCGAATATCACTTTTGAAACCATCGAATATCACTTTTTGAAAGGTGATATTCGATGGTTTCAAAAGTGATATTCGATGGTTTCAAAAGTGATATTCGATGGTTTTGATTTTTTCAATTTTTTTTATTAATTCAGCAAAACGATTGTTTATGAATACCTAGCAAGAGCTCAAAAAGTTCAATCATCTATTTATCTCAAAAAGACCTCAAAAACTGAGCTTGAATTAGAAATATGTCTTCTAAAATCTTCCTCGCCTGGACCTGATGGGATTCTACCATCACTTATTAAGTCTGTAAGACAGTTTTTAATTGATCCACTCTTGTATATATTTAACTTATCTTTTAAATCTGGTATTTTCCCAGACGCCCTCAAATTGGCCAAAGTAACACCTGTATTTAAAAAATGAGTCACTACAAATCCTTCGAACTATAGACCAATTTCAGTTTTATCGGTATTTTCTAAATTGTTAGAAAAGCTCATGCACGCCAAACTCACTGGTTTTTTAGAACGTTTTGAAATTATTTTTACTTATCAATTTGGATTTCAGAAATTCAACTCTACCTACATGGCCATTTTATATTTCATTGAACAAATTAGAAAATCAACTGATTTGGGGAAAACGAGCATTGGCATAACATTAGATTTTTCCAAGGCCTTTGACACAATTAATCATGACATTTTGATACAAAAACTTGAATATTATGGCATCAGAGGAATAGCTAAGTCCTGGTTTGAAAGTTATTTAAAAGACCGCAAACAATATGTCACCATTAACAATTATGAATCTAAACAATCATCTCTAAATTGTGGTGTTCCGCAGGGCTCGGTACTTGGACCACTATTATTTATTCTTAACATAAATGATCTGCCTTTTGTTGACCCTAATCTAAAATTCATTATGTTTGCTGATGACACCAATCTTCTTGATAGTGATTTTGATTTAAATGAACTTATGACTAGAACTAATGCAAACTTGAATTCAATAGATGACTGGATAAAAGCAAACAAACTTTTATTTAATATTGGCAAAACCAATGCTATTCTATTTGGACCCAAAAAAATCAAACAAATCTGAATCTCAAAATACGCAATGAGAACATAAATTTCCGGGATAAAATTGACTTTCTTGGAATTATTATTGATAAAAACTTGAAATTTAAAGAGCACATAAAATCTATTGAAACAAAGATTTTTCGCGTCATTGGTTCTCTTTATCACATTAAACATCTACTTCAAATAGACAGTTTCAAAACAATTTACTACTCATTGATACACTCTCAATTAAATTATGGCAACATAATCTGGTGTAACACATTTAAATCATTTTATGATCGTCTACATAAACTGCAGAAACAATTCTTAAGGCTAGCTTTAAATAAGGATAGACTTTCTCACTCCGCTCCCATATTTAAAGATCTTAACATATTAAATATTTTTGATGTCAACAGATATTGTACTGGTCAGTTCATGTACAAAATCTTTAATAAGCACCCCAGTCTTCCAAAAAATCTATCTACGAGATAGGTCCTATCTTTGGAATGCTCTACCCCATGATATTAAAAAATGCTACACTCTAAATATTTTCAAATCTTCATATAAAAAACTACTCATCTATCGATAATGTATAATACCAATATCATACGATACTGTTGATTTTATACTGATACCTGATTTTTGTAACATTTTTACATTGTACATCCTTAGATTAATTGTTAATACCATTTTTATATACCTACATGTAACATAATATAAGTATTTTCTTTTATATGTAGTCTAGATGTCATTTTAATGATTTCTGTTACACCGCAAAATATACCCACTAGGGTGTCTAGCGGCTTGTTTTTATAGTGTATATTATATAAGAATTATGAAATAAATTGAATTGAATTGAATTGAATTATATATTTATTATATATTTTTATTTTTTGGGATCTTGTTTTTACGGCGTTCGCATTAAATACAAACCACTCTGTTACGTCACGTATATGACGTTCGTTGAATTATCGCAATCAAAATGTCAGACGAAATGGAATTTCCATTGCAATTTATCTGACTATTCAATGTTCGCTGGATAATAATTCCCAATGGGATAAACGGACAATCCTATAGTTTTTCAAAAATATCACTTATATCCACTCATGGATATCAGTATCTTCACTCATTCGCTGCGCTCACTCGCGAAGATATCAATATCCACTCATGGATATAAGTGATATTTTTTCAGAGCCATAGGATATTCCTATTTTATTCCATAGTTAGCATGATATCCATAGGATAACATGTCAAAATAAAAACGGTATTTTTGAAATCAGTGGTAAAATATGATATTTTTGGCAAATTTTCACTTAACCATAGCATACGGTGTTTTAGCCATGACATGCGGCGCCGTATGCCATGGTTTATGGATTTTTGCTACTTCAGACTCAAAACGAGGCTAAGTGTCAATATCGCCGTATCGTTTGGAAAATTCGTTTTAAATCACTTAATTCCCGAAGATTCTGATGATGACTTTAACTATGGAATATAAAGAACATCCTATGATTTACTCGTGATATGATTTTAATCCACTCATGGATGTTGATATCTGCACTCTCTCGCTACGCTCACTCGTGCAGATATCATATCCATTCGTGGATAAAAATCATATCACACATAAATCATAGGATATCCTCTATTTAAGATGTGATATTCGATAGTTTAAAAGTGATATTCGATGGTTTTTAAATTGTTTGCTAAAATATGATATCTTGATCCACATATCAAATATATCATCATGTGATATTCGATCTGTATCTCATACTTGAGTGGGTTTGGGGTAGATATCACCCAGGAATATATATCGTATCTGAGGAGCGGGCAGGATATATTGTATATGTCCCGCTCGAGGCCAAATGCGGGCAGATATAATATATCCATCCCGCTCCCGGGAATTTTTCAAAAGTTTAAATATCATAAGTTTTAATTTTTTTAATTTTAAAATTTAATTTTTTTAAGTTTAAATGTTACAATTTCATTGTATTGAACAAAAAGAATATTACGAAAATGTTAAATATAAATATCTTGTCATTTGAAAAAGGTGGAAAGGGTTATATCTACCCTAAACCCACTCAAGTATGAGATACACCAGTTATGCACGGTCGGATTGGATACATGGAATATCCCTTGGGATATACAATACATCAAGATATATTGTATATCCCTCGGGATATTCCCTGTATCCAAAACCTCCCAGTGCATAACCCCTATATATCCTCCTTGCAACCATGGGATAAAGCTTTACGTCCCGCTCCAAGCGGGCAGATATAGTATATCTGCCCGCTACGTCATAATCGCCGCTTTCATATTTGTTCATAATTTGTAATGTTCGCGGAATGACTGTAAACGGCAATGGAGAAAACACAGACAATCAGGGTCTGTTTGATAGTTAAAAAAAGGGAAAGAGCATCCACTTTATCAATAAAAAATTCGAGAAAATAAATATGGGAATATTTGAGAGAACATGAAAATCCGCCCACGGCCAAGTAAACAAAACTGGACATGAATATTCTAAAATATTTCCACGATTTAACAATGTGAACCAGATGACCAAGATTGGTATGGGATAAACATATATATTATCCTATAGTCAGGATATTGGGATTATCCCTTGGCCAATATATAGGGGTTATGGTTATTGTATCCAAAACCTCCAAGTGCATAACTGTTGTATATAGTTTAGCATGATATGTACTTCTTTCTGTAACTGGAATACGATTCTAATATACAAGCAGCACATACGTATTCCCGGGGAACCATAAATATTTTGTGTAGGGTGTGGACATTTTTCTTTTCATTTCTCTAAAATCAGATTATTCTCATAAAATTCATACAAAGTTGGGCCTAAGCCTCTATTTTCGTATTCTGCATGTTAAGATATTTATAATGTAAAACCTAAGAGAAAAATTCAATGTCTTCAGTTGAGAATAAGTATAAGGTAAATGTGTGAATTCTGCTTGTTGTTGCACTATTTTTATAATAAACAAGGTTCGATACGCAACACTGAATAGACTGCAGTCATAGCTTAGTTGTAAAGAAAACAAAAGAAGTTGGGACGTGGTCATGCTTGAATACGATTTTAAATATATCGCCGTTTACATTTGTTGAAATCGGCCTGTATTAATTTCAACAGGTGATCGGTGTACAAGGGCATATATTTGAGTTATTGGTTTAACGATAAGTATGACCTATGAGTGGGCAACGTTTTACAAATGCATGAAACAAATACTCCAATGGCCTAATCTCAATTTTCCTGCATAAACTATTACATTGAAATGATGGTCATTTGCTCTCTAACTTCCGCACCGCATACGTAACTTCGTAACAATTCAATAAGCCAAGACAGGACCGCTATAATCGCTACATGCCAGTGATAAATGTGATAGTACAACATTGGAAGACAAAATTAATTTATCGGGTTGGCAAGCCATAGAATTATTTTGAAAACGAGGCCCGTCAAAACTGAAGTGGAAATCGAAAATATTTTGTCACAAAAGTAATGGCAGTATTAGACATTGCAGAAACATATTTCGAGAAATCTTGACTTCCTAATAGATTCTTCGATATACGAGGATTCAGGTAAGATATATAAATATGATACTTGACGTCTTTACATTCTGAAATGCAGAAATAATTTCATCAAATCTTTTTGTTGTGGGCGATAATGGAGATGTTCTTTTATTACATTCTTATGTCTATGTTATGATAGCTTGCTTGCCAAGAACTGAGGTAGATTAATTATATCATTGAAGTACCTGAGAAAGGATGCATAATACAAGTAAAAGTCCACACTCCTAATCAGCCCTGTCTGAGTCTGGTTTCGCTCAGTGTCGAGCACATACATGTATCATCAATATGAAAAATAACAACCCAAACACGGGACAAAACACCAGCGTTATGTTTTTGGGATACTATTTCAAATAGGTATTTGGGTTTATATTATACAAACCTTTTGGAAAATATCATATGGGATCCAGCTGTATGCTTTGAATGAGGACATTTTTCTATAGTGCTGATTACAAAATGATAAAGGATGAGTTTTCAAACTAAACAGAGTGCTTGTACCAAAATGGATCCAACAGACTGACTGGTAGTCAGTCTGTTATGATATACTACAGTCCTGTGGAAATTACAGTGAAACTTTTCGCACAAAATTATCAATTTGATGAAGCATTAGTTCACAATAATAAACATTATAACACTTCAAATCAGTAGTAAATAGCCTTGCCCAAGTCGGTCTCTTTTACTTATCTTGATTAGTGTTGTTGCGATTAATCGATACATCGCGATATACATCGCCAAAGCTGATTATGGCGATGCATCGATGTCTGAAACAAAACATCAATGTTTTTAAAAAAAATTAATTTGCTAAAAATCACCCTTTCTTATCTTATTTTGACGCTAATCCCTTACCTTTCTCATGTCTTATTTCATTTTCCAATGTTTTCTGATTTTCTTTCGCTTTTAAACTGTTTTAGCTAGTCGAAATGAACCATTAATCTAAACAATTACTTTACTTTCATTTCACCATCACTAGAAGTTCCCGGATGTACCAGCGTACTCTTATTAATTTGTTCTGTTCGGTATTTTAGTGCACTAGCGTTCGGTATTTCAGTGCACTTTTCTCGGACTTTTTCTCGATGTACATCACGATGTGCATCGATGTTTACTACTGAAAATTGCTGATGCATTGATGTACGATTATGGCACATCACGACAACACTAATCTTGATTTCTATTATGACCGCCTTGTACCCAAGAGAAAGCCACATGCTTTACCGACCCAATGTTTATGTCGGTAAAATTTGACCAATCAATGACGGCCCTGCAGCGTAAGCTCATTATTATGCATGGTCAAAAACAAGTACACTTTCACCGGGACTTTTCACGAACAAATCTTGCACGAATTTATCATGAAAATACAAATATTTTATCAGATAAATATCAATCAGAGTTTAGTGGATGCTGGAGCATCGATCGGATAACCGGAGGTGAGAAGATTCCAACAATAAACATCCATGTGTCCATGTGATCTTGTCAATCAATAAGGTTTCGCGATACCCCTGATAGCGTAAGTATTATGGAAATCTCGAAACCGCTGAATAACTCCGCATAATGTCAGCGGAGATGTATTGGATTGTACAAGGCGGTAATAATTCAAGATCAGATAAGTAAAAAAAATACACACTTGGACAAGGCTAAGAAGTAAGGTACATGCAATAAAAAGTAACACAGCATATTGTCAAGTGGAAATAAGGCTAGATGAAGTAACAAATATGCAAATTAGTTTACTCCATCAGCCATCTTGAATAGCACTTCCTATGTAAACAAATATTTTGAATTACCAAATCTTAAGGTGGCCTATAATGCTGCTTATTTTTTCCTGAAGCCACTCAGTAAAATTACATTTTCTCTGCAACCTGATGTCCAATCAAGATCATTCAAGCATCATTCAAGCATAAAACTCGTGGCTTCTTGTACATATTGTAATAGTCTCCAACTTTTTGTGAATGTGTTCGGCAGTTGGTGTTCGGTGGTTGGTGTCTGTAATAAATGGCAGGTAGTGACATTTTGCCTCATCTACACTCTTTAAGTTTAAATGTGGAATGGTGGTAAATCGGGAATAATTCCTTATAAGAACTCCAAAATAAATCGTTGGTGCCTTAAACCTGCCCTGGAGAATGGCTATGATCTGAACTTACGTTTGTCAAAATACCGGATCCTTAAAAAATCACTCACCTCAATATTGATGAAAGAAGTTTCATTTTTGATCGACTGCGAGAACAAAATTCAAACTGAGCTAAATGGTTTTCGTTTGTCGTAAAATTGACCTCCTTTTAACGACGTTATCTGGTGAATGAATCATTGTTTTTGTGTCCCATGACCTACCTTTAGACCCTTCGCCACCTATTGCAAGTTTATCGAATGAAAATGAAATTTTTCAATCCAAGAAGAAAATTTGCACAAAAAATTATATACTGCACATGACATAATCCTTATCACTCTAACGTCTTCTTGATGAGACACATCGGAACTTGGGATTCATAGCCATTTCTAAACTGAGCCAACATGAGTTTGTTATCACCAGCAGGACATTTTTTTGTACTTGGTTATTTCCTTTGAAGGGCTGTGGCAGCCACTGGCAGTGGGGCTTCTGGGAACTATATGCTTAAAGGAGTGGTAACGATATGGTGAACATTTTGAACACGTCATTCTCTTAAACCAGTCATCAAAACATTCTGAAAATTTAACATATCGTCAATTTAATGGTCATCTTTTGAATGGTAACATTATGATTTCTCGAAATTGTTTTAGAACACACTTCTTTTGTTCTTGTTATCATATGTTCGGAATGAAATGAAAACATCTATCCGAACTGCATTGGAACAAAACGACATAAACACAACATGTTTAGGTCTCAAAATATTATAGTTGTACAAAGGAAAGTTTGGTTGATTTAAAAAAAATATCTTGTTAATCACAGGCTGGTATTGAAATATTTGTCCGCTGTGACGGAGCATGCTATTTTTCATAAAAACACTAAGAATACTTCACGATTTATTTTTTAACCCATATGTTTCGTTATACCATTCAAAATTACTTACTCCATGCAATGGATATATCATTTGCGGGTAACTTTCACTTCTGTTTGAAGTCCAATTACGCTGGGAAGAAAAGCTATTGAAAATGGCGCCGGAGTATCATACTTCAAAATGTACCATTTCTTGTTTAACTTTCTAATGGCACGATATAGTGACACGATAATATTTACACATGGTTTCAGCATAACTATGAAGGTATAAATGAGATGTTGATGTATTTGGTCTTTTTAATTCTTTTATAAGAAATAATGATTAATTTTTTTGTTCGCTGTGACGGAGCAGTTGCAAATGTGAACTGTGAAAATGCTCCATCACAGCGGACAAAAAATATTAATATAATTTTTTATAAAAAAAATTATAAAGACCCAATGCATTATTATCTCATTAATACATTCAGAGTTATTAAAATATATGTTAATATTATCCTGTCACTATATCATGCCATTAAAAAGTTAAAAAAGAAATGGTACATTTTAGAGTTTGATACTCTGGCGCCGTTTTCAATAGATTTTACTCCAAGCGTTATTGGACTTCAAACAGAAGTGAAGGTTACACGCAAATGATATATCCATTGCATGGAGTAAGTAATTATCTTTGATATAACGAAACATATGAGTTAAAAAATAAAACGTGAAGCATTCTTAGTGTTTTTATAAAAATAGCATGCTCCGTCACAGCGGACAAATCTTTCGATACCAGCCTGTGTTAATGAAATAAAAGATTTATCTTAATTTTTATCTATTTTGGGGGGTTTTCTTTTTGTTAAATCAACCAAAATTTCCTTTGTATAACTATATAATATTGAGAGGTCTAAGAAAATGTTGTATATGCTATTTTGTTCCAACAAGGTTCGGAAAGACATTTTATTTCATTCTCAAGAATTGGTAGAAAGGAACAAAAAACAATTGCACTAAAAAACAAAAATGTTAACAAAAACAGTTATAAAAAATATATATAAATAATTTTTGCATTAAATTTTTGCCAATCAGTCAACATTACATAAAGGACCATGTTTTTTACAGAATTTTTTCAATAATTGGTTTTAAGAGAAAAACATTGTTGAATTCAGTTCACCATATCGATACCTATCCTTTATGTTAGCCATGCCTTTACCATATAACTTTTTCAAGAATGCTTGTAGTTTATGAAATTATGACTGGAAATCATTTATGTTTGGGAGAATGTCTGTTTGTATTTGAAATAAAGATTAAATTAACTCTTGGTTTTAATTTTACGTTTCTTATATTACTCTTTACAAGTGAAATTTAACATCTGAAGCTCAAGCCTTCAAACCAAATCTGATAAAAATAAGACAACAAGGTTGTTTGAATTCATTTCTAAATTAGGTAAAAGTTGATCAAAAGTTCTGAGTGGTGAAATGATGGTGTATGTTTGGTTTTTATGAAAGTAGGTGGCGCTTATTTTAGTGAGTGGTGTATGGTCCCGGGGCATGTTCCTTGTATTATATTGGTGGTAGGTAATGTACTTTGTATTACCATTCAATATATTGAGAACATAAATGGAATATGGCCTAGTTGAAATACTGTCACTATATATTATCATTAAGTAAATAAAATCTATGAGAAATATATTTAATTTGAATTATACATATTAGTTCTGCGTTAAGGTAAAAAGTACATGTAACCCAATTTGTTGCATCTGCAAATTCGGATCCATGAGAAATGTCACGACTTCCTTCTGCTGTCTAGGTTAAGATGATCAAAATTCTAAATATTGTTAATTCAAAACCTGTTTACCCAAATCATTTATATGACTTCTTTTGTGTCCTTGTACTGTTAACCTTAGCCATAAATATAAAATATGATAATAAAAGTTCAGCAGTTAAAGTTGACCTTATTTATACTGTTGACTCGTATTATAAGGTGGAATCCATATCAGATAGAGCTTGTGCATCTTGAGATTCAGTTTGTTTGATAATAATCATATCACAGCACAAATTTTGTAATTCCTGTATTA